ATGTTGGCGCAGAAAGCACTGTGGATACAAACCAGTGGTTAGATATTTGTATCAAAAGAAAGATGATTTACGACACACAGATACATACGCAACGGCCTGTCCCAGCGACACAGCGTAGAACAAGTAGAACGTGAGCAGCAAGAAGAAATAGAATCCTCGTTCCGCCGAGGTTCCGAGTCCAGCAGTCCAGTACGAGACGATGAAACAGAAAGCAGACGTGATGACCAGGTATGGGAGCTCAGTGAGCACAATCGAAATCGCAAACGGTACAAATCCATAAAACTTGCTAGCGTATTCGCGTCGGAAATAGGCTCTTTGCTGCATGAACTGAGGTTGGGCGAGAATGATAACTGAATTTCCCAAAACGAGCAACTGGAAAATGAAAAAGATACGGGATGCAAGGTCGGAAGTGGAATTGCCGAGTTGGTAAAACGTAAAACCGTTGAAAAGACCAACGAAAAGGGCGTTGAGGAATCGACCAAAGTTGTACGTGGTATCACGCCAGAATACAAGGTTCATTCTTTTGTAGACCTGAGCGAGTTGGTAACCCATCGATGTCGAGAATTCACGGGCATTGGGGTCCTTGGGTTGTGATCCAGCGCCTTTGGAAATGGTGTTGAGTTCCTCAGTGACAGACTTCTTTTCCGGACTGTTCTTCCAGACGTCCGCCCAGTCAATTGCAGATTTGCCACCAGAGACACCGGCACCGATCACCTGCAGAATGTACTCTGCAGGATTCTCCTCGGTTGAGGCCTTGCGTGCACCGTTGCGCTCAAAGTAATCCAACATAACCTTTGAATCCTTTCCAATATCGCCAAAGTATACAGTTTTACCACCGCGAGCCAACAAGAGCAATCGGTCAAAGTGTTCAAACAAGATCGAGGAAGGTTGATGGATGGTACAAACGAGGGGCATGCCGTGATCCGCGAGTTTCCGAATAAACTTGATGATATTGTAGGAAGACTGGGCGTCGAGACCAGAGGTGGGTTCATCCAAGAACATGAGTCGGGGTTTACCAACAAGTTCCATTCCAATAGTCAGACGCTTGCGTTCCTCCACAGAAATACCACGACCAGTGTCCAAACTACCAATGAGGGCATCACCAAGTTGAGTCATTTCCATCATGTCCAAAACTTTCTCGACGTAGGCGTATTTTTCTTCGATGGGTACCGAGGGGTCTTGACGCATCATGGCAGAGAACCGGAGAGCTTCACGCACGGTTTGGTTGGGGTTATGGATATCCATTTGTTCAACATATCCAGTGATACGCTCAAAGTCAATGCCGAGTTCTTTACCGTCGAGGAAAACCTTTCCGTCAATGCGACCGATAGTCTTACGCTTCGCCAATACATCAAGAAGTGTTGTCTTTCCAGCACCAGAGGATCCCATGAGGGCGGTCATCTGTCCAGGCTTGATCCAGCCTTCGACGGCGTCCAAGAGCTGTCTTTCGCCGCCCTTTACGGGAACAGTGTAATTGACATCTTGCCATGTAAATGTAGTATCGCTCGCAAATCCGGTATCGCTCTCCTCTGTTGCAACCTCAGAGACTTTGAGTTCGCTCGTGTCGTTTTGTTTGGGAGCTTTTCCCTTTTTGTAGACTTGACGCGTGTATCCTCCTTCGATCAAATCAATGTATTCCATGGCAATACAGTTGAGGAGAATGAACAGGAACCAGAAGAGCACGATGGCGATAATGCTAATGTTCATTTGACTTTCTTTGTAGCCAAAAGTTTCGCGGACGTAGTCTTCACCTCGGACGAATAGCTCGTTACCAGATTGTCCTTTGAGCGTGCACGTTCGGTAGAGGTCATTGGTATATGAGGGTCCAAAGGGTACAGCTTCGGTTCCAGTGCACGGGAAGATTAGACCTTTCATTTCGTTAAGGAGGAGAGCCTTGAAACCGTAGCCCAATGGGTTGATATAGTACAACTAGATAGAAATCAATGGATGGTGAGCTTCCTGCAATCGGCTACCGTCGCATAAAGAGATAAAGCATACCCAAATGAACCATCCGTGCATCTTATCCGTAGTAATCAAAAATCCGTTATACGACAGGGCCGCAATCAAAATGATGTTTGCAAGTTGTGATGCGCTGAAATACGATTTGCAGACACTTCCACAAAGCCTAAACACCTCTGTCATGCAGAGACCAGTGACAAAGATTGTAAACACAAACACAAAGAAAGCGCCAGCGTCCGTTCTGAGTCCTTCTATAAAGTAGGCACAGATCGAAAACGCAAACACTTGCAACAGGGTATTTGGTATATCTGCTACGACGGCGGCGATGTGATAGGCGGAGGGGTAGTACATTGCGTAAGATTTGTGCTTGGCGAGAATCCGACGACCACGCATGGCATTGGGAAGTTCAGAGAGAGACTGTATTCAAGGTATTATATTAGTACGAGCCATGAATGAAACGTAATGCAGGCCAAGACTCACCATCAGGGCGTTAAACATGAGGGAAGAAAACAAGGCTGCACCACGAACGAAAGCACCGTTGGCATTGAGCGGTAGGTTGACATAGATTGTCGCGTAAATAAAGGCTTTGATAATCGTGAGGATAAGCTTGCCGATCAACGAGGCCTTGTCACCCGTCATGAGTTGTAGCTCACGAGCAACAAGGGCCTTGACTTGCTCATAAAAGTTGTTGGTATAAATGGTAGAGGCACGAGTACCCTTTGTCTTGGCTTGGAGAACCGTATCGTGGAATTCACGGTACGGTTGTTCCTTCTCAACAAAGGATTCATATTCGGAAATATCCATTTTCAAGCGCCTGTAGTCGTCTGAATTTTTAAAGTAGGCTTCCATGTCAACGGGATTACTGGGTACTTTGGCCCGGTCAACACCAGGCTGGTACAAGCGCTCGTTGGGGTTGGTGATACCGGTCAAGAAATCAGGCGTACTCTTCCGAGGCTCACAAGCGTATCCCATTTCCTGGAAGTACTTTTTGGCCCGGTTGACGGGACCAAAGAAGATCATGCGTCCTTTGTCAAGGACCATGACCTTGTCAAAGAGTTGGTACATGTCCTCGGACGCTTGGTAGAATGAGGCGATGGTTGTCTTGTTAAGAGTGTCACTCATGATCCGGAGACCACGGGTATAATCCAGAGCCGAAGCAGCGTCCAAGCCACGAGTACTGCAATCCCAGCAGTTGACGGCTGCACGAGCAGTCTAGCAATGGCAGCAACCGAGTTAGCAACATGAGCTTCCATTTCAGACGTAAAAAAAAACAAAATACCCACCATGGCTTCTGTAATGGTCATACGCTTTCGCTCACCACCAGACAATCCACGAACCCATTCGTTACCCACCAACGTGTTGATTTGCTTTGTGAGACCAAACATGTTGGTGAGCATGTATACAACCTTTTGTCTGAACTCGCGGCGGGTCAAATCGGGAAGTCGCTTGCCAGGTGTTTTGGTCTTTAGGGCAAAGTGGAGGGTTTCTTTGACAGTGAGAGTAGGAAAGTGGCTGCAATAGGCGACGACAAATAAGAAACGTGATGCTTGTTAACAGTTAATGTCAATTCTTGACTTACGTGTCTTCCTCAGCAGTGTAAATGGCCTCTCCTGCAAATCTCCCGAATTCGGATGCAGGAACACCACCGTAAGTGATGACACCTTGGATATCCTTGTAGGTTTTGGTATCATTCGCCATAACGCGCAGGAACGAAGAACAGCCGGAACCCGGACGTCCAAGAACCAAAAGCATTTCTCCATCCTTGACCACACCGTTGAGTTCGTGTAGGATATCAAAGTCTGTTCCCTTCTGTTCTTTGCGGAACCTGTTTATTTTTCGATAATCGGTTAATCGGGGAGGAATGATCGGCACGTGTCGCGTTATCTGAATGGTAAATGAGACTTACCAAGAGAGTGGATTCAAGGCTTTCAAGCCATCAACGATGACGTCTCCCACATTGGAAATGCTGCTGGCATCAGCACCTTCACCAACGACGGTCAAGCCCTTGAAGACGACACCCATTCGCTTTCTCCCAATACCCTGCTCTGACGCTGCACGAACACTAGACTCTAAAAAGTCTTTCAGGTCAAATTGCTGCCCTTCTTCCACGATTACGTCAGCACCGCCTTCCAAGTCGGTAAGACCGATTTTCATGTCATCGGCCCCAACTTTGTTCGTCTTGTTCGTCTTGCTGCTTTTCATAGAGGGATCACGGGTAAGGGTTCGTCGCAATTCCAGCTCTGCACGGTGGAATTCTGACACTCCCTCGTCGACATTGACCTGTTGACCTTGCTGGTCATCATCTTCGATTGGTCGTGCGCCGTCATTGACATCACCGAAAGCGTCACGGAGAGTGGGAACACCTCCAGTAGAGACTGCGTCTGCAGCGTTATAGCGAGGAGGACCGCTAACGCTCTCCATTTAATACAGTGTTTGAGGTCGTATAAGTGTAATGTGTGTATATGAGGAGTAGTGTTTTTCCACTCTGAACGAGGGACAGGTAGAGGACACTAGCAGTGTTCCTACGAGTCTACCAACTACAAAATGCTAGCCAACGACGTAGACCGAGCACAATAAAAAATAAAAGTCCAATATGAAAATACAGTTGAAACAAAAAACCGGAGGGGAGCAAGAAGGAGATGTCCCTTTATATAGCTATCGTTTATTAATACAGATTGTGAAATAAAAGCCCGAGACCTTTAGAAAGTCAAAAGTAAGAAAATGGATGAAATCCACAACCGAACGATCGGCTAAAATCAAATGGAAGAACGCGCGCAAGTGATGAGGTAATCAACTTTTGAACACTCGGCAGATTTCGCACGCCTTGCTTTTGTTATCCGCCATTTGTTGGTGAAAAGCCCAACTACAAGATCACAATAGCAACAAACTGCAAAGCATGCAAAAAAAAGATTTCTTTTATCGACAGCTAAACACAATTTGAAAGTCATATCTCTACCAATGGCACAACTATACTAGTGTGTGTGTGTATGTGTATGTGTGTGTGGCGGTTGCCCCCCAGCTGTAGGTCATTAATGACATGCTCCGGTCCAACGCTCGTGTTCTTGAATGCATATCCATAAAGCATTGTATTTGGCCGGAGAGACACCCCACCCTTCAAGTTCCAACAGAACATTCGTCCCTAAAGTCCAAGGGAACTGTCGCGCACGCCTTTAAGGATCAAGTGGCGTTGCAGGGTAGCAAATCACGTGGACAAGTGTGCAAAAATCCTTCCGTCGGCTGGTGAGCTTTTTGAAGAGCTTTTTGATATGGGCGCAGTACGAAGAAAGAAACCAAGACTCCAAAAACCGCTTTTTGCTTTTGCAACTTGGCGGCAGTTTTTCTTTTGGCTGTCAACCCTTTTTACGGGGGGATTTGCAACAATCAACAAGACTTAACGAATCACAACAACGTGGCGAACAAAAGCTTTTTGCGTATGGAACGGCCAACGCTAAATGGGTATCTTTTGCAAAACGAAAAACATGCAAATCCGCCGTTGACCATCGTTATACAGCAAAAGTAGTATGGCAAAAGGTTAAAAAAAGAGGTCTACAGTTATCCAACAGCACCTAAAAAAAAATGCCACGCCTCGCATCATCGCTGCGGTTCGTACTTTTTTGTCTGCGCTTTGATGGACGGCAACTGCATTGGGACCCGATCTTCGCTCCCTCCGCCGCCTCCTGCTCCGGGACCGGTCGTCCCGACATGTTTAGGTTTGCTCGATAGGGAGGGAAGAACAAAAGTGTCCTGAAATTGTTGGGTTTTAATATGGTACGATCGCATTTTTTCTTTGTTTGTTATCGACGAAAGACAAGTACCTTTTGTCCCATTATCCCATGCTTCGCACGCATTTTTTCAGCATCTGGTTTGGCGACTGTGAGGGAGGGGAGGGTTGTCGGCTGTGATGGATGATGGTATTGCTGCGGTTGTTGTGACACACCGGCAATGGACGGAAGCTATTCAAAAAAAACCAACGTTGGCATATACAAATTACAGTGGTTTGATAATTCGACAGTACGAGACCCACCTTGTGTACAGTTGTCATATTCTTTGCCACCAGACTATGCCCCCATTGTCCTGCTCCCCTAGCATCCCCTCCTGGCACATTCTGCCGTCGTCCAGCACTAGGCCCACCCCCTCTCTTCCTGCCAGATGGAGCTCGTATTCGCCTTGCCCTCGCCAAAACACTCTCTGCTGCCTTCTTATCATCCATCTGCTGCTTGAATTTCGCATAGAAAGATGACGTTGAAAGTGACGAGGTTGTGGAATGCGTGTCGCTGGTATCTGGTTGACGGACATGAAGAGGTGGGACGCTCAGGATAGGAGGGAGAGTCGAGGTTGCAGTGGGTGGTGAAGGAGGATGGGCCTGCGGAGCGTGGCGAGCGGTAATGTGCTGGGGCACTGCATGGAGAGTTTCGCTTTGTGGTTCAGGAACTGGGTGATTGATGGGTTGGAGGGGAGGTCGCGTCGTGTCTTGGGGTTTGGGCACTGCATGCTTTGGCTCATGCTTTCGCTCGTGCTGTTGTTCATGCTTTTGTTCATGCTTTGATTCATGCTTTGATTCATGTGGCTGTGACGGTTGTCCCCCGCCAGCGGCTTCCGTCTTCTTTACAGGATCATGTCGTGTGTCTGCTGGTGCATGATGAACAGGCTCAACTGCGACAGGTGCGGATTCTGCCACGGCTTTCTGGGGCAATGTGGGGAGCGATGGCGCCTGAGCAACTGGTTTCGGTGCTTTGATATATGTATATGAAGGCGCTGGTTTCTCCTCTACAGGTGCTGCATCCAGCTAAGAGGGAACGAAAGCATATTGAGCTCCCGAGGTCACCAGTCCATGGGGCCTCACTAGGCAACCTACCTCGTTGCTACTCTTCTTTTTTATTGGAACCGATGGTAGCGACCCTTGTTGAGCAAGTGAGGCGATCCTTTTGGCAGATCGCAAAGCAGCGGCTGATCGTGAACTTTTACTTCTCTCCATTTCCGGCTGGAGATCTCGAAAGTAAGCATGCTTGAGCGCCTCTCGCGATGTTATTCTAGAGCGATAGACAGACGTTAAATCGCTTGCCAAGTCGAGTGTTTACAAAAGCAACTTGTGGCATACCGCTCCTCTGGGTTGTACGCAAGAAGGGCATTAATCAAATCGACACAGTCTTGACTAATATGTGGAATCAGTGGTCGAATCCCCGTTCCCTCCTTTTGGGGGAAATTGTACTTTAGCGAGTTCATTTTCGGCCTGCCATCACAAAAATCAAAGGTATGAGGACATCATGCAGTTTCTGGCCAAAACCACATCGCTCTAGTATCAAGCATCACCTACCCAAGCATGTGCTTCAAAAGGTCCTTGCTGGGCGTGCCCATCACTGCATGAATCCTATGCAGCTGATCCAACTCGTTTGTCCCGGGGAAAAGTGGAACCCTCGACACGATTTCAAACAAGACACAACCCGCCCCCCATATGTCCATTTTATACGAGTAAATGCCTTCGGTGAGGAGGCATTCCGGGGACCGGTACCATCTTGTGGCAATGTATTCGGTGTAGGGTTGCTTGGAGTGAATGCCACGGCAAGATCCAAAGTCGGCGATTTTGATGTTGTTGTCTTTGACGAGGATGTTCTAGGTGTAGGAGGGAAGCGTTGAATTTCCACACAAAGGTGAACTTGGGGAACTGCCAGAATGACTTACCTCAGGCTTAATGTCACGATGAAAAATCCCCTTTCTACAATATGTAACAGATGTTAATACCCCATTGTCCAGCTTATATTCTCCATCGCTCTCAAAACGCTCACCCTACCCATGAATATACTCCAGAGCCTTACAAATCTGGTACATGAACAGCTTGGCCTTTCCCTCCGTTATGCTTGCCGATGTCTTCCGCTGAGAGATGAGCTCATACAGATTACATTCCATCAGTTCAAAGTTGAGGCTGAGAATTCCATGTTTGGGGTCGCTGGGAAGGACACGGTCACAAGATGAGAAACGACCCAGCCGAACAAACAAGTATCGGAAACTTACAAGATGATGTCCTCAAGATCAATGATATGTTGGTGAGGGTTGAGACGACGAAGTGCTTGGATTTCGCGCAGGTTTTCAATTTCGTCGTAGCTTTGCGAATGGCAATGGATATCAATGTATGTCAGTGATGAGGCAATACGGATTGTATTTACCTGTTGAAGTGCTTTCGGAACCGCTTCATGGCAGAGATCTTCCCAGACTTTTTTTGCTTTACTTTCAGGACTTCCGAGAATGTGCCTTCTCCCAGCTTGCACATTAGGCGGTAGTCTGATGTAGGGTGTTAGATAAGGGAGGAGGGCAACACAAGAGTATTCGCTGATCGTACCTTCCAACTTGCTCGTTGTCCCGCGATCCTCTGTCTCCTCTTTACCCATTGTTGAAACCGGGCGGTGGATGGTGGGTGATTGGAAGGGCAAAGTCTTTTGTGGATGGCAGTAGATCTTTGTCTACCGCTTTGCTCACAATTGCTTTCACAGGGTCTCCACCGCCGGTTCAGAGGTCAACAAGTACCCAGATACTCTTGATGGACGATCGCGAAGGCCCTAGGGCTTTTCCTTTTGCAGGGTACATGAATGCACTGGCCAGTCATCAAACAGAAATCCTCATGAACCGACCTCATCCAACAAGAACAGAACACGCTCAATCCACCACCTTTACGAGCCCCATACAACAAAGCCCCCCAGAAAAAAAGAAACACTCAAAATAATACCAAAAACAGTTATTTTGAACAGAGCCAAAGACAATCAGAATAAAACAAAAGGAACAAGAAAATGGTATACTGGCTAGACCCCAACAAGTCGTGCACCACAAATTCTATACAAAGATTACACTCATCCGACCCGCATCCTCAAAACTTGTGTGTTATCCCCAATCACTTTTCGGCCCCCTCCAACTACCCAAATCTGAGGCATCATTACCTAGGCAGGAGGGGTACCAAACGAACGCGGTAGTATTTTGACAATGGTTAGTTTTGTGTTATTTTAGATACGGAGACTTTTTGGTTAGACTCGGAGAATTATGTAAAAAGTGGTGTGACCCTTCCATATGTTATGGGCTATTTTTAGAGATATGTTCATGTATAGCATGGAGGGGGATACCAAGCATAGGTGGACCATCACAGCCGAAATGCGATCATTGCAACGCAGCTACAGCGTTTGACCATTTCCATTCTGTCCATCATCTCGCATGCCATTTTCCCATCTCATCCCGTTCATCATCTCCCCAAGCAAAGTGAAGGCCAACCTTCATTCACTTTACCCGATAAGGTTTAAGCATGGCACAGCAACTTTGCCATTCAATCAATCAACAACACTGTGACCTAAATCACGTGATTAGCGGTTATATCATGACAATGCTCACACCACCCACCACTTTTTTCACTGTGTATTTCTTGATTAAAACGCTCGATTGGATTCGGGGTGAGGACGACGACACGAAATATTCTTCATTTACGATTAACGTGGCATTGGATTCTTGCGGTACGTGAAATGTCGGATGATGTGGGAATGCGGCGGTGTCATGGAGTGAGGGCTGTGTCGCTGAGTTTTGGCCTCATCCGTGTGGATTGGGCGGTGAATGTTTTGCACTTGGGTAGGCTTCCTACTTTGACCTAGTCGAATTTGTCGAGGACGGCTAGCTAGTAGGAGAATTTTGGTGTGTTTTGTGACGATGGTGGATTTTCGGGTGAAGGTGGTTGCGGTGGGCTTGCGCATGGCGGCTTTGATTGGCATTGATTTGGCGATTCGCGGAATAGCACAGTGCATGCTGTGTTTTGAGTGCGCGGTGCTATGTGGATGATGAATAAGAACGCTACGCTTTGCGAACTTGGATTGATTCTGCTGCAATGTCGCGTTCAAAGGCGTGTCGTGGCGCACCAATGGGGCATTATGAATTGCGATGCGTTCGCCGTACCAGTTTCAATGGCTCATTCAGTTGGGATTCCTCAATTAGGCTTCCTTTGTGGATAACTATATACGACTCTCGGTTTGACTTCCCCCCAGTCAACCAGCACTTCCGGTACGTTGACCCGCGTTTACGACGCGACAATTCGGTCTCTCTCACGCAGATACCTGCACCAGCTCCCCGCCAAGCGACTGTCACGTCTCGTGCGGTCGTACCCCTAATAAGGCTTTTGCAAAACCTCTGCACTTTCCTGCCACAGTATATCCGCCACCTTTCGACAACAATAATTATGGGTCAAACATTGTCTGAGCCCGTCAAAGACAAGCATACGACGTCTGACAATGATCAGCGTTTGGCGTATGGCGCAAGTGCAATGCAAGGATGGAGGATAAGTGCGTTTATTTCTTTATTCTTCTCGAATTATCGGCGCCAGTTTAGCTGATGCTCCGATTCTTTAAAGGCATGGAAGACGCACACACAACCATTCTAAAGTTGGAGGACAAAACAGGAAAACATGTATCATTCTTTGCAGTGTATGATGGACATGGAGGCCAGAGTGTGGCAAAATACAGTGGAGCGCAACTACACGAACGAATAACAAAGGATGAAGGATATGCAAAGGGAAATTATGCGCAGGCTATAAAGCAGGGTTTCTTGGGAACTGATGTTGACTTGCGTGCAGGTATGTTATCGAGCATGTGGGAAGCTTCCATCCGCTCGCTTGTTCTAGTTTGCCATCATCTTTAATGAGATGACCTTGGTTCTCACACTGTGTTTCTCATTGGCTTTTTTGTAGACCCGGACTTTCAACATGACCCCTCCGGTTGCACCGCTGTTGCTGCCTTAATCACTGATGACTGGCGCATCTTGGTAGGAAACGCTGGTGATTCTCGTGCTGTTCTGAGCGCAAATGGTGTCGCCGTGCCGCTGTCTTTTGACCACAAGCCTGTGAATCCTGGTGCGTTTGTTGTTGCCGGATGTTGCAACTGGTGGGAACAGGATGCTCACTGTCTTCTTAGATGAGTCACAGCGTATCATTGCTGCTGGTGGTTACGTTGAGTTTGGGCGTGTCAATGGTGCGTCTTGTCATTCTTCTTTTTCGCATCAGATTATTGAAGCTCATCGGGGATACAATAAATAGGAAACCTGGCATTGTCTCGAGCCATTGGTGACTTTGAATTCAAGCAAAACACCGACCTTCCCGCCGAACAGCAGATTGTGACTGCAAATCCCGACATCACCGAACGAAAGCTGCAAGATACGGATGAGTTTGTGGTTATTGCCTGTGATGGTAATCTGAACCATGCTTGCCAAATGTCGCATTGCATTACATATTTATAATCCTGAAAAACAAAAATTACAGGTATCTGGGACTGCATGACGAACCAAGACGTCGTCGACTTTGTTCGCCAAAAGATTGCGGAAGACATGAGTTTGCCCGAAATTTGCGAAGCCATGATGGACCGCTGCCTAGCCCCTGACAGTGAGTTGGGCGGAGTCGGCTGCGATAACATGACTGTCATCATAGTCGGATTGTTGAATAACAAACCCAAAGAAGAATGGGCGGCATCAATCAAGCAGAAAGTTGGTCCCACGAAAAAGGAAGAGAGCCCTATTGTTAATGGTGTGCCAGAGGACGGTACCGAACCGGTGGAGGTAGAGGAGGAGAGTACCAAGCTGGTGGGAACTGAAAACGCTGGTGGTCAGGCCGAGTAAAAGGGATGATATGTGGAGGAGGGGGGGTTTTTCCTAGCGTGTTTTGTTTTCTTGTGTGTGGCTTCTCTTGGAATATTTCTGATGAGCTGTTGGACGAACTCGGTGTGCGCGTTTTACTCTCGTTGCTCATTTTTTTGTTTTTTATCTAAGTGTACGGGCAGGTATTCCTTTTATTTTCTTTTTCTTGATTCAAAAGTCTCCTAGAGATGTTTGGGAATACCCAGGGGGTGCGCATTACCTACGTCCTTATATTTTGTGGCAGCGCATGCCATAATTTAATTATTGCAGTGTTTACCTTCCCGTTGTGAGTTGGGTGTTTCCGCGGTGGGGATGTGAGTTCTTTGGTCCCCTGTGTTGGCTTGGAGTAGAGATGGTGGGCTTGCCTTTAAAGCACTGTTTTTTTCCATGGTATAAAACATGTGGTTCCAGTTTCCATACATGAGGGGTGCATTATGCGAGTATTTGAACTCTGCATTCTGACATGATTATGAGAGTCCCCGTCCACGTCAATCCGTTCATGGCCTCCATAGTAAGGTCCCAATCTAGTTTTAAATAATTACGCTTGAGTCTCTCTATAACTGAGCTTTTTAACGGTCTCGTATGTGACAATCATCAACACCTAGAAGGACTAGGTCAACATTGCCGCACATACAAAGAGATGGACCTAAGAAACTACAACTCACCGATGTCATACCCATATTTACCATCCGCGCCCCCATACCTCTTGTGAACCCCTTCCACCCTTGTGTTTGCCACAGCGTGCGGCATGTATTAGTAAGGAGATCCAGTTCGGACCGATGCGAGGGAGTGACCGTTTGGATACGGGTTTTTATAACGTCCTGTTGGAAAGAAAGTCATGATACACATCAAGAAAATCAAAAAAAAAATTTAAAGATGGAACATACCAAAGGAGTCGTAAATGAAGCGGCAACAAACCCGGCTACGAGGCCACTAGCAGCTGACACTGCCACAAAAGCAGCGTTCCGGTCCGGCACGAGCGGCCCCAGCACGGATTTACAGAGGGACTGGGTGCCCCACCATATTGCAGAGGACGGAGCATATGTGAGAATAGAGGTTAGAAAGCCTTTGTAAAGGCCTCTTGGACCTTCTGTCTGGAGAATGTGTAGGAAGAGTGCTGCACGGTCCCTTTGTTCAGCTCAGCAGTTGAAATGGGTGGTGAATCCATGAAGGACGTACCGCGGCCAGTTGTTAATGGGGGTGATGGGTGAGAGGTAGAGGTAGAGGATGGTACGTCCATTTTGTGATGATGACGTTTTTGTATCATCAATCTGGAATTTTCCAACCGCTTCAAATCAATCGTGTTTTGATCGTTATAAAATGACCAGGATAGTTACCGTTGCGACACGACATCAACAGGTACCATCACAATCTGCGTCGACAAACTTGCCACTCCACCTCCCAGCAACCCACTCACGAGTGCTGGAATCGTATCATTAACCCTTCATCCTCCCATTCCTGTACTCTTACAAGCATTGACAAACCGGTTCGGTTCTCGTCCCAGCCTAGCATCTTTCGACATGTTGTGGACACTACAAGTTTTGTTGATTCCATGGCAGAGAGATAAATCATTTGGCCCGGGAGTGTTCCTAGAGCTGTTACGGTGAACCCTTGATACAGTGCTACATGCCCGGCCAAGATGAGCATTCCATCGCGATCATGACAAACACGGAACACGCTAAACAAACCTCTCACTCCCTCCAATCTGACAATCTTTGAAAGCATTTTAATGCTCTGGAATCGTTGTCTCTATAGCCAAAAACAACAAATCTCAACAGGAGCCATCATTTTGTCAGAGGGACGAAAAACCCAACCTTATTTCCAACTTGTACCCTCGTTTTCACGAGGGATACCGGATAGGTCAAGGACCTCACTGCCAAAAAGCATACCGTCCCCCATGCAAAGAACCGAGGTTTGTCCAGCCGATCCCATGAAATATCTGTAGGCCGGGAATCACCCATCCTCAAACCCGTCGTTCAAATCCCATCCATGGTAATCAACACACTGCACAACCTGAGGAATGAGTCATACTGCACGTGACATGTGTGTTACGTCAGCAAGCTGTGGAAGTGTTAAAGTGTTCCAGAAGCCGCAGGTTGGAATGACCGTTGAAGGGAAACGGGAGGTGAACCAATGGACGAGCATCGGTAGGAATACAAAGTAATACATGGGAGTGTAACATTAAAAACGCTAATCCAAGCGCTGAATAACGAAATGTGAAAGATAGTTGCAGTGTGTGTGATGTGTGTGAGGTGTGTGAGGTGTGAGGTGTGATCGTCGGGTGGTGGGGCGGAGGGCGGGGGTGGTGATAAAGTCGGCCGACAACACACCGGACGCGGGCATCGTTGGGTGTTTTGGCGTGTTGTTGTTTCGCCCCATGGGTTTTTTGTAGGATTTATATTTCTTTTTTTCATGGTCTTTTTCACCCGACCATTCAATAGCACACTAAAAGTGAGCTTTCCGGCGCTTTGGGCCGTTCATTTGCAAGTAGTTCTTGCTTGCTGCTGGTGATCTTGAACACAACAAAAAAGAAACAAATGGTCCAAACTTGGTTTCCCTTCTGCCGTTTGTTCGCTTACTCTTCTTGTAACTCGCCCGTTCCCTCGTGTCTGTTCACGCACAACCCCCGTACAAAGCCGCATTTCATATTTTTTTACTATTCATTCTCCAATGTGTTCTTCTTTTACGTTTGCACATTCCTAAAAATAGTGACGGACCGTTTATTTTTTTTGGATTTCGTACTTTTTGCATACTAGCCCCCCCCTTCCCCTCCCCCTATTCTCTCGAGTAAAATCGCTCCGCCCCAGGTCTGGTAACCGCACAAACAACCGACGAGAAAAAACGTCTCAAGCATTTTTGGGGGTTAGGCCAACAAGCAGCTATTCGATTAACGAAAACTGTTGCAATCTTTTGTTTTCTCGTGTGTGTGTGTGTGTGGCGGTTTACACTTTGAGTTCCTTTTTGGATTTCAACATACATCCAAGTACTGGGACACACACAGACACACATACACACATACAGAGCGATACATACACACTCTACCTGCAAACCGTTGACCAACAATAATAATAGCGCACATACAGGCGTCTATCCGATCGGAGCCTGGGTCGGTTGTGCAGAACTGTTGAGAGGCCACACGTCTTTTGTTGTCACTGGAAAACTCGGGCACGACACCACCTTCCGCAGTTCATTGCCTAAATCATTCCTTCCCGTTGGTTCCCTGAATCCTAGTTGCCGCTATGGACGAGGTCATTGACGTCGTCCAAGCGCTGCACGAATACAAGAGTTCCGTTCCGACCTGTTTGTCCTTTCGAAAAGGGGATATACTTTATGTACACATAAAGGATAAGACGGGTTGGTGGGATGGTACACTGGGATCAAAGCGAGGTAAATGTCCGAACCGGTGTGCGGGGGAGGTTCCAAATGGTGGGCATTAATCCAATTTTCATTTGACAAACAGGATGGTTCCCTTCCAATTATGTCGAATCTATACCAGACGAACAACATATGCAGTTCAAACCACTTCCCTCCCTTCCCGAGTTCCCCTCCCCAACCTCCTCTGCCTCCGCCCCAATGTCTGCCGTCTCACCTACCAGCACATCTTCTCCACAAGTCCGACCACCGTCCAGCAGGCAGCAGCTGGAACAAACACTGTCCGCACTCATGGAGGAAGCCAAAGCGTTGGAACACGAGGACTCCCCTAGCGCTGGCGATGCAAGTCCTGTGCCGTCGGGAACGACAGCCGAGGCAGGGATGAAAGCGAGAGTGCTGGATGTGCCAAAGCCGGACGGTGGTAGTCTGCCAGCCGAAGATGGTGATTCGAATGAGTTGCCACCATTTTGGGGGCGGAAGACCACACCGCAAGGCGACGTTTACTATTACAATACCCAAACAAACCAGACGACTTACAGTTTGCAGGAGGTCAAGAAAGCAGTATGTGCTAGAATTGGCAGTATTAAAGTCTTGGGTTTGTCTTTGACTAACAGGATATCCTGTAGGCAAAAACCACAAAACGCTCTACCCTGATATTACTGGATGCCACCAAAGAGTTGATCTCAAAGGACATCATCACAGAAGCTCCACCACGCTTTGACTCCATCGACTCCTTCGGCGACGCCTCACCACCAGAAGTGCGGCGCCCAATGCGTGGACGAACAGAGTCGGCCTCGTCTACGTCAAGTTGGATCCCCGGGCCCCAATCGCTTCTTCCCTCCAACGCCAAACCTACATGGGAGATTCTCATCAACAACATCCTCCGCGCAATCTCCGAACTCAACCGCGCTGCTAAAGATGACCAAAAGGCTCGCTATGTTGCGTTAGCCAACCAGGTCGTTCGAGCCATACGGGACATGTTGGCCAGTTCTGGGACGAGCTCAAAAGAGACACCCGCAATGCAAAATAACAAACAATTGAGAGGCCACTACCACCACATAATGTCATCGTTGTCCAAGCTGGTCTTGGCGGCAAAGGTTTCGGCAGGACTCTGGCCGCCGCCGGATGCGGTCAATAAAATGAGGTATCAGGCGGGACAGGTTCTACTGGCCATTCGACATTTTGTTTCCATTGCGCAGGACATACCCTTGGAGCTCAAACCTGTGTCTCCAACCTCGCCAAACGAAATATCGCTCTCAGTGGATGAATTTGACATGAAGGGCGCTGAATTGTCTGATATCGAATTTGCAGCGCGACTGGATTCTCATTCGGACGCCATCATTGCTTCCATTGCCAAACTCGTCAATCTAATAACCCAGGACCGACGAATATCAGGAGTTCTGATTGACCAAACACGGGTGACCGTGACAGAGATTGGTCAACTATTGTCGTTGATCGAGGAGATTCCTTTGCAAAGCATGGACGGAACCCAGGATTCCCGGGCCAAGGAGCTTTTGACCGAATTCCAGACCAAGAAGGATGTCCTGTATTCTGTCGTCAATGATCTTGTCACAGCTGCACGCACTACCATGGACGAATTCGCTCCTCCTAATGCCCTTGGCACATTGTTGGAAACAACCACATCTGTCCTTCAAGCTGTGGAAGACGTCTTGATGATTACAAAATTGGTCATAGACCAAAAAGACTTGATGGAACAGCGCACACTGCAGGAAGAAGCGGAAAGCTACGATGACGAGCGAAGGCGGGACTCGGAATTGAGCATTCTGCAGCGACGGGCCATGAGCTTGACCTTTTTGCATGGCGAAGGTGGTTCATTATCTGGAGTCCCTGGTTCCTTGACACCCGATGGCCACATGGGTAGAGATCGTACCGTTTCATCCCCAGTAATGCTCCGATCTACATCATCTACTAATGTCGGCCTTGTCAAAACTGTTTCCGCACCTGCAGCATCAGGCATGCGACGGCCAAGTATAGATGGTTCCGCGGCTTCTGTGGCTGCATCTAGCGACGGGATGTCGAGATCGGGTTCTATGGTGAATTTACCGGCAGGTGGTGATCACTCCCACCCACAGCACCAGCAACAAGCGCACATGATGCGGTCGCGAACGGAATCTATGGAGAGATTTTCCGCGCGTACTTCAGCTAGTGCGACAGGTTCGCCAAGTTCAAGTACAAAACTGACCAAGTTTTTTGGAGAGGAGTCGCCAAAGTTGAAGAGAGCCAGCTCAGAGGTACGCTGTGAATTTCTCGCAATGATGTTTATCGGATCATTGATGTTTTTGCATGTTTTTTACTTTCTAGGGGCACAAACGACCATGGTACCTTGGATACGATTATTTACCAGATGACATTTCTTTCAACATGGAGGGACAAGTCAACGGAGGGACATTCCCAGCATTGGTGGAACGGTTAACATTGCATGATCAACCTGTTGGTCGGTACTGGTTTGGATATAACCGCTGATGGTCTTCGAAACATTGACATTTTCTTTGGCTCGACCAGATCCCGTCTTCTTCACCGCCTTCATGATGCTTTTCCACCAATTCGGCACTGCCGCAGAGTTTTTCAACCTGCTTAGAAAACGCTATATGATGTCACCTCCACTACAGTTAAACCCAGAGGAAGTTAAAATATGGCAAGAAAAGAAGCAGACCCCTGCCCGACTGCGCGTATACAACGCCTTTCGATCATGGCTGGAAAACTACTGGATAGATGAACTCGACGATGAATGCCTGGATCGCATACATGAGTTTGCTTCGGGAGAGATGATGGAAGCTACCTCCACGCTTGCACTACGGTTAATGGAACTTGTGCAAAGAAAGGTCAATGGAAGTATTGCAGGTGTAGGAACTCCAAAGCCCTCTCGTAGAACCGTCGGAAACGTCATATCAACCAACGGAGGAACAACCGGTCCCAGTAGCAACGAATTCCTCCCACCACCACCCGTTCTTCCCAAATCCCTCAAAAAGCTCGTCCTTCTCGATATTGACCCATTGGAACTCGCCCGTCAATTAACGTTGATTGAGAGCAAGCTCTTCAATGCAATACAGCCTCTTGAATTGGTGGGGCAAGAGTGGGCAAAGAAGAATGAAAGGAGTCTGGCAGTCAATGTGCGTGCCATGACACGACTGGCTAATGAGATCACGAGTTGGGTTGCTGGGTCCATACTGGCAGAAGTGGATGTCAAACGACGTGCAGCGATGGTGAAGCATTTCATCAAAGTTGGAGAGGTATGCACTTTTATCAATGTGCTAATGGTCAATGCATCGAACTAATATCTCGTTAACACAGCGCTGCCTTTCTCTCAATAATTTCAACACTCTGATGGCAATCCTCTCTGCTCTCAACTCTTCCACCATCAGTCGTCTTAAGCGCACGTGGGAACATGTCTCTAGTAAAATCCGCATCTCATTGGAAACCCTCAAGAAGGCAACAGATCACAGCAGAAACTATGCAGAGTATCGGGCATATTTGAAGAGAGTCCAGGGACCTTGTTTGCCATTTTTGGGTACGTATCCGGTGTCATTGTTGCCTCGAATTGTGTGACAATTATTAACAAACGATTGTGCTGGGTTATTTCAGGTGTTTACCTTACGGATTTGACTTTCACTGAAGACGGCAACCCCTCCACACGTCCGACTCCTTCAGCACACCTCATCAATTTCGACAAATACATCAAAATCTCCCGCATCATCCAAGAGGTCCAACGCTTTCAGATACCTTACGCTTTAACCGAAGTCCCCGATATCCGCGATTTCATTCATAAAGAGATCGAAGCCGCATCCAAGCAAAGTGCAAATGAGCTTTATGGCGTCAGTCTGATGTTGGAACCGAGAGAAAATGAAATGGAAGAAGCACAACGGGAAATGGAAGCCAAAATTAAGATGCTAGAGAAAGCAGGGTTTTTGTAGTGGTTTTGTGGGATTTGTAGGGAAGGTTTGGGTTTGTCAGGCAGTTTTTGGAATTTTTTTTTAAGTGTCGGTTTTTTTTTCTCTTTATGTGATCATAGTATACGCAATTACCCAAGGCACTCAAAAAGATTGCATATCTTCCATGAGCAACATATACCTCTGGCAAAAAGCCCGCTATTATCACATGAAATGCATTCCGTATCGGTCAACTAGCCATCCACACCCGGACTCCACACTTTCAAAACCCCACTCCGGGTTAACACGACAATCTGTGGTCCCCCGCACCCAACCTGACCAACCCTATGGACATTAAAAAACCCGAAAGGGCTCGACTGGCTCACCGCATCGAGATCCGCTACACCCTCCACAGAACATATCATCTTGCCGGTTTGCAGATCATGCACGCCAAATCTGCCAAAATATGATAATGTGTACATAATCGGATGTATGACGTAAAAGGAGGAGATCACGTCGGAGGGAGTAGTGAGTTTTATCGTGTGGCGTGTGAGAATAGGGGGATTGAGATTTGGATGGGAGAGCACGCGATCAATGTCCCAGACGATGACTTCAGCCGTGTCGGAATCGGAACCCGTATCACCGACAGAAACAAGTGTGAGGGCCTGTGGACGGCGCCAGGCTCCCTTCTCGTCGCGATCGTCTGGCAATCAGTGTTACCTCTTGAACTGGTAGAAAACGACAGCGTCTCTTACCTGGCTCATCCATAAACGCAAAGCCCCATACTGGGCAATTGTGGCCAAGAAGGGTACCCTTCAAAGCACCTGTCTCCAAATCCCATATACATATCCGATTATCACGGTGACCAGTCAAAACAACGCATGGAATGTAGGGATCGCCCTAAGCTAGAGTGAGTATGAACGTCTTTGAATAGCATGCACATCACAAGTGACTTACTTCAGCAATGCAGAGCACATCCTGCCCATAAGACACTCGCCTGATAACCTCTCGCCGCACCACATCAAAAAGCACTCCCACCCCCATCGTCAATCTCTCCTCCCCTACCTTCCATCCCAACACCAGCATCCGACCTGGTTCCTTTGCCAACGGATACGGTAATACCCTCTGCCCTTGCATCACACCCTCCACACTTGTTTCCCATATGAGCTCCTGGGTAGAATACTTGCGAAACTGTAACCGCTGCCACGTCCGTTCAGGATAATCTTCATCCACCACCAAGAACACGTCGTTTTGAATGTCGAGGTGATGCAAGACGGGAACAGAGTCCAGACCAAGGGGAACTGCCAATGTGAGATGGCTTTGGAGGGATCGTGTTGCAATGTCGTAAAAGAGGATCGTGGAACGGAGGTCATCGTTTGAGCTTGAAAAGTGCAGAGTACTGATACCGAGCAGTGTAGTGGGTGACTGTGAGAGTTCAAAGGAGTGATCTGGGACCATGCTCGTAAATGTAGAAGCTAGCGTGTCCGTTGCATGTAGGTCTCTCAAAATCTGGGTGGCCTCGGCCTGTGAAAGGCAGTACTCCCAAGGCTTCTGAAGGCCGTTCGCCCAAGGAACATGACTAATACACACAACAGATGGTTTTGATGGGGTGCTTTCGGTCAGTTCGGCGTGGTCTGACGTCCCCTCGCTGTGCAGCAGTGGGGCGTCACCAGAGATCTCCCCTTCCTCGCCACCGAGATCCTCGCCCTTCATCCGATCACGACCCGGATTGAGAACGGATTCCCTCTGCAAATAAAACTTTTCCAAGGCCTCTCCATACGCCTTCCAATTCTCCACCGACTTATAAGCTGTCAAAAACTTGCTTTTCCAGTCCGGTGGTGGTCCAGCTCTGTTCGACCGATACGTGTAGCATTCTCCATTTGTGAGCATTGCATACTGACATGTGTAGGCTGCGTACCAGCATTGATTTGTATTGGCTAGACTGTTTCAATTTGAGCCGATTGATATGAAGTCGAGGTCCATATGCTTGTTGGACGTACCCATTGAAACGCCGACTAACCTCGGACACTCGCAAAAGGGATACAATGTCCTGAGCTGCTAAGTACTGCAATATGAGGAGCCAAATGTCGTCTGACAGCCCAGGAACCGCCAAGTTTGCTGTCGAGGACATGGTACACTTTGCATGGTACTGGAAACCTTTACAGATGTGTTCAAGCAGCAGCACCTTCGGAAAATCTACACTATCGAAATAGCGTGACACTAGCACACCGACTGTGCCACAGCGACCATCAGCCACGTTCGATTACGTAACTACTCTCCGACTTTGATGGAGATCAGATAGGTAACGGACAAGGCTTTCGCTGTGAATATTATGAAAGTTAGACACATATCTGCGTATGCCATGCCAAATGAGTGGTAATGTATTTCAGCGAAAGATATCAATGACTTTAGGGGGTTCTTCGTGCCTCTGGATCATTAAATGATTCGTCGAAAATGTCTGACCCGACAGGGATCATGATCTGATTAGAAAGAAATAAAATATTGGGAGAAACGTAAAGGGACAGAGTTGCAGGAAGAAGGGTCATCTGATTTTGGATTCTGGGATCTGAAATAGTAACAAAAAGTCCACATTTTGTCTTTTCCCTTCTGGCTCATCTCTGCATGTTCCTGTTGCACACACTTGCTTTGTCTTGCCATCCTTGCCACGTTAATTGCACCATACCCTATAGTCATCAAGTTAAACTTTCATCATGGACAACCATTCAAGTCTTCCTCCTTCTCCCGTATCCCGTTCCAAGATCTCCCGCAACGCTGTACTTCCACATGCTGCGATCAATACCCAACTCCCTCCCTCGCCTATCGATGTCATGACCTTGGCTCCCTCAGCGGACCATGTCGCCTCAATGAAATACCACGATTTGCCTTCCGAGTTCCAATCCAAGTCACACATACCCGACCGACCGCCCGCTGCAAACGGACGATATTGGTGCAAGTGGCAAGGATGCTTCACGTTTCATGACTCGGAGGAAGACTTTGTCCATCATGTCGGCGGGCATGTGAACACCCTTCCCTGGAGTGAGAAGGCGAGGTAAACATAATGCACATTTCCCCATACCATGCATTGCAGATGCTTACGTTGTTATATGTAGCGTCACCGACAAGGCGGCCATCTTTGGATGCAAGTGGGAGGGATGCGGTAACCAGAAGCATTTTGAGTATCGACAAAGATTGATTGGTATGTGTGTATCCAACATATGGTATTGGTGAATCTCATTGTAAAAATGCATAAATGATCCACAGAGCACCTACGGACGCACACAGATGAGCGTCCATTCCTGGTGAGCACCTATAGACCCGACGCCATCCCGGTTTGTGCTAAAACAGCCATTATCCCCACCAGTGTCCAGTCAGACAGTGTGCGCACAGGTTCACTGTTAGATCGAACTGCATGTCTCATGTCATTAACGTCCACAGGCGGAAGCTGATACCCATCCAACTAAAGCCGGGATCCAGTATAGACAGTATTCTTAAAGAGAAGGGAATCGATATTCATCAGCTCAGTGAGATGGAACCGGTTGTGATAGAGGTAAAGCGATCGGAAGCTACCACAATCCCATCCGTATTTAGGAGGGATAGTCTGGTAGTTATTCCTCGTCCTGCATCACGGAAGCGAAAGGCTCAGCAAGCGGAATTGTCAGAAACGTCAACCAATCCTGAACCCGAGCAGTTGCTCCCACTGCCCAGTCCATTAAACTTGTTACCCCCCTCGGCAACCCCCCTTTCGCCTCCGCCTTCATCATCCTCCGCCCCGCCCCCTACTCCGTCCCAAAAACCCAGCCGCCCAGCCAAAAGAAAGAAAAAGTCACAGGATCCCCCCAGAGTCGGGGATTACAAACTGAGAGTAGGCGTCATATTCTGTGTCCTTGCTCTGCCCATCCAAACTGACCGCTGATGCATCCCAGAGCCGAACACTGAATCCAAGACCAGCAACCAAGCCCGCACCCGAACCTATTACCCGTCACCTCTCATCATGGACATCATCCTTGCACTCTCTCCAAGCACATATCGACAGTCTAACCACCCAAACTGCAAATCCTGCCGAAGCTTTTGCCGAAGTTGATAGTTTCCCATCTCACATACAACCCAACCACATACAACCCAATCAGTCTGCCCTCTCATTGGAGGCGGAAAAATTGATGGCTGATATCAGCAGTTTGCAGAACAGAATCTCTACCTGTGTCGATTCGTTAGTACGGTGTGGATGGTCGGAAGAGGGTGTGCTAGAGGTTATGACCAGCATGACCCGACAAGCTACAAAAAAGGAGGTACAAGGACGTGCAAGACGTGGGTGAACATGGCTGTGGAATATTCACAGTACCCGATATTTAACAAATATGAATTCAGCCTATTAAGCTCTATACACTTTCTTGCGCCGTAAGAGGGTCTATCTACAACTTACTATGGCTAACCTGAAGTTGCTTCTCTCTGTCAAGGACTTGACCAAGTCTCTCTAATCCAAGGCTCAATAGCGGCCATGACACAGTGAAAACAATGCGAAACCACCCTGTCTCGGAAATATTGAACGCTTCACCTGGCAGTATATAAATCCCGCCATCCAAAAGCTTGTACCATAATTTTCTCCAGGGCTCATCCCCACTCTTCCCAGGAGCTTCAAACCATTTTGATAAATTCACCCTATAACATTATGGAACAGGTATTAGCATCAGGTAGTGGGCAGCGCAATATGAGGGTACGTACAGCACAAAAAACCCGCTATCGGCAGTCATGAAAGGTATTTCCATCTTATTCAACTCCCCAACCAACCTCCCGTACTGTTCCTTCATCCTTTTCTGATTCTCCTCTACAAACCATTCCACCCACTGCTCGTCTTGTAATAGATTAGCAACAGCCCGATCGGCGAGACTGGAAGTGTTCGTGAATAGCGCAAACATCTGCATCGCGGCCAGTACCTCTGGGTTCCTGGATACGCAAGCACCAACACGCACGCCATTGATGCAAAAATCTTTTGACATGCTCCAAAGAACATGCGTATGCTCCGGATCTGGGAGATCTGGGATGGATAAAACGGAGACAAAAGGGTTGGGGTTGATAAAGGTAGACAGAGCATAGATTTCATCAGAAATGACGTGGAGGTTGTGCTCTTTGGCCCAACGTAGTAAAGGCATAATTTCGGAAATCGAAAGAGCACGACCATGTGGATTTTGAGGATTGGTGAGTAGAAGTGCCCGTACTGTGATGTTATCTTCCAGTGCAGCTTGATACGCCCTTTCTAGAGCGCTAACCTCGATCTTGAACGCATTCGCTCCGCTGGTATGAACGTGAATAGGTCGTGCTTCCGCATACTGACATCGGGTAAGTTTAAGAGCGGCGTCGTGACAAAGCATCTTACATCCATACCAGTGTCAAGTCAAAGTCGAAACCCCCATAGTACGGCGTAGGCACTAAAATTCCTTCCCCGGGATTGGCAATGGTCTGTGCGATATTATTCACCGTTGCGCCGCAACCAGCATGTATCGTAATCTCATCCGGTCTAATCGCTGTACACGGTTTCAAGTACTTGTTGAAAAGGTTGGCAACGGCTTTCCGAAGTGGTTCCGACCCGTGCATTGTTCCGTATTTCAACATATCTTCTGTTACTTGCCGTATTGAAGAAGAATTGAGCTGTGGATGATGAAAGATAATGAGAAGCTCTCCTAACATCTCTATAGCTCTTGAACGAACCTTCTCCAACAATTCTGGAAACATCAAATGGTTTTCCGCCGTTCCCAAATTTACAACACCATTGGGAGACGCAACGGCATCATAGGGATTCGCAAGTGCTCGCGAAAGACCTTCCAATAATGGAGACTTGTGCGCTGCGGCCGCTTGTGCTAGCCGCGATGTGCAAGGTCCTTGAGTCATTTGGAGATAACAAGTATGTACGATCTCACAATGGGCAGAGCAGATCAATTTCCCAAGATTCAAACATGAGTAATCTGGTTAATTAACTGAGCTGTGCTTATGTAATGAACTTATCCCGTCATTTCCAAAGTTCGGTGCTGACAGTCGAGTTTCAAAAAGGCCAAGCTATGGCGAAGTAAAGGGACTACCATCAAGTCAACTTGGCTATTAGATCCAAAGGGCACTGAGTGGACAAGTTCTATTCTTTTATGAACTGTTCAAATGTTTCTTTTATATGAGTCCCCGCATACTAAAAACTTGCACTACTGTCAAGACCCAAAAAGTCTGACAAAATATCAAGGTTTGCCTTTGTCTGTCTGGTTCACAGACGTGCTGGAGCGCATCCTCCACTTTGCTCCGTAAATCATCACGATAACTACGAGCGCTGCACCAGTAACATCCACCATCGCCACGGACAAGAAAGCGGGCCATAGGCCTACCTTGTTAGTAAAGGGACCAATGATGGCGGAACCAAGGGCTGCCGCTGGGTTACGGAATAAACTGTTCAGTGCCACAACACTTGAAGCTGATCCTGGAAAGCTGTCTATGAGGTACGTAGTGTTGCATGAGAAGAGCCAGGTCATCCCAAAGACACCTATTGCAATATACAATAAGCAAGGGTAACATTTTGATATACACGCAAGATGAGGTACTCACTGATAAAGAGCGACACAAGTAATAGGCTGACATGCCAGTGGAAGTGTCCCGCAAATCCAAAAAGGGCCAATCCGACTGGAAAGAGGATGATTCCAACCCACTGAGAGCGGATGCGTGATTCTGGCACATGGTCCAATCCCGTAGCTGACATCGCTTGGTGCAGCTTCCAATCCGCATAGCGGCCGCCAATAGTGGAGCCGAGAATGAATCCCACCCCAGTTGGAATGTAGGAAATGCCCACACGTGATGCGTCGTATCCGTAAACGTCTTTGAGCACAGCTGGGATTTCGACATTGAGACAGTAAAAAGAACCTGATAATGTCCATGATGGGAGAATGAGAGAAGTGACTACAAGGTATTCAATAATAACACAAATAACCTACCAAAGATGATACCGATGTAGGTGACGCATAGAGTAATGGACCTGAAGCGGAGGAAACGAAGTGGTGCAAGGGGATTATACTTTGTAGCAGACTTGGCGGCCTTGGTCTCCTCAAGGATATGCGGGCCAGGGAAGACCAACAGGCCATGGTCGGCGTACACCTGACCATTGCCAACCTTTGCTCGAAGAGTTTCCGGAAGAAACAACAAAAAGAGTATCCAAGTGACCGCTCCAAGGCCTGCCAGAAAGAAAAAGATCCATCTCCAACTGGCGTATTCAGTCAGGAAACCACCCAGAACAGGTCCAATGAGAGGTCCCATCTGCGGGCCAAGAAGGAATATCCCCATGGCTCGGCCGCGTTCGGTAGGTTTAAACAAGTCCGCAATGGTGCCAGCACCAAGAGATTGGACGGATGATGCTCCAATAGCTTGCACAATACGCAGTACGAGAAGGAGAGCATAAGATTGACTGAATCCAAGAGCAATGCTTGCGGCAACATAGATGGCAAACGATATGAGATACACGTTGCGGCGACCTGCCGAGTCCGCCAAGGTTCCCCATCCCATTGGCTGTTTGAAACAAGAAAATGCTGTAGTCACAAATGCGAAAAGGATAGAACATTCATGTAGACATTACCGCCACTGCAAAGGTCAACATAAACATGGAAACTGTCAAGTTAATCATCGACACGCTGGTACCAAAGGCGGTTCTAATGCTCTCCATGGCAGGTAACTAAAAAGAAATGTCCATCAATGTCCCTTCGAAACTGTATGCAAAAGACGCATTACTTACATAGATATTACCAGCCAGCGGCCCAAAACCACCCGCCAATGCAATCAAAAATAGCAGGAATCTCCTGCGAGCAGGGGAATATGCACAATAAGGTTCTGATGCAGCGACTGAAGTAACCGAAAATTTTGTTGGTTCAGAAGACAGTACGATTTCCTTGACCTCGGCAGCGGGTGCGATTTCAGACCCGGGATCGGGGAGTTTGCTTTGGGTTCCTGCACCCTGTGGTATTTATTAATGGGAGAACCTTTCTTTATCTTTGGAGCAGAGAGAGATGCCAGACTTACTTTATACAAGCTGGCAAATGGTTGTTCAATGAGTAAATGGCTCGGCCTTCCATCTTCGTAGAACATAAGTTTGGGCTCTTTTTCGCCCCCGAGTTTAAGCGCATCCTTCTTCTTTGTTACAATACAGAGACCGTTACTGTCAGAGACGACAAGGTTGTGCCATGGAGTGGGTATATGAAACAATGAAATCTCTGTAGCGTCGCCTCTCTGACCGTCGAGAGTGCCAGCTTGGAAAACAAAATCTTTGTGTATGAGGTTCACTCCAAATTTGGGCCCAGCACAGTTATATCTGTATCAATTCGAATCTTTCCGAATCAGATATGCTTCAATTTCTTGATGCTGTCATCTTCTTACTTACGGATGAATGGATATGCGAACATGAATCGGAAAAAGACGGCCAACAATTGTAGAATAAGCTTGGTTTCGCTAAGTAGGACAGAAGAAATCTTATTATCTGCATCGAATCACATATACAGAGGCTACAGAGACACTTACTATCAACATCTCCATCGCAATCTTGGAGCATAACTGCTTACGTGCATTTTTGGATGGTAACGCAAGCATTTCCGGCTGTTGCTGGAGATCTTCCAGTAAGAACCGAGAGAAGCCGCGATAAAGTCCTGTTACAGATGTATTCTGCTTGATTTCCTCATAAAGTGATTTCTCGTCTCTTCCAGCAAGAAGACACAATAGACGACGGGCGTCGTCAGCCGCCGGCAGCACGGACGCAGATGTGTAACGTGGAATGACATAGCAAGATAGACAAGGCAATTGCTCGGGGAAATGACCCGGTTCTTCAGTAAATGTGGCGCGACTCGCATCAAGAGAGAGGAGATCATCAAGACCATGGAAGGTGAATATATCTGGCCTCCCTGACATGCTAGCGACCGCAGTCCTTAACGTGCGGCCGTACTCGTTGACGCTGACATCCGGAACACCAACTGAGAGCGTAGTGATAAGTAATAAGAGACAATGTAGCTCCTCCAAATGACTACACACTTACGCAAGTCACTAAAGACATGACCATCAGAAACAATGGCGAATCGAACGCCAGGGACATACACTACTTCAATCATCTCCGCTACTTTGACCATAGTCTTGAAAGCGAGCTCTTCTCCTTTATCGGGAAGAGTTCCCAACACCTTGGACTCCTTGTTAGGTGACTTGCAGGGAAACCCGGGAAGGATGAACTGAATGGGTAGGCTGCGATCGATGAAGTACTCAATCTTGTAGATGAAAAAGTCTCGCCCGCCCCCAGAGATCCATTGATCGTCGTGCGCCTTGAAACGGAAATGACTGTCCAAGATTTCCGCAATGACAGCGGAGAGTTTTTTATTGTTTTCAGACCGCACTGGATGCAGAGACCAAGGCGTCACACGGCATTTAATGGTGAGAAGACTCGAGAGGTAATGGATAATATCCGGCATGTTATCATTGTCAGCATCGTCGAGGTGACTGAGCGCTGCAACGCCTTGTATTGCCATAGATGAATCCCGGGGAAGTGCCCTCTCATAGAATGTGACCGATTGTGCCGTCGTGAATTGGTCATCAAGTTCGACATTATACTTGTTGAGCTCTCCGTGAAGTCGAAGCGTAACAGCTCTGTGGCGTGCCGCTTCTTCAATAAAACTTGGTTTCACAAGCGCGGAAATGCTCGTGGGGAGCTGTCTGTCATCATCGGGACTGACGGATTTCTCATAGGAAGAAGAAAGAAAATGAAGCTTCCCGTCCGCGTCGCATACATATACGAATAAAATAGCCTCTGTCGGCGATCTTGGCAAAGAGATCTTGGTGTTCATCGTGGTGCAGCAAAGCAGGAAGGTCGGACAAGGAAAACCGGACATGGCCGGGTCTGTTTTTATGCAACCTATTGTGCAAACAGAGCATTAGAGCCAGCACACTGATGTGGCTTAGCGGGGCCACGCGCCGTTTATGCCATTGGGCAATGCAGTGCTTCACGTCTACACGGGGGTTGTATTTCTGATTGGGAAGTCTCCCTCAATCTCCCCGATCAGGTCTCAGCCAATCAGAGACAGGAGATTCCACAGCCAATTGCATTAACACCGCGCGTCAACCCCCGTGTGCATAGTTCCGCAAGAACACCCCCAACACTGCCCAGACGGCCAACAACCGATCAGCTCTTTCTTCTCTCTCGTCTCTCTCCTCAACTTGGTTTTTTTTTTTGCTTGCTTTCCATCTCTTCTTTGCGTCTCATCCACCATGGCAAACTCGACATCTGACTGCAATATTCTTATCGAAAATCCGCTTCCCAGTGGGGAGAAGCGCGAGTACACTATCGCTGAGGTGGACCGTAACGCTCCGAAAACCTCTTACGCAAGCCTCAGCAGAACGCGTGCTAGGGTGACCCTGGCTTGGTAGGCCGTCTTCTCTTTGGAACATGTCGTCGTTGTCTAACGTCACTGCTAGCGTCACTCTTGCGTACCTCATTGTCAACCTGGACGGGTCTTCCCCGTCCCTTATGACGATTGGCAAAGACCTTGGCGCTTCTTCCCAAGAGCTTCCTTGGATTTTCAATGCATTCACGCTCGTTTCTACCCCTCTCATTCCGCTTTGGAGCCGTTTGGCTGTTGCATTTGGAGAGAGGACTTGCGTTAGCATTGGATTGCTGACGTTTGTCGCCGGTTCAATTGGCGCTGGTGCATCTAAAAGCATGGAGTCCCTTGCCACCTTTCGTGGTTTGCAGGGACTCGGAAATTCCGCAATCACCGCCATGTCTCTCATTGTTTTCACTGGTGAGCGCTTAAGTTTTATTTCTGTTAAACTCGTGAAAATCGGTACCAATGATATCGTTCTTCAGATCTCTACCCGATTCATAAGCGTGGATTTGCATTCAATATTATTGGTGCTGCCATGGGCCTCGCAATGGTGATGATACACTTCATGGTTTTCACTCTTTGGCAGTTCAAGATGTTGATGCCGGTTCTTTTATTCACTTAGATTTTGGGCCCTGTTGTTGGCGGCTCGGTATGTAGCACGGTGCTCCAGGTAGTTTAAACCTTGCCGTCATTTAACCAATTCACTGCGCAGATTACGGACAATACTTCCATGGGCTGGAGATGGATCTATTATATTCTCGTTCCGTTGTCTGTTTTCCTCTTGCCGCTTCCAGTATTGGTACAAAACTCTGGTGATCGAAAAACCAGTCGCGGAGCCCTGAAGGATATTGATTTCATTGGCTTCTTCCTCCTGGTTGCTACCGCAGTGTGTCTTCTATTGGCACTTCAATGGGGTGGATCCCAGTATGAATGGTCTTCTGGTGTCATTATCGGACTGTTCTGTGCTGCTGGTGTTGCATTGGCAACCTTTGTATACGTAAGCTGATACTTGGGTTTCCTCCTCTGCAAATCGCATTTGACTAATTCTATTGCGCCAGGTGGAAATATATGTTGCAGTGCAACCTGTGATGCCCCCGCATATGTTTAAATCTGTCAACGCCAATGCAGTCTTTCGTAAGTATACAAGTCTGCTTTTGTTATATTGATTAGCCAGCTAACCATTTGCCTGCAGTTCTGAACTTTTTCCAAGCAGGCGCTTCGATGGCTTTTATGATGTACGGGCCCATGTTCTATAAGGGCGACAAGGGTGATACAGCTCTACAATCTGCTGTTGATGTCTCTCTTCCCCTGAACTTGTCTTGGTAATTAGAGTCTGCTTTAGCAATTGAGTTCCAGCTGATCTAAAGTTGCAACACTAGGATGGTGTTTGGTATCGCTTCCTCCCGACTTTTGCCTTATGTTCGCGCCAATCACCTGGTGATCTTGGGTACCGCACTTACAACACTAGGGACAGGTCTCTTCTCCCTAGCAGTTTCCCAAGGAGTGCCAAACAAGGGGGTTGCAGCGCTTTACCTCATGATTTTTGGTGCTGGACAAGGGTTCTCCACGCAGAACAGCTTTCTGGTAGCCCAAGCACATTTACCCGAAGGAGGTGACGCCAAGGTCATGTCCAATTTGCCCGCATACTTTCACCGCATTGGAGGAAGCATCCTAGTCGCGGTTCTTTCTAGCATCTACAAGCACGCCAATGGTAACGGAGGAATGAGTATGGGTAGCGGAGGTGGTATGAACATGAGCGGGGGAACGAGCGGTGGAACGAGCGGTGGAATGGGCGGTGGAATGCAGGTATGTGTCTTGTGTCAGGTATTCGATACACGCATCAAACTCAAACCTTTTATGAAAGGCACGAGACTCTATGACAATGACAATGCCAATGCCGAACAGTTCCGGCTCACAAGGAGGCATGAACATGGGCGGCAGCAATTCTACGTCAATGGGCGGGTCGAGCATGCACATGGGTTCTACTATTGACGGTACCACTGCTGCATTCCGATGGTCCATTCTGTTTGCCGGGCTCTCGTTTCTTCTTGCATTTGGCCTCAAAAACACTTGGGTAAAACTCGGTCAAAGGATGGCTCATTAGCTAGTTTACTTCGTCTAGCAGTTTCTGTAGCAAGTTTTCATTTTGTTTGTTCACGCGAATTCTTATTGTCCAAGTTTAAATACAAATGTGCAACTAGCTTTGAGCTTTACTGCATGCATGCTTGTAGTGAAAAATACCCAATGCCTTATTGCTTTCATCCTTTAAGTTTCTTCCTTTATATTGTAAAAAGTATCGGGCCCTTCCTCTGAGAGGAGCGCTCGTCATCGCTACAAATGCAGCTCGGAGCACGTCCGCGCTCCTACCACTTACGTCCCGCGCGGCAAAATCCCTGACACTCCAACAGGAGCAACACCGTCGCTTTTCAACGACGGACCATTAAACGTATTTCCGGTATCCGTTTTCGACCGAGTCGAGTTTAACGCCGATCCCGAGGCGATCTTCCCCCCTCTCTCCAACCATAGAAAGAAAACAAGAACACCAAAGAAAGAGAGAATGTTGGAGAGGTCGGCGAGGAGTATAGAAGTGCGGGGGGAAGAGGAAAGGTCGCCTTTTTATAACCCTGGAGGACTGCGCTTCGCTCAAGTCTTTTTGCCAATGTCATCCTTCTTCTCCAATAAGAACTCGTCCCTTTCACCTCCTGGCGGAATTCCTCGGGTGCTGACCTCTCTCCTTGATGACAGCGTAAGATTATGTAAACGCGTAAAGTCATTTTGTTTATATTTTCCCACGGTCCCATTTTGACATCGTTTTGACATGTTCCTACCAAGATTCTACATGCAGCGAGCTTAATTCTGCAAATACACCTTACTCTAACCGCTCAAACTGTAGCCGCAGTCCAACAGGAGCCAGCAATCCACCCGGCGTCATCTTGACTTTTGCATCCCCAGTCAGGTCCCAAGTGTATTGGTGCAGCAAGACAGCTGCAATGGTTTGCATTTCTGTAAGCGCAAGTTTCATTCCTAGACCTTTACAAAGAACGCAGAACGGTTAGATTCCGAAATGGGATAAACAGTTATGATCTTACTGAGCACTTACACTTTCGCTCCCCTTCGGAAAACGGAACCCACTCATACCTTCCCACTCCATCTCCGAACCTTTCCGGATCAAATACCTCTGGATCCTTCCATACACGCCGATCATGGTGCGCTCCAAAAGCGTGCCAGCCTACATATGTTTGGGCAGGGATAATGAACCGCCCGAGAAACGTGGGACGAGTCGTGCAGCGATTGATGAGCATTGGAATGGGTGGGTACATTCGTAGAGTTTCTTTTACAACTCTTTGGAGATAAGGGAGCGAAGGCATGCGTTCTGCCGTGGTTAGCTCTTCTAACGAGTATGCCTGAACTTCAGCTCGAGCTTTGTCTTGAACGTCCTAGAGGGTGAGTGAATTTAGAATAACCTAACGTCGATGGCAGTCGATCACGTTTTACCTGGTGTTTGGCAAGAAGGTAAAGCAACGACGTTAAAGCCTGCTGAACATTCTCGTGCCCCGCAACAAAGATGACCATCAAATTGTCCTAATCATTGCAAGTTATCGCTGTGATTTGCATACATAGACCAAGACTCGCATACCAACCCTGAATTCCTTCTTCGTCAATATTCCACTCTCATACGCCTTCACCAACCTGGCGATAATTGTTAGAACTTGGTTATCCTCTTCAACGGCCTTTTCAGCTGCTTCAAACAGCACGCTCTCCATCCAATCAATGCGACGTCGGGCATCAATGCGACTTTTTATAGGCAGCCGATCAAGAACTGGAAAGAAAAGAAAGAGGGGCTTGAAGATGCTCTTCTTAACTATCGAATGCGCAACGGAAATTGCTGTATTGGGGTTTTTGATGGCCTTTGCAATTTCGTGTGAGATGAGACATTTCCAATCATGAAGGAATTGCAGCCCACATTGAATTTTTTGCCAAACGCGGCCATTCCAATACCATCCATTGAGAGTCTAAAAGCCAAGTGTTCGACGATGAGCGGTTCTCATGTTAGGGGCGCCACTAGTTGGTGGGTAGGGGCCTCACTCACCGTTGCATTAGATTGTTTGTTTCAACTACTTCCGCATTTTTGCACTTCTTGTCTATTTCCTCAATCATGTCCTTCACGCATTCTTGAAAGACGGCAGGCTTCCAATGCTGTCGAAACCCAGGTGCAAGAACTGTGCGGAAGCGTTGCCATGCCTGTTGACATCCAACAAAACCATAAGTCGGATGGCAAAGAATTGAATCGGCAAGCACTTTCACTTACTTCCTCACGGGTTGAAATGATATTGGCACCCAAGAAGTATGCCAAAACAGAATGGGGAATCTTTTCATTGTTGCCAGATTTCACAAAGTCATCTGGTATGGAAGCACACATGTAAGCGATGTCCGTACGCCGTCCTCCCAACTCGGATACTTGCCGGTTCTACTATAGATTTCTCTCGACATGTCTGGATGCCCGGCAACAATGTTCCAGCGCCCTCCAAACCACATCTACAGCAGATACCCAGGGCCATGAGCACGTCGCTGTCAGTCGCAATCACAGGAGATCCTACCGCGACAACGCCTTCTTTTTCCATCAAAGGGCGTATGTATCTCATGTATATCTCATCTTGTCCAAGCTTTGTGACAAACCCTAGTGTGGAGACCCAAAAAGGCACCACCGGAATGTCTTTTGGAAACGAGGACGGAGGAAAGAGGATGCTACGTAAGAAGCGTAGTAAGACTAGGGCAAGGAAGAACAGTAGAAGGGCTATGAGGTCGGACATTCTCGATGAGATCTGTCTGACTACGTGTTAGTACATGAAAGCGAAACCCCGCTGTCCGAAGGGTAGGACTAACGGCTAACGAAATCTGACTTCCTGGGCTGCTTACGCGAAACCGTTATACCGAACGTTCTGTGTTTTTGGGTGTACCTTGGCAACCAGGAGGCAGTACACGGAGGAATGTAAGTCTCCTTTCGTGTTCTGATTGAGATCAAAAACACGAGATCGTGGGAGACGTCAAATATGTGCGGGAACCGTAGGGGCACTGCGACGGGCGTCACAATATTGGATGACTTCCGATCTCTCTCCGAGCGCCTATTCTTACAACCGGCCAAAATGTATGTCCTTTGAGGACTCTCTCCGTTGTGTTGAAACTGACTGCCTACGATCACATCGAATGCTCATGCAAAAATCTCGAACACTTGCGCGTGTTGTTCACTGCAGTGCTGTGCCATCCGTTCCACCAATCGCAATAGGGGCGCGTGTTATTCCAAGCATACCAGGAAACTCAGGCTCGGCAAGCGACTGGCAGGTCGACAGGGGGGGTTACCGGAAGTCTCCTTCATGACATTGTTTTGTCTTGCGTAATTTATAAAATAAGGAAGTCGTCTTGCATGCTTTGGACATCTCCCGCAATCTACACCAACGGGGAGGATTAAGCTCTCGCGTGACAACCATCCTGCGCCACTCCAATGGCAATAAAAGCGCGCGTTTCGCCGGCAGTCGTCTATTCTTGCTTGTTTGCAGCTAACAATGACGTTGACGGATCTCATTACATTTAACAAGAAGAAGGAAACTGAAGCACGCACTGACGTGGAGGTGGAAGGTGACTTTTAGCAGGCGTTTTCCAGCTCATCGTTGCTTTTGCTAACAAAGGGCATAGTGGTTGTGTCCGACGAGGAGAACCAGAATGCACCCTTGTACAAGCACCTTCCTCTTCGAGAACTCATCATCACATACCTTGGGTAATAAATACATTCTGCATATCCTTCCTTAATACTTTCAGCTCACACATTTTCCACAAGTCTGACAAGTATTCAAGCCGTGATATCTCTCGAACGGAACGCCTTCCGTCCCATCAGTCCCAACGTGGCGTCAGACTTTGACAGTCTGAATGATCTCTCTTGGCTGGCTACCACAACCTTTGCAGTATGGCTTGCCATCGAACCCATATGGGGAAAACTATCGGATTTGTTTGGGAGGAAGCCGCCGTTCATGATTGCCATTGTTGTCTATGTGCTTGGATTGATACTCTGTAGTGTGAGTCCATCGTGGACCGCGTTCATTGTGCGTATATCGTTGCTGTCAGATTCAAATGGCAGACCGTGTTTCGACATACCATCTTTTGTTTTGCAATTCAGATTTTCAGAGCTATTTCCAGTATTGGATCTGGGGGCATCAACAATGCTGTCAACATCATCATATCTGGTAAGTACATAAAATACCCTAGAACCCAAAAGGTTATTTGAACGTGACAATGGTCCACTTGCTTTTACTTTAGATATTGTTCCCCTGCGTCACCGTGGAAAATATCAATCTTACTACGAAGTAGTGTTCCTCGGTACCAACGTCCTCGGCCCTGTCATGGGCGCAGCATTTGCGAACAACGACAAATGGCGTGGCAATTTTTATGTCTCTGCAGCATGTGCCACGTTTGTAGGGATTCTCCTCGCCTGGAAATTAAAGTTACCCAGTGCCTTTCGAAGCAAAGAATCGAGTGTAGCTAGAAGAGTTTACGGTCGGTTGAGAAGAGTTGATTATATTGGGACATTGATGGTTTCGGTGGGAGCTTTTGCTGTTGCTTGTGGCCTTCAACTTGGGAATCGAAAGGAATTCGGATGGAGCTCCGGTTGGTCTACGCATTTGATCACTATGCCTAACATAGAAGACTAAAATTTCCTTAACTTTCAAGCCAACGTTATAGCTCTTCTCACCTGCGGTTCGCTGCTTTCAGCTTTATTTGTCGTATATGAATGGAAATACGCTCGTGAACCTCTTCTCCCTCTGCGCCTATTCCGTTATCGAAACGTTGCTGTTGCATTTTTATTGTCGTTTATCCTCATGATTGGAACAAGCGGGCACGAGCTGTACCAGACCACCTTCTATCAGGTATAATACTGACATTGCACCATTCGGGAAAACGTTCCTAGACACTGACAAGTGTCACATGGTTGGACTAGAATATCGTTAACCTGACTCCCTTCAAAGTCGGGCTCATCGAATGGGCCGAAACCATTGGCCAGACCGTCGGTGGAATTGCGTTTGGGTGGGCCATGGCCTTAACGGGACGGTACCGGCCTTTTCTCTGGTTGAGCATCGCACTAGTGTGTTGCGGCGTTGGGATGATGGTGCAGATAAACCCAGATATACCTCATGCTTTATTGGTTGTCCAACGAGCGATATTCGGGATTGGGTTTGGAGCTGTATCCCATGTATTGCTCATTGCAGCGCAGGTTGCTGTTGAGCATGTTGGTCGGTTCTTGGCAATGCATTTGAATTTTTTTTTTTTGCATCAGACTAACTCAATACCGCTTATATTCTAGACATTGCCATCGTAACATCCATGTTCTTTTTCTTTCGCGCGTTGGGGGGTCTCCTCGGTAATGCAATGTATGGCGCATTGTACGATTTTTGGGTCACCCAAGCATTGCGGAACAGGGCGCCGCCGAATACACCCCAAAGCGCGATCGATGCTGCCAAAAACTCTCTGCGCGGTGGTCGGACTGGAGGTGGACGGTCTAGTCCAACCTTGGATCGATCCATCGTGGCGAATGCGTACGCTGACACCTCTAGACAGATTATGTGGACTGAATTTGGTATTCTGGTATTTGCGCTTCTCGCCTCTTTGACGATAGAGCATTTTCCTTTGCCAAAAACTTTGGTGAGTATTAAATTGGATTCGCATTGGGACGGAATGGTGATTGATGATCTCAATTGGGTTTCCATAATAGGGACGTCGTGGAGTAAAAAGTCATGAAGAGATATCTACTGAGACCCGCTGCGAAACGAAACCAGGATCCGAGGACGAAAGCGCGCCGCCCAAACCGGCATAGTCCATTCTGTGTCCAGCTAGTTTCTGCAATTTTAAGAAAGCCAATGTTATGTTGCTATCACTCCCGTTCCATATGAAATGTTCACAAAATACCATAGATTGTATTTTAGCACCAAATTCAACTAAATTTTCGACGAAAGTCCAGCAAGTTTGGTTCGAACATGAACTCGGACAGTTCAAGATGGGCAAGTTCACGATATTTAGCCAAACAGATATGTGTATGTACTATCTCAAATCCGAGTCCTTTAACCAAGTATCTACCTAATATTTATACAAAAAAAAAAAAAAAAAAAAAAAATAGAGAAACCCTTCACTATTGTCCTATTTCGCAAACAAGTACCGAGCAGCGTACTCTTTTCTGTATTCCTTTCCATCAGCCTCCCAATGACACCACTCATTAGGTGGTGCAACACCACCTTCAGTATCAATCCTTGCAACAAAGTTGATTTCGCTCATTTTGCCAGACTGGGACGACCAGGCTTTTTGGGTCATGACCCAAGGAATGTTTTCGGTCGGTCCATGGGGTGAGGGAATGGGGATGACGGCTTTGGTAGCAATGAAGCTAGAGTCAGAGTGGAGTTGCCAATGTGGGACGGCTAAATGTAAACTAGATGAGTACATTGTGCTCACAAAGACAAAACTAGAGAAACACAAAAAAAAGAAAGAAAATACTCACCATCAACGAAAAAATGTCTGCCAACTTCGTTTCCGTGTTGATCCCACAATGGGGCATCCGCACCCAACAAGAGCCACTTGCCCTGCGATGCATCGCAAATGTAATTTTGGGTACCGCGGGCGAATAAATTCAATTCAGGCTGAGATGGGGGTGTAACAGTTTTTGGACGAGGCCAGGGTGCTGCCGAAGCAAGGAGTGGTGCGGCGAGGAGGACAAGGATTTTTGTAATTGTCAAGGTCATTCTTGATTTCGATATGGGATGATATGTGTTGGAATGTCGTACGAAAGAATGGTATGCCACTAGGTAGTTTCTTGTCACTATTCAGTTGGAATGTGTTCTGTTGATGTTAGGAAGGCAGATGCTGGCAAGCCCTCCTTTTTAAATCCCTGCATTCTGGCTGGAGAGAAAGTCATCGCAAAAAGCCCACTCTCCGGCCCTCACAGCCTCTCTACGGTAAATAGACGCACAAGTACGGTTCATGCTTGAACAAAATTGTTGGGTGAAAGGACATGCCCCCTCTTACCCCTCTCCAGCCAAAGTTGAACAAAATGCAAAAGTCAACGGCTCTTGTCGACCCCGATAGCCGGTGAACCATTTTTTTTCGGCCAGCTTCCGACCGCGGATAAGTGGCGAAGTAGCACCGCGCGACGCGACGCGCGACTCAGCCCAGTCTTTATTTAAACTTTGCTGGTAAATGGCTAGTCCAAGCAACCGGACGCTAGAAGCTCGTAATATAGATGGACATTAGCACTTGCGGATCTTTACCACCCAACCTAATGGTGCATTGACCAGAGTTGTCGAAATGGTGATGAAGTATTAAAAAGTCCATGCAAAGAGAACAGGAAAAGTAGAAAGCAAGAATTTTTGTATTTACATCATCTTACAGCGCAAAAAATAGCAAGCAATGACAAACTGATATATGTTTCCCTATCATCAACACCACCATGCCCTGACAAAGGCGACTGGTATATATGCCCGGTCTACACCCTACTTCCTCCTTGAGCCAGGCTCGGCTTCCGCAGCACCAGGCACTTGGTGATGAGAGTCATGTGAAATATGGTCGCGATGGAATATCTTGTCAACTCCACTTTCAATTTTAGTCTTTACTTTCTCCATGATCGAAGCATGATGCTTCGATTTCGTGTCATTGGTCGACAAATTGGTCGTTGAACTCTCCTTTGAGCGAGGACGGGGAACAGGTTCAGCACGTTGATCCTCAAAGGTCGACTGAGGTGTCTGTTCTTGATCCAGTTCGGACAACCGCTCTTTCAAAGATCCACCGGGGGGAATGGAGCGGGTCGAAGCGTCATCGCGGGGTGGTTTAGAGAGGTCAGAAGGAGTTAGGTCTGAAGGGAGGACACTGCCTTTTGGAGTGTAAGAAGAGAGGATGTCCAATGTGGCATTACTCGGGGTAGAGTCCGCAAGAGCATATTCGGTCGCTAGAGGGGCGTCGAGCCCGAGTTCTGATTCCGGGACTGGGGCATCCACGCAAGTAATAGCAGTAATCTCAGTCACTTCTGTCAACGGAATGTCGTCATCAGCAGGAGACTCAATTTCTGAGGGTGTGGTACCACGTAGCGCATTATCAATGGCTGCCTGTTGAGCTGGGGTACGCTGATCGTATGGAACAGCCAACGCAGAGATCGCAGAGTCGGTAGATAGACCGATTTCGGACCGGGTAGGAGCGGATGAACCATATGCACCGGCAATACCCGCTGGAGAACCGAGGTGGCCTTCAGAGGTGATGGGAGTAGTGGATTGAGTGGGTCCACTGGTTACATCGCGAGCCTTCTCGGCAGTGGTGTTGGCAGCGCTCTTGGCATATTCGGTAGCTGCTCCGGTGGTAGCAGCTGCTTTGTCGTAGGTAGCAGACGCAGCGTTCTTGGCGGTCTCTGTAGCAGCCTTGGTAGTAGAAGCAGCTGTGTTGTAGGTCGCAGCTGCAGCATTCTTCGCAGTGTCCGTCACAGCCTGAGTGGTAGAGGCAGCGGTGTTGTAGGTTGCAGCTGCAGCATTCTTCGCAGTGTCCGTCACAGCCTTGGTCGTAACCGCGGCCTTATCGTAAGTAGCGGAGGCGACGTCCTTGGCAGTGTCCGTAGCAGCCTTGGTGGTAGAGGCGGCCGTGTTGTAGGTTGCAGCTGCAGCATTCTTCGCTGTGTCCGTTACAGCCTTGGTCGTATCAGCTGCCTTATTATAAGTAGCAGCGGCAGCATCGACAGCTACGTGACCAGCAGTCTTTGCAGCCTGAGCAGCCGTGTTCCCAGCACTGGCAGCAACATCACGAGTTGCAGCGGCTGCCTGCGCCGTCTTATCGTAAGCGACGTGGGCAGTGTCACCCGCAATCGTACCAGCAGCGTAGACAGTCTCCGCAGCACGATCATAAGCCTGCGCAGTAGCAGCGGTGGTAGCTTGCACAGGTTGAGATTGAACGATCGTATCGGCGGCATTCTTGGCGGCAGCGACGGCCTGGTCCTTCTTTTCCACCACAGCTTCTGTGGTCTGGTTGTAAATCTCACCAGCCTTGTTCTCAATGTCGCGGGCTCGCTGTTCGCCACGTTCTTTGGCAGTGCTCTCGTGAGCAGGCTGGACGTAGAGGGTTTCGCCCACGTCTCCCTTTGGCTTCCATTCAAAATCGGAAACCACTTGAGACTCTTTTGATCCGCCGAGTGCCATCGAGGCTGCGTGAGTAGCCATGCTTGTGGCAGCAGCGACAGTGCCTGCTACGGAGCCAATGACAGTTCCGGTCACCGAGCCAACTTTGGAAAGAACCGACGTTGTCGCTTCCTTTGGGTTTTCTTTCGCGTACTGTACTGATTCCTGCGCGGACTGTTTAACGCCTTGCGCGGTGCCTTGAATAGAGTTACCAAGATTCGTTGCCTTTTCCGCTGCAGCTCCCTTAATGTCTTGTGCCGTACTCTGGATGGAGGTACCGAGATTTTGCGCCCCGGCTTCAGTGGACAGTTTTGCGCTTTCAGCAGTTTCCTTGGCAGACTCTTTTACGCTCTCGGCAGTAGCTTCCGTCGACTGCTTGGCACCGGTCGCCTTGTCCGCCACGTAATTTTCGGCATTTTCGACGGATTCACTCACTTGCTCGGTAGTACCGGCTCCAAAGACCTTGTTGGTCGCTGCTGTTGCTGCATTCTTGGCCATACCAGCAGCGGTTGCCAATGTTCCTGCTACAGTTCCTGCAATGCTACCCGCAGTCGCACCTGCAGATTTTGCGCCGGATACGACATCTGGTGCACCTGTGGATGGACTGGCAGCTGATAGCTCGGCTTCGTCTACTGTCCGCGTCTTCAAGGTGGTGCCAGCAGGAACCTCGACAATTACCACTCCGCGCTGAGGAGCTTCAGTAGTTGCTGGAGTCACTTCTGCGGAGGGAGCTGTGGCTGCATTGACGGCTTGAGAGACTGCACTGCCGGTTGCGCGCGCGCCTGATGCTAGTGTGCTTCCAAGAGATGCTGCAACTTCTTTGGCTTTTGGAATGGCTCCAGATCGATTCACGGCGTCAGTGACTGATTGTGCGGTGCTCTTGACTGTGTCGACGAGGGAGGTTTGGGCTGCTTCGGTTTGTGCGTCGCGTACTGGACAACGTGACAATAGTGAGCTTTTAATTTCAAATGGTAAAAACAATGCATTCGTATGTTACATCACTACGTACCAGGAACGGGTCTTGGAATTTCTTGCTCGCCTACTCCTGTAACGATGGGACGAGAAGATAGAGAATCTGCACCGAGAAAGACATCACCAGCGCTGGATGTGTTGACAACATCTACTTCGCCAGGTTCCGAGGCCGAAGGACGCAGAGAAAGAGACTCGGTGTTTGCAGACATTTTACTAATATACGTGGGGTGGGGTATTTGATTTGATGTGAAAAGGATGAATGAGTCGTGTGTTCAAAAGAGTTGAGTATGGATTCGATATCGTTGGTGCCTTGTAATAGAGATGTTACAAGGTTCTACTAGTGTTGGTTGAGTCCCAAGAGAGGATAGTTGTGTGTGTCAAAGTGTGTTAAAAGTCTAAAGGTGTTGTTAAAGGGAAAAGGAAGGGCCAGCAATCATTCCTTTTTATGCATGTCCCCAAACAGTAGTCTTCTTTCCTACGTATTCCCCCAACCCTCAAGAAATGACGTAGGATGATGACAACACACTGCCCTTTTTTTCAAATAGTGGCTTTTCTCTTTAACGACTGGCCCTAAAGAATGCAACTCATTATTTGGTTTTTTTTGACCATAGCCTCGTTTCCCCCTCCTTGTCTTTCAATTGCAGTAAACTGTTTTTGATGTCATTTTGAACACTTTGTTCGACCAGCCTCCTCGATGCGTTCGGACAAGCAAGTGATGACATGCACGGTGATGACGTCAATAGAATGGGGGCAGACGCGCGCGTGTTTTTCGTTCGTCATTTCCTTCTCATGTGCTTGTGTTTTATTCGCTTTTAACGAATGGTTTTGGTTTGCAACAAGAGCGAGCAGATGGCGATATAGATGCCATATCGTTTTGTAGATGCTTTTATTGTAATTGAGTTATTATCATTTTCAGTAGGCAAGACCATCCTGCTTATAAGTCTTTCGTCTGTTGCTGTTCCTCATTGCGTACCGTCTCGACCTTGTCACTTTCCTTAACGCATCCTTGGGTCTCCGTCCTTTGGTCTCAAAATGACAGACATGGTTGCAAGGAAGCCAATCTTACAATACAATAGAATAACTCGGCGTGACCTGGAAAACACATCACCGCGCACGTGACCAGGATGCGTGTTACCAGTTTCTTACTTGCTTTTAACAATGCAACCACCAAAAACAAAGACCAAAGCTTGAATTATATAAGATATACTTACCTGAGTGGGTGAGAGATGTGCTACGACAAGCAAGTTACGCACAGTAATGCGATAATGCATTTATGTACTCGGCATGCGTGAAGGACTGAATGAAATGTAATATAATTTACGATATGGTGCAATCAAAGACGTTTTACCGCATAAATGCATAATATAAAATATAGAGAAGCGCTTCCATAGGATATAAGGAACACTACGATGTATCTTATGTATTTCCTAGCCTTCTGCCAAGGGCGTTGTGTGCACGCCTTCCCAAACACTCAACGATGCGTTACGTAAGTGCTATGCTAACACGTGAGCGGCGCAAGCGCGCTGTGCACACTATAAAACTGGATTTTCCCACACGCCATCTTGGGTTCATCTCTCGAGTCCAGTGTTCCGCAACGCAGATACATCCCGTGGTATACCCTTGTATCCTTTAACAAGAACAGAAATGAGTTCCAGAGAGCGCAGGACGACTCTGTTTGTTAGAGGGTTCGGCCCGAATGTCCGTGCGCGTGATCTCGCGTATGAATTTGAAAGGTGAGCTTCCACAAAAGAAGGCTAGCAAAGTTGCAAGTTGGGAAAATGAGCACCGACTGTTTGGTGACGACGGGTCAGAAAACAGTCCAAACATAATATAAACGTTCTCGACCGACGCGTGGTACCCGCGAGAGAACCTCGCTCGCTTGGCAGTCGTCCAAATATCCTCGTGCCCCGAACATCATGACCGTTATCCTTCATAAAATGTTTCGAGAAACACTTCGGCCCGGACTGGACGAAACCTTTCCTCCGTTTTAGGTTCGGCAGGCTGGTTCGTTGCGATATTCCTGCTCCCAAGTCAGCTAGGAGTCTGCCATTTGCGTTTGTCGAGTTTGAGGATTATCGCGATGCAGACGATGCTTACAATAGCATGCATGGAAAGATGATTGATGGTGATCGAATTGATGTTGAGGTGCGTGTCTCTACGCACGTTCTGTGCTTATTTTGCTATTGCTTCGTTTTATTGATTGTGATTTCGTATCCAGTTTGCAAGGAATCGACCCCTAACTACATGGCGGTACGAAGGGCGTGCTCGTTCCCGCTCACGCAGTCCCCCTCGGAAACGTTCTCGCACTCCACCTCGTAGGCGGTCCCGTACTCCGCCGAAGCGCAAACGATCTCCGTCGCCTCGCAGGCGGTCCCCCTTGCGCAATTACAAAGAAAGATCGCCGCCACGCACGAGGCATGGGTCCCCTCGCCATCAAAGCTCATCCCCGCCCAATTGGGCCGATAGCAGTGCCTGGAGTGACAAAGCTACCAAGGACGAGGACAACAATCTTGCTGGTGGATGGGGCTCCCCCGGTGGCGAACACCCGCGTACTCCTCCACCGGAAAGTGGGGGCTGGTAGCCGGTTGTGGATACGAGTCCAGGCTGTCAGTCATATACTCATGCGATGGAATATGACCGCAGTTTAGCATTGCTATTTATCATGGTTTGTAATCTACTCACGGCGTGATTCCGGTTGGTGTTGTGTTGGTATCCTTTTACTGGTAGCAATCATGTGACGTGGGTTAACTGGGGGCACGTATGAAGAGCGAATTATCATGTGGGCTACTGGAAGGCGCTGTGAATGTGGTCTATTAGCGAAAAAAGTCGTGCGTGATTGGTCCGCTGGTTATTAATTGCATTTATCGATACAATATATGTCTTGGTTTTCCTCGTGCAAATGTTTGCCCTTTTCTTACAGATAGTGACTTGGTGTTCCTTGGAGCTGTTTTTTGGGGAGCTTTGAAATGTCGACGTGTTCTGATTACGTAACGCGTCGTGTCATCAATTTGACGTAAGGAGAAGTGATTTCCGAATCTCACCTGGTTTCGTTTTTCAGTTTCCATTTGTGTGAACCTTCAAACTCCCCGTCAACTTGCTCTTTTAAGTTTTTAAAAAAGATCAAAACAAGATGATGTGTTTTGGTTTCCTCCAAGAGCCAAAGAGATCGATTGACCGAAAGTCCGACCAGGACACTTCCACTTATTAGGAATTTGCGTAATGGGCAATTACTAACATTACATGCTGCGCAGGAAGGAATGCCATCCGATTTCCTGGCAACGGACCTGATGGAAGGCAGCAGGGAACCCGCATGACTCGCATGACGGCATTAGGATTTCTCATGTTCTTTTGGAAAGACTCCACGTTTTTGTCAGGAATATGACACACAATGATGAGATTTCTGGTTTCGTCATGTGTTTTTTTCCCAATGGAGAGAATATATGGAGAAACGAGCAAGCATAAAAAGGGGGGCCTGGACAGGTCTTCCATCCATCGCCAGACTCCCAATTTCGAACAGATAACATCTGACAACTTTAAACCTTCATTGCTCCTTTCTTACGTGGTTGTTCCCGCCAACCAGCATTTTCTACACCTCCTTTCACCTTGATCCCGCGCATCCACATTTAACGTCTCCCAAACCACAACGTCCTAGCTACCTATAACCTATTCATAAAAATGTAAGTCGCCTTGCTGAGACCACTCACCGAAAAACACCACTCACTCACACCATGTTCATCACATAGGGCCGTCTTTACTTCCTACCGCAAACAAATGTGGTCAGCTGTCTACACCCTCTTCTGCCTATGGGGTGTAGCATGGCTCATCGCCTACTTGTTCCGCTCACTCGTGTCAAACCGGAAAGGAACGGGCACCGCTGGAACGTTGGGCCAAACTGAGAGTGCTGGAACTGTGACGGGAAACAATGTCACTGGGCCCGGAAAACATCCTATGGTAAAGTTCTTTTTTGTTTCCGCACTCTTGATCGCTCCATTCATTTCATTTAATAAACTTCTCTTTTCTTTTTAACTAGCACTGGCGCGCAACCTCTGCAGCTCGCATCGCTCAAACCTCCTTCCTCATGGCCCTAGCCGCAACCACCATCAGCGAATTCGGATATGGAATCACTCGAGCCTCATCTGGACTCTTGTGGGCATTTTTCGCATTGACTGTTTTGCACATCTTTGTTGCCGCTGCTGTGAGGAACTTGGGCGTGCCGATCGCGTTGGGTCTCCCACAGTTTCTCTTGATTGTTGTTATCATAGGATTGGCTTTTAGGGATTAGGCATAGTTTCTTTTTTTGAGTTTTATTTTTTGGGATATGTTTGTTTTTTTTTTGGCAAAGTGTGCGGGGGATATGAGTTTGGTTTACCGTAATGGACGGGAAGGAAAAGGGTTTGGTATCCTTTACGTTTTTCGGGCTGGTTATCCCGTGTCTCTTGTCAATATCTGTATGCTGAGACTTGGGATTCCCTTCTATCCGTAGTATTGTAGGTTTGTCGTTCTAGTTTAATTCAAGTTTCATGCATCATTGTTCTAATTTCATAGGCTGATACTGCCAAAACGCAGTCGTGCTTACCAACATCATCGCTTTATTCAATCAGCAATGTGGCGCAGTTGATGCGGCTTAGACTGCAAAACAACCGGCTCGATCCGCCCTTGCCAGCTATATATTGCGATCGCGACTTACGTACGTGGGAACTTTGCTGTTCGCAATTTTCCCACCGACTGAAATCTCTGCGATATAGCATTACTCAGTTTCTGTTGAAGTCATGTCCCCCCCTCCCGATAATAGCGTAGCTCACAGCCCTTCAGAAAAGGATTCGTCCTCTGAACAACCCAGCTTGTCCGCCCGCGACTTTGCTGCCACGTCAGCCGTGACCGACACTCCAGCAAACAATGACCCAACCGGTCCTTCTGGCGAATGGCAAATCGTTCAGAACGTTGCCGGTCGGACCTCACAAGAAAACGACAGTAAGAGTCTGGACACAGCGAAGACCGAGTCCGCAACGTCGTCATCGCAAAGCACAAATGTCAGTCCCTCCGCACCATCTACTTCAGGTCCTACTGAAGTAGGTCCTGAGACAACAACCAAGACACCTGTGGATCGTCCCCTTGAGGCTCCGTCCATTCTTCTGGAATCGCGTACTATTACTGCTGAGATTGAATTTGACGTCGATCTGGAGCGTAAAACCTGGTACAGGAGTCCCGCGTTTGGCCATCCCCGAGAGGAATGGAGGGTTACTTTGGACCAGGATCGGAAGACGGAGCAAGTTGGATGTTTCCTAGATGCAATCATTGGCTCTGACGAATATGAGAAACGCTCTGTAGAGTTCACTTTGAGTTGGAAGCTGAAATCTGATCGCGAATACTTACATAGTAAAAAGATTGAATATTCCTTCGGCTGGCGTTCCACTGATGATCCTGGTCGGGGTGCTCCTGAATGGATTCCATTATCGGTCTTTCCAGCGAACGTGATCATTAAAGTGGATCTGGCTCCCAAGAAGATTGTCGACAAGGATGTGAAAGTCGAGATTCGTGCCAACCCGGAGGCTGTCGAGCCAGAAAAGGTCTTGACTATCGCGAAGTCGAAGCTTTACGCAAAGGGCAACTTGTTTAGTTACATGTTTGAGAGTGGTGGAGAAGCTGTGGATGGATGCATATTCGATGAATCAGTAAACACTTTCAAAATTAGTGGATACTCTGTCGTGGCAGTCGAAGAGATGATCTTACACCAACGCGAGGATGCCTTTGCCTACATGCCGAAAGCGTACGAAATGGACGAGTTGAAGGAGAGAATACGTCTGGCAAGGTTTTTTGGCGCCCGGGATTGGCTTTCAGAACTGGTTGCCTCTTTTCGTCAGGATCATCTGAATCACAAAACCGTAATGGAGCATCTCATGTTTGCTGTCGCAGATGGGGAAGAGAAATGGGAGCTCAGCAAGGAAATCTATCAGGAGCTATGCATGAAGTACATGGACAGGTATCCAAGCCGTTACAGCACCACAGGACACTTTAATAGACTGCTCCCGGTGAATCTGAAGCCGAGAGAAGCCTTGCAACTTTTCGAATTGGCTTTTGACTACGCAAACATCGGCCTTGAGAATACTTGCTTGGAATTTATCGACACCAATAACTTGAGCAGGGAATGGAGGGGGTCATACGCTTTTGCCAATTACGGAGTGATGACCCTGATTCCGTATATTGTAGAACGTGGTTTGACCACCCTAATGCCTGAATGCATCGAAGGTCTCAAACATATTGAAGGTGAATATACGGATCGTGAATACTGGCTGGAGGGATTCAAGTATTGCAAGCGATTCTCCGGAGTGGCAGTCGTTAGGAATCTGTCCGTTGCGGCACAAAACAATTGTCCTCGACTCGCGCGCATACTGTTGAAATGGGCCAAAGAGAATCTGCAAGAATTCAAGAAGGAGAAAGGTTTCAAGGATGCCGTTGCCGGTCTTCCCAGTGCTATGGTCGTGGAACTTTTAGCTTAGTACTTGGACGGGCATATGTTAGGATCTATTATTGCGCGAATTATATGTTAGGGTGGTGGATTGCAGAATGTCAGGGAGAATAATGTATATCATTGAGTTGTATATCGCTTAGTTTGTATATCGCTTAGTTGTATGTCGCTTAGGTGTTATGAAATAAGAAGTTGCTGTATATGTGCTATTGTACTGACGACTATTTATTTATCGAGTTTGTTTAGCACTTTTGTCCTAGACGGCGTTGAAGGGAAGAATGTCATGCAATTATTCGTCTTGCCTCTCACCCACAGAAATCTGCTCGGCCGCAATTACTTGTTGCCTTTTCGTTCAAGCACCACGGAAGCATAATGCGAGAACACATCGACTATGGTGAGCATGTTGCAAGTGATCGCGCGCGCTAAGCCTCATAACGTAAGCCTCAAAGTGGCTTAATCGGGTTGAGCTTCGGCCAGTACCGTCTATGCAAATGTGCTTGGATAAAAGAACCACAAAGCATTAAGCGATTCTCTACACATTTTCCCCAATCTACATATAAAAAAAAATAAAAAAGAGAACATATCCATAAAGAAAGGCTATCCACCCCCCATTGACTCTCTCCTCTCACCCCCAACATCCCCACTCAATTGTCGCTCTACAGGTGATATAGGCACCGATTCGCGGCGCTTACTGGATTCTTTCAGAAGGAAGGAGATCCACATATCCGTAAAGGACTACATGAAACCGGGCGTTAGATTCCAAATTATCAAATACGAAACCCCATTTGGACATACCTCTCCCACAGCCTCCCTTCTCTCCACCTCACCCGCCCCCCGACTCCTCACCAATCCCACTCGAACTTTTTCCTCCTCCTCAAACTTCAACACACTCGAAATGACGCTCAAAATCTCGAACCTCTTGGTATCACCCCTGGGAGCAGACAGGAAGGACACAAGGAGGTTGGTGATGAGGCGTCTGTCCACGTTTTCTTCAGAGGCGGCTGCGTCTCGCATCCGGCGCATGGCTTCGGAGAGATGCGCCTGGAGTTGGATGACTAGGCAGAGTATGTGTGAGATGAAAGCCTTCCAATGAACTACAATGTCTTTTTGAGTAATTACCGTCATGTCGCAGTTTACCAATCACAACATTCTTTTCCTGCAATTCAGCCTGTATTCGTTGCAAGCTTGGCGCATCCATTCCAATTTTCTCTAACCGTTCCTCAGCTTTGGAAGCTCGGTCCTTGTATCCCTCCAATTCAGCTTGCACGCTCTTGAGCCGCTCATACACATCCTCAACGGCACCCGCGATTTCCCGCTCTTTAGAGATTTGAAATTCCTCCAGGACGCGTTGGAGGTTAGATGCCGCAAAAGCTTCGCGTTCTTTTTCAAGTCGGAGTCGCTCCATGTCTTGTTTAATGGTTTCCATTGTTTCGTGCATCTCGTTGACCCGCTCGAGGGCAGCGCGAGCTGCATCCCTTTCCTGAGCAGCAGCTTCCTCCCACTGCTCACGGTCACGTTCGAGCGTCTCAATTTGCCGAATGTATTCTTTGATGACGGTTTCCTGGTGAAGCGCATCCTGGACTTGGGCATCCTCTGTTTCCATTAAATGAGACCGGAGACGATCAAGCTCGCGTTCCAGGCGGCCGATACGTTCGCCGGCGGATTCAAGGTCAACGTGGAGACGGGCAGTTTCAGTCATGGAAGATGAGGCCTTGGAGCGAAGTTGGTCATTGGTGGCTGTTAGCTGGGCAAGTTGGTTTTGAAGCGCCTCATTTTCTTGAGAGAGGAGTTGGACTTCCTGCCGCAGTTTTTGCGATGTTTCCTGTCCACCAGAATATTAGATGCATGGTATGGGACGACTGGTTCATCAAACTTTACCAGCTCTGCCTGCAGTTTAGGCGCAATGGCATTCTTCATGGTCGTCAACTTATCCATCAACATTGTTTTCTCGGTGCCGAGTCTCTTGACGTCCTCCACAGCAGCGTCATATTTGGCTCGCAGGTCCGTCAAATCCTGTCCAGATCCTGACGCTTGTTCTAATTCATTGACGAGGTCAGATATTCTCTTTTCGTACTCTGGATTCCCATTTGTGAGTAAACAATCTTTATCGCCCATCTACGTAAAAAGACGTACCAGCTTTGATCTGCTCGTTCGCGGCCATCAATTCCGCCCGGACCTGTTCGACCCGTTCCGACACGCTATCCCCTTGTTCCATAGCCCCTTTTCTGAGCTCCTTTACCAGTTCTCCAACCTCCAAAAGCTGTTGTTTAACCATATCCGGAACACCATCTTGTGCACCAGAACCAATCTCCTCATTATGTAAAATAGCTCTACATAAAGCCAAAATTCCTTCTTCAGCAGTTCCAAAATTGTTTTCTGCCTGCAAAGTCTCAAGGCCACGCTGGGCCTGTTCCAAAGCCACCGATAAGGTATCCCTCTCCCGTTGTAACGCATTAAACGATTGCGAAAGTTTCGCTATCTTGTTTTCCAACTCCCGTTCCCGGTTCTCATCCGAGCGGTGTCTCGCCAAGAGATCCTCCAATTCCGCAATCCGCATAGCATCCTCCTGTCGTCCTTTTACGTAGGGTCCAACAATTCTAGCCAGATCAGATTGGTGTTCTTGGTCTTCTTTTTCTAATATTTCCTGGAATTCGGCTTCAGTGCGTTCTGCAGCGGATCGGAGGTCCTGGATTTGGTTGCCAAGAATTGTGATCGTTTGGTGGGCGTTGTCGAGGCTTGCGGCTTTTTCGTCGAGGGCGGCCTGGAGGTTTATGAGGGTTGCGTCTCTTTCGGCGAGATTAGTCTGGAGATCTTGAAGGGTTGCGTCTCTTTCGGCAAGGGCGGTCTGGAGGTTTTGAAGGGTTGTTGCTTGTTCGTTCGTATGATGAGAGGTATCATTCAGTGCAGTTAGCTGGTGCTGGAGTGACTGTATTTCAGCGTCTTTGGACGAAAGCTCGTTCATCACACGCTCGTACTGGTCCTGCAACTTTCTCACTTCCATTTTGCTCTCCTCGGCTATTTGAGACGCCTTCCGAGCACCTTCCTTCGCCACCTGACACTCTTCTTCCAACTCCTCGCAGCGCCGACGTGTATCTTGCAATTCCGTTCCCTTCTCCGAAAGGGTTTGAAGTAGCTCCCGTTCATTGTGCTCTAAACCTTCGATGCGAGCCTGGAGATCCGTATCGATTCCAGGCACATCTAAATCCCATGCATTCGCGACAGTTGAGTCAGATTTGGATTGCTCAAGCTGTCGAGCCAGAGCATCTTGGCGTGCCTGACTCTCCTCCATCATTGCTTGTAATCGCCCATTCTCATCCGTAAGTCGTTGTACCAAATCGGACAGCGACTGGTGTTGGTCCTTGTATTGGCTGACGGAAATGAGTTCATTTTCTAATTGGGTATTTGTTTCGGCGATGGCGGAAAAGCGGGCTTCCAATTGTTCGTGGGCAGTTTGGATTTCTGATAACTGCTGTCGAACCTTGTGAGTTTCTTGCTCAGCGGCCTCCCGGGCAGTATTCGCATCTTGTTCAAGCTTGTTATCCAATCGTAGACGAGCAAGCTCCTCGGTCAGTGTGTCCAGTTGACCGGTCTTTGCAGCATCTTCATCCCGAACCTTCTCCAATTGTGAGGAGAGCTCGGTAACATATGAATTTAGCCGTGCAATTTCATTTTGTGCTTCTTTGGCTGTTGAGTCTGCTTGAGCATGTTCAGAACCTAATGCATCGATCCGTCGAACCAGTGCTTCCTCTCGTGCAATGCTCTCTTGGTACTTTTCTTCTAATTGCCGTGTATACTCTTTTACCGCGTCCAACTCTGGGCGCAACGTTTGTGCTTCCGTTCCATTTTCGTGTACAGGAGCTCTCGAGGCAGTTTCCGACTTTAGTTTCTCCACCTCACTTTTCAACGCTGCAACCTCTTTCTCTATCTCTCCCTTTTTCTTTTCTGTATCCCCAACCCTTTGATTCAATGCGGCATTCTCTCCAGTCAAATGCTTCAAATGCTGCACTGCCTTTGCCAATTTTGCCCGATACGACTGTATTTGTTCTGCTTCCGATAATTGCCCGGGAACAGGTGATGGGGGTGGTTGGGGTGAAGAATGGGTCGAGGACGATCGAAGCTGGGCAATGCGCGCTTCAAGGCCTTGGATGTGATGATCTTTTTGTAAAAGCTGGGCAGCAAGGTCGGTTTGAATTCGGGACAGCTGCCGGGCGGATGTAGTGTGTAAGTCGTGGAGCAGTGTGGTGAAGGGTTCGCGTGTTTTCTATATATTTCGGGTTTTGTTTGTCGGCACTTTTTGTTTGGTTTTTTTTTCTTTTACAAAGCCGGCCCCCAAATCACTCAACATGACATGTCCCATGTCGTGAAACACATATCCCTCCGTCGCATTCGCAATGCACGTCCGCCAAAAACAGCACACCTCTACATGTCGAAACAAAATAAAACTCACCTCCTCCTCCAAATCCCGGTTCCGTCGTTCCAGGGCCTCAGCCCTCGAATCTCCAAAATCTCCACCAACATCCCACCCCTCCCCTCCACGCACACCATGTCCCTGCGACGCATGATCGTCATTCAAGGCCGTCTCTGCGATCGATTGGACCTTGGATGCAAATGAGCCGATACTCCCTGCCAACTTGTTGGTATCAAACCATGACATTTCAGAGCTGTGTGCGGGAGGATGGGGATAAGATGCTTGCGGGTGAGAAGCGCGGATGCCAGAGGCATGCAGATGCCTTAAATGTCGTCTCGTCGCCCCGTCAATAGAGTTTGTTGGCGCGTTCACCGTTTCCGTCCCAGAGCTGGCTGTGTACTAAACCACCGAGTGCGCAGTAAAGTCTGATTACGATAACAATTGCCGACTCGCCGGAGTTTTTCCTCGGTTATCAAGTGTCAAAGTATCCTGACATGCGGCGCTTGACAAATTTCTTGGGTGAGTTATTGTTAATCCACGCTCACCCAACTTCTCCAATCCTCCCAAATCACGCTGACGAAATCTACGCAGGATTACCAACCACATGGATTTAAACTCCATCCTGCGCTCACGCTGCCCCTGATTCGTATCAATCAGCGGCAATGAGGGTTCCTACCGCACCACGGCGCCGAGACATCCATTCATGGGGACGAGACAGTGGGTTGGGAGATTAGGGTTGTGTTATTTTTGAGTGGGAGACGGGTATAGTGTCACTTGGGGTTTTTAAGGTTACAGATCTACAGCTCAATGTCTAGACGGTGGCAGGCCGCTGAAGAAATGAGGGATCGGAAGCTTCTTTGACATTTTCAGTTTTTTTTTCGGACGGCACAGAGTAAATGTGAGGGATATAAAACAACCTGCAGAGGACGACCAGTCCCTGCCGTGGACAAGTCAGTACTCCCAGGACCCATTGACCACAGAAGAATATGGCTTTCTACAAGCGAGCCAAACTGCCTCGCAGCGACTCTGCGGAAACCATCGTCTCAGGCGTTGATCACCTCACGGTCTACACCCATAACACCGCCTGCCTCCCCGTTGACCCAGCCTATCACCAAAACATCACCCGCCTAACCTCCTTCCAGCAATCCATTGAAGAAAGCACATATGACATTGTCGCCCTCCAAGAGATATTCGAAACCATCCATCCTCCCTCCGCAGAGCTCATGTCGCAAGAACTTCACCATAGCATCACAGGCAGAATCCGAGTAATTATGAAAACATTCAAAAAGAACGGTCTGGGAACGACAAAGCACAAACGACGACGCTTGAGTTCGTTTCACAGTATAGGAACCCGGTTCAATAAGCAGTTCTTTAGGAGGATTGATGGGGGGTTGTTGACGTATTCTCGGTGGGATTTGTGTACCAAGGGTCGAGAGCGGTCCAGGTTTGTTCCCTTCAAGGTCCAAACGGATCCCATGGAGCGCGGAATGCTGCTGAGTGTCGTGCAAGTTCCGGGACACTCACCGATCCTCCACATCAACACCCACCTTTCCCCCGACTACCACCCCGAATCACAACGAATTCGGACGCTCCAGATTCTCGAAATCATTCATGAGGTCTCTACGCGATACGCGGCACTCTCATCTCGGATCATCCTCACAGGAGATCTGAACATCGACCTCCACGGCCCGCAGAAGAACCAGTTGGATCTGTTGATGGCTGGACTGCAGTTGACCACGTTGAACGAGAGTCGATTGCCACCTGTCACATTTGTTGGGAACGAGAAAGATACGCATGCGGCTGTTTTGGACTATGTGTTAGTAAGTGAGGCGTTGGGTGAGATAGTTGACCTACGGGCAGTTGACGGAGCCATGTTTGGAGATCATGTTCCAATGGTTGCAACGGTTGCGCTCAAGTAAATGGGAAAAGTTGTAAAGCTCGTTGTACATATGTGTGTAGTAGAGCTCGCAAGGTATATAGGTACTGCGCTTCGGGATTCGTTATTGTGCATAATATCTTAGACAAGACGTAACCAGACAAGACAACAATTATGAATTGCGCAAAGTCGAGCGAGACATTGTTCAGTCAAAGAGGCCTAAAGTAAACAGTTCATTAGGAACATGTCCAGACCTTACCCAAAAGCACATCACGCTCACCAAACCCCATATCTTCATCAGATTCCTCCTCCACCTCCGGCTCCTTCTTCTGTTCCTCCGGTTTCTTCTCTTCCTCCCCCTTGACTCCATGTGCCTCTCCACCACCGCTTCTTACAGCCCCCAAAACAGCCTTATCCATAAACGCCTTGAGCTCATCAGTCGGCTTCACACGGAGAGCTTTTGCAAACGTCTCAGGCCAAATAGGGTCAATCTGAATATGAGCTGACTCGAGGAGAGCCTCGAGGTTTTCAGTCTAGAAGAACAATCGTGTGAGAACGTGAGAACGCTTGAGTAGTGAAGAAACGACAAGGACTACAGCACAGTAACAGGTTTGTTGGCGTCAAGAAGAAGGAGTGAGGCGTAGACGCAGGACGCTTCGGCAGTCGATAGGTTGAAAGACATTTCAAAAGACTACAGAGAAGTGTAGTAAAGCACAGTGATATGTCAGCCTACTTGTACCTCGATTGCATTTTCATGACGTGAAGCAAATGTTCAAGCCCCCCGTTGGAGTAAACTAGCAAACCCATCAACTTTTGGCAACTTGAAGGACTGGTTTGCGCCGTAGGAGATGACTCAGAAAAATGGTATGTGCCTTCTCGCAGTTACCCAAAGACAACTAAAGCGAAACGCTCTCCCCGTGAAATGGATGTGGATGGGACCTATATATCCATTCGCAGATCACAACATTCAAAATAGCATAAAATCATCAGAGCATATCCATACGGCAGACATTGTATCATGTAGACACTAGGGCTTGAAAGAGCGGCGCAGATATGACATACACGCATGAATAGCATGGGCATGCACCTCAAAAGCGTTTGTTACATGCTTATATTACACACACGTTTGAGAAAAGCCTTGAGCATGGACGGTAACAGGTCACCATCACTCTCCAATACCAGATTGGCCTCGAGTCTTGGCGAAAAAACATTGCCGAAGACTTGCCGAGCCAGGAAACCGCCCTACTTTTTGGCAGTGAACGTCGTAACAGATTCTCCAACGGCAATAAAATTGCCATCACACATTGGCAAAAGCACTGAAACAAGACCCAATTCGTCGTCGTCTTTCCACCAACATGCAGTCCACAAGTGTCCGATCTCGCTTTGTCCGAACATAAACAAATGCGCGTTTACATAATCTTGACTCGCGCTAGGGGAAGGAACGCATGCCAGGAGGTGGAAACGACGACGATGATTGGGCCTTCATGGCGTGCTCAGAAGAATGACGTACGGAGGATAACGTTATCTTCCGCCGAGAATTCCGAAATGCAAAAAAAAAGCGCAGTCCCCCAGGGTTATAAAAAGGCACCCTCTCCCATATCCCCCCACTCTCTCTTCATCTTTCCTTCCGCCTCGGGATGGCATAAAACTCGCTCCAGCCATGGGTACTGGCGTAAAACTCAACTCGGTCCAAAAGTATACCGGATAACTTTAAAGGCCGTTGTAGTAATGCAACGTGATAACCTCTTTGAGGTGGGCGCCTGGGACTGATCGTTTGCGCGCGCCAGAAATGGAAGGAGCAACGACTCGCCGGAGCCTTCGGGTGATGATGGCATCCTCTTCGGGGGAAGGGCCTGTGATAAAGGATGAAAAGGATGAAAATAAGAAAATGATGCAAAGCAAACTCCCTTTGAAGTCCTATCCAGACACTGTATTCTCAGCGGCTTTCCCAGCAGCAAAGCACCTACCAATACTTGCACTCGCATTCAGATCAACGACAACAGACTTGCACTGAGAGATCGACCAAGGAGACCAGAAAATTGATTTTCATCGACTTTGCCACAATGAGTGAACTCAATGCCAAAGCAGGCGTGGAAGCCAAGGTTTGGCAAACCTACGAAAAGTCCTCGCCAATGTTGCTTCATCCGTGAAGTGAAAACGAGTCCAAAGAGGCCAGACGACCCAATCAAGGATTTCCATCGCACACTGCTAATAAAGGGCAGCACATAAAGCAGTCCAAGATTGTCTGATAGTATTCATAAAAGGATCCGACCGCATTGGATGATCATGGTCACGCCTGTCTTTCACACAGATGAGGGTAGTGAAAGCCCACTATGCACACTCATCAACCCGAATCATATACTACGCCTCCAAAAGCTTGATGTTCCAACTCCCATCACGTTCCACATCGCAACTCTATACACCTATAAGAGACCAGTCTACACCAAAAAATAACTTTCAACAAAACCGCCAATGTTCCATCGCATCACTCCACCGCAACTCCACCAAAATCCCTCCGCCGTCCGCCTACATGCTTATTCGTCACCTCTCTACTCACTTCCACCACCGCGTCCTCTCCACTCCCCTGTACCCGCACATGATGTACATCCACAACATACGCAGAAGTATCACACTCCCCCGTATCCCCCGAAAAAGCCCACCCATGCAAGGGGCACACAATGGCAACGCCCCATTTAATCCCCATGTCTTCAATATCTACAAGTGATCCGCGTGAGAGAGCCCCGCCTTGATGTGGGCAGATCTGTGTAGAGAGTATTAGAAAACCCTCCTAAAACAGATCTGAGATACTGTATGAGAGTGGTAAACGCACATTATTGACGGCCCAGAATTGATTCATATCTGGGCGGTAAAAGACGGCCAAGCTTTTGGTTTTGTCATTTTCGAGGGTGATTCGGACTTTTTGGCATGTGAAGGGCTCAGTAGAGGTGAAGGAGGAGAGCGGGCCGACGGGAACGTAGGTAAGTGACGACGACATGGTGAATGCGCAAAACGACGAGGAAGACGGGAGAGCGATTTTGATCTGGGTCATGTGATGGATCGGATCGTGGTTTGATGTAGTAATCACTGCCAACAGTTTCTTCCAATTCCCGCTTCTTGAACGGTTGCGTCTGGCTGCACATAGTGCGGAATGAGCATTTATCGAAAGGCAGGGCACTGGAGACATTCAGAGATGAAACGTACGTGCGATAGTAGGCTTGTCAGTTGGGTGGAGCAACTTGTGAGAAAAGGTCAGTGGGGCGACGCTGGGTGATGGGGACTAAATGCAGCGACCGTTCTCTGGCATGTAGACAGGCAGATCTTGATTTCTTTAACGTCCTGCTATGTATATTCAATTGGATTCATTTGTGAAGCAAGACTTTGTGACTTCTGTAGCAAATCAGCGGTATTGGCAGTGTTTAATGCCCCAGGGGTGCGAGAGGTCCATCAGATCTCCAGAAGTTAGTCCAAGGGATAGATTCCGAATTTGTTATGAGATTGACCTTTTCAATAGTTTTTAACAGCTTCCTTAGCTCAGTTGGGAGAGCGTTAGACTGAAGATCTAAAGGTCTCGTGTTCAATCCACGAAGGGAGCATGCGATTCCGCTGAAAATATTTTTTCTTTGGCAATCCTCTGCGACATCTAAATTCCATATCCAAAGAGCAAAAGTCCGACAGACAAGGTAATAATGGAGATGACTCTGCAAATCTCCTCGCTGTGCCAATGACCCTCCCTTCCAGCAAATATCACGTTAATTCTATCATAATAATCCTTTTCTGCAGTGCATCAAAGCCCAAAGCTGAGCCCCAGAGGTCCTCCTCAGACCAATTGTACAAAAGTAAAGTAGAACGTCATCCCACTGGCGCTTCCCATGTGTCATGTGATTAATTTTCTTTTCATGACGAAACGATTTCTCATTAATCCATTTTAGTATAAATGGATCCCTGTACATAATAGAACAGGCTCTCACATGATATCACATGATAATAAAGCGGTTTGCGTTCAAAATTGCACAAGGCTTCTTTGCCTTGAAGTTGTCCTCCTTCCCACGGTTGGAAATTTCCCCATCCATTTGCAACGCAGGTCGACATGGAAGAGTACATTGCCTACTACACATCCCAGGGACACGAGGACGACGACACAGAGCATGACAGTGGGTCTTTGCTCATTGTCTCCACCGCCCCCGTCACTCCCGCACGCATACCCTCTCCCAAGCCTCATTCGCCACCAAGTCACCACAACAACCACCAGGGTCTCCCAAGATCAAAGAGTTTTGTACTAGAGGTAGGCATACACGCATTTAGGCAAAGAGTAGAGATGGTTGCTCACGCTTGGATGTAGTCACCTCTTCGAAAAAGGCCGCAGGATCAAGGTCTCTTATTGCAGGGCCCGTCCGCAGCAACATCCACAATAGGGACTGCTGCACAAGCTACGTCGCCCTCCTCTTCCCCTTCTTCGTCTTTGGGCGCCATTCCCCTTCCCGCTCCTGCTCCTCTTCCAGCTAGCTCACACTCACACCACAATCTCCACTCGGTCCTCAACTTGGACCCGCCGCACGACTCGCGAGAGGACGAGCTGCAAGACCCTGCCGACGCCCGCGTGTATGGCGTCGCCCACATGTTTTTGAGCTCAAACACGGCTCAGCAGCAGCAGCAACAGCGGCAAGAATTAGACTCGGCACTGCCCCCTTCCTTGTCCTTGCCCTCAAAAAATGCGCAGATTTCAAAACGCTCCTCGTGGGTCACAAAGTCCCCAAGAGCGGCATACCCGCCCACTCTTCAACAGTTTGATGTCTATCAACACATTGCTCCAGCCGTCGAGACGGGTGTGTCCAGTCCCATGGACAAGGATGTCCAATCTTTCCTTGAGACCGATGCGTGCCTCAGCCCGATGGACCAGGAAAGTCTGTGGATGCACGAAACGGATACGCGCAGTGCTGCATATAGCCCCATGGACCTGGACGAAAATAATGACTTGACATGCACGCACGAAAGCGACACGTGCACCCCCATGATTGTAAACGACGGTGATACATGGATCCACGCATCCCGCCAATCCGTTGTTTCGCGCTTCCCTCCAGAACTTTTGCTCCAAATATTCAGCCATTTTGATCCCCCTTCCCGCGACTCGGCTGCCTTTCTCTCCCCCGTCTCCACGACAGCGGCTCTGCGCGCCTGCGCCCTTGTTTGCCACTGGTGGAATAGAGTTGCCACCCGCGTCCTCTGGCGACGACCGCGCGTTTATGACGCCTCGCGATTCGAGAAACTGGTTTTGTGCGTGGAAACTTCTCAACCCGACACATGTCCCAAACCCACCTACCCCTACGCCGAACTCGTCCAACACCTTTCCCTGTCCCAAACCCTCTCAGAACCTCATCGCCACGCAACGCGTCTCTCATCCCTCCTCACCCGCCTCTTGACTCTCCCCGATCTCCACCTTACGACGCTCGATCTTGCCTTTTGCAAGGGCGTCTCCAATTTTGCTCTCCAGCGCTGCGCGCACGCTCTCCGTTCCCTCGTTTCGCTCAACCTCGCCGGAGGCGGCCGGAGCGAAATCTGCATTATCAAAGTCGCTCGCGAATGCACAAACTTGAAACGTCTTGGATTGGGTTGGAACGAAGCTGTCGGCGATTTTTGTGTCCGTGAGGTGGGCCGATGGTGTCCGCGTCTCGAGTGGATTGATTTAAGTGGGTGTTGGCGCGTGGGAGATGTAGGTGTGGTTGGTCTTGTTCGTGGGTTATCTGGGTCCCTTGATACACGCGTTATGGAAACCCCCTCCGTTCCTTCCAATGCCCCTCCCTCAGCGTTCATTAGTCTCCCACCCCCGCCGGCGGGGCCAGCTGCAGGACCAGCAGCCGGGACACCGATGCCCACGCTTCTTCTACACACTCCGCACCGCCCAACCCTAAAACACATTTCCCTCTCGTACTGCACAAACATTACAGACGCCGCCATCCACGAACTTGTCGACCGCCTGGGTTCCTCCCTCCAAGTCGTCAATGTGATTGGATGCGGTGACATTGGCGGCGCCGTACGCCGTCTCATCCGTTCCGCCCAACAACGCACACCCGAAGGCGGTGTGTATGTTGATGTGGATGCCATTCGGCGGTGTAGCGGAAGTGTCTTTGAAGCTACAAACAGAAGAATTGTCATGAATGTACCAGGTTTTGTCCCATTTTATGACTGCAGCTAGACTTTTCTTGGGTGTTTAAGATGTGTTTTTTTTTGTAAACGTCTGTATGTGTATGCGTGTGTATTTTATCAGGGATGGGGAGAATCTACTTGTAGCTCTTTTGTACTTAGGCTTTTCTACAACCCGTCAAAAACACCTTTGATGACACGTTCTTGTTCTGCCTTGTACCGCTTTCCAATACCTGTTGCTGGGACGGCTGAGGGTGGACGGCCATGATATTTCAACTAGAACCCCATTTGTGTGAGCATAAAGCGTGAGTCAAAAAACACGATTCACAAAAAGGAAATACATACCGAATGCCCTTTTGGCAACACATTGTTCAACCTTGGTTCCATAAATGTGTATGCACCCTGATTTTGGGGTTCTTCTTGGAGCCAATACCAATCTACAAAAAAGGAACCCATGGAATCAATACTTTACCACTTTCTTCTTCCAAGACGATTCCAAATACCTGTAACACCGGCATACCCGTCCACAACACTCCGCAACTCGCTCCAGGGCACCGGACAAACCTCTTCAACCCTTACAAACGCCACAGCACCCTCCAACCCTCGTTGCGCACGCTCTTTAATCAAATCATAATAAATCCTCCCCGAAACAAACACGACACGTTTGGGGTTCACAGCAGTAGGGTCGGGGAGGACGGGGTGGAATGTCGTGCCGGGTGCCATATCGGCCAATGTCGATGTCGCGAGTGGATGTCTGAGGAGGGATTTGGGTGTGGCGAGGATGAGGGGTTTGCGGTAGGGACGGTGTAGCTATGTTGTTTTCCCTTTTTGTTAGTGGATGGAAATGGTAAGACGGGCAGAGGGGGAATGTTTACCTGTCGACGGAGGAGGTGAAAGTACTGCGCTGGTGTCGTAGGATTCGCGACATGCATATTGATGTTTTCCGTTGGGCCATCGAATCCTTCATCGCACAACTACGCCAAAAGAAAACAAGAAAACGTCTGAGGAACATAAAACACATTTAAACATCACACATTTACTCACCTGCAAAAATCTCTCGACCCTCGCACTACTATGCTCAGGACCTCCCCCTTCCAATCCATGTGGCAACAAGAGCACCAACCCAGACTGTCTCAACCATTTAGCTTCCCCACTCCCCAAAAACGTATCAACAACAATCTGCGCCCCATTAAAGAAATCCCCAAACTGGGCTTCCCAAATACAGAGCCGACGGGGCGTTTCAATACTCATGCCGTATTCGAATCCCATGACTGCGAATTCGCTGAGTGATGAGTTGGCGATCTCGAGTTTGGAGGATGAAAGGGTGTTTAAGGGTATGGTTGTCCGTTCAGTGTTTTGGTCAACGAGCATTACATGCCGTTGGGAAAAGGTTCCGCGGCCGACATCTTGGCCTGATATCCGGACAGGGAAACCTAATACGCCCCAATCAAAGTCAAAATACACTCGGAACATAATGACACGGATAAACAACCACACACCTTCCAATAACAGACTCCCAAAAGCAAGTGCCTCGCCCGTAGCCCAATCCAACCCCTTCCCGTCTTCCAATTTCCGTAGCCGAGTATCTACATGGTATTTTTGGATACGCGGATGCACGACCTAGTATCATCCACGTCAATGCCGTTGGTTTGTTGCAGTACAAATCAGAAAATGTACATACCGTTCCAGAAGGAGTCTGAACAGACTTTTGCCCAACTTCTTTCAAAACCTCCACATCAACACCTAGTATTCCGTTAATACACGGTATACCGGTCTGCACATTTACATACAAGGTACATACCCGTCTGCGGTGCGCTGATGACTTGCCGTGGAATAGTCATCCCGGACCATTTACCTTTCAATGTATCCGCCTACATGCATAAAGCGGCACATTAGATCACAGCGATCGTGCAAAGAGATAGTGTGCATACCGTAGGCGTGAACGAATAACTGTCTTCTAAATGCCGATCTAATTGCTCGAAATACTTTGTACGAAGGGTTTCGATTTCTTGTTTATCGCCTAATACCTTGTCGTTCTAGAAACCAATTACTTCAAATTCAGTATTTTACATGTACACTCGCTACGAAATGCATACCATCAACTTCTCTTCATAGAGTCTCGGAACACTCTTTCGGCCTCGAATGTTGGCGTACATGGATGGTTGTGTAAATGCTACGTAATCTCAGTCATGGAATAGATGTATTGAATACGGATTGAAAGGCGATACATACCAGGCTCATCCAACTCATTGTGTCCCATCCGACGGTACGCAATTAAATCAATAATAACATCTTTGCGAAACTTGTTTCTGTATTCAAATGCTATGGCCGTTGCCCTTGCCACATCCTACCAAAGACAAAAAAAATCGACATCAGCCCACGCCCATTTCTCACGAAAGACGTAAACGAGAAATCAGACAAACTCACCTCGGGGAAATCCCCATTGACATGAATAACCGGACATGAAATCATTTTCGCTACATCCGAGCTATAGTAACTGGATCGAGCGTTCATGGCGGGTGTCGTGTATCCAATCTGGTTATTAACAATGACGTGCACGGATCCTCCTGCCGTGAAATGCGGGAGGTTGGCTAGACCTAGCGTTTCGGTTACGACTCCCTAAACAATAAGCCCATGAATACCACCAACAAAATCACAGAAATCCATTATACGATCCTCACCTGCCCACAAAATGCAGCATCCCCATGCATCTGAATACACATGACACGATCCCCAATGTAGCAATCCGTTTCCGAGCCGCTTTCATACAAGTACATTTGCTTTGCCCGGGCTTTGCCGAGAGCGACGGGGTTGGCTGCCTATGTTGCGTCGGTTAACAATATACGCAGATACAAAAACCATGCACGAAATAAAGAACATACCTCCAAATGAGACGGGTTATGCAACATGGATACATGAACAGGATGTTTCGCGCCATACGACAAGTCCACCGAAGTAGCTAAAAAAAATCAATCAGCATCAGCACCCGCTTCCAGCACAAAACATTACAAATTGAAACCAACCTAAATGCGACAGTACATCCCCACACCCTGGGATATCATCCGGAAACTCTGCGTTCCCCTTCACTTTATGAAACAAGGCTGTCGGGTTATATTTCAGTAGGTCTGTCAAGAGGTTAAGACGGCCTCGATGGGGCATGCAGAGGACAATATCGCGTATTCCGGCTGTAACAAACGTGGTTTAAGGCATGCAGCTTGTAGCTAGGCGGGGAAAAGGATAATACATACCATAGTTGGCTTCCTTGAACAAAGCGTCGAGAACAATCTAAGGAGCAGATTAGAATACCGTTGATCAACGTGTCAAATGAAAAATGGGGGAAACGTACCATCATACTCTCGGCACCCTCTAATCCGTATCGCTTCACCTGCGGAAACCTTTTTGCCATGAAATGATCAAAGACCTAAAAAGAAGGGTAACTAAAACAAATAATGACAACACAAGAACCCGACAAATACGATACCTCTGATTTGGTCAACAATTCGAAAATCCGTTTCTTGTCCCCATCTGTTAACGGTTTGACCGGATCTGACTCGACGAGCGTCGCAAACCATTTCCGTTCACTTAAATTCTATAAAAGAACTTAATACCAAAGTATCCCACTTGTAAGCTAGAGTCACGTACCGGAATGTGCGTAAACTCAAATCCAATCCTCCCACAGTAAACGTTTCGCAAATGTGTCATAATCTCTTGCAAACTCGCTTGCTGCTTATCCATGTGGAGGATTCCTTCTAATGTATACGTTCCTTCCGATAAGCCGTATCGGGTGGGATCCAATTGAAACACATGACTATATAAAGTTAGTGTTGGACTATGGAGGCATTACATTAAGATGACTTACTCGGCAGGCGTTAATCCCAAGGGATCAAGATTGGCAACCCGATGCCCATGAACACGATACATGTGTACAAGACGAACAAGATTGGCTTGTGCATTCCTATTTTGCTTTTCTTCATTCGTATCTAAACAGAGCGTCAACACACAGCGTCAACACACAGCGTCAACACGGGACATTCAATTCCATTCCATATTGCAATTCCCACATACAATCAGGCATTTCAAATACCCTCGGCGTCCGAAACCCATATATATCCCGGTCGTAATTGTATCGTCCCACTACAGTGGCATGAAAACTCCGTACCGCGCATCGTGGAAATCTTATTGCCGGTAGAACGCGGACTAGGCGGTGCATCCTAAGAAGCGACATGCTGCTCCTCATGTCAGTAACGTAATGTCTACATGTTCTCCCATGTCAGACCCTTGATAATACCTTGCAATCTCTACACGGAATGCCCCCGTTCGCGGATTCCTTTCAAACGTCCCTTAAATGCGCAGACCTTTAAGAAGCCGCGCATCCCAATTTTGGGCTACAACGTCGCCACGAGTTTTTGGTGTCGTGTCACCTGAGCAGGTTTCCCGTTTGTGGATTTACATCGTGGACGCTTTTTGTCCGGAAATGGCTTTTGGCCGACGATATTTGCATTGCAATAACGGACGGATTGGAGTGGTATGAGATGTATTTAATTGTTATAAAGGGTTGGAAGACTGTTGGTATGTTTCTATGGATTCTTCTCCGGTAAAGTCCAATGAAAGGCTTCTTGGACCAACCTCCTTTTGAATGGCTATTACATGGACGGGTAGGTCATTGTCACTGCATCCAGTAGGGACTTTCAAGTTACCACGCTCAATCGTAAAACTCACGCTTGCTAGATTGGTATTTCAACATGGCTCCTGTTGGCTAGCTCTGGTTAATAACGGGGAGCAATTACATAATGTCAACATATATGTATTCATCTGTCGCTATGCTTGGGAACATGTCCAATTGGGTAAAAGTTCTGGATTCATGCTCGGAAAGGATAAGTGAGTGGCTTGGAGGATGTTGGTGTATAGATGCCATGCGTTAAGAGCCATTCAAAGGTCGGCCTCCGTTAATGGGTCCAACGCCCATACTTGCAAAAAAATCAGCAATCATTTCTGCTATGTTCTTTGAATCCCATACATGGCTGGGTGCGGCGAGTGCGACAGCACTTTCACTGAATACGACATGACCAACGGGAGGAAGAAGCCTTCGTTCGACCGACTGTACGCTTTAATGCCTGAACTTTCGTCATGAGATGATCGAGCTGCACGTGACTCTGTTCATCATCGAAAGATCACCCCCAAACCCCGTCATGTCGCTGGTTACCATCACAAAGCCATCATGCCCTCCACTACAACTCTTTACAGCCTAACAGCTCTCTCAGCTCCCGTCTTCGCCCTCGGAGCCGGAATCTCCCTTCTCAGAAACCAACAGAAGCGCCCTTTCGGAACCAAAGACGATCCAACAGATCCTCTGACCAAACTGGTCGTTGCGCACCGGAATGCAACAGAGTACGCTGGAGTGCTCGTCCCCCTTATTCTGGTTGTGGATGCGAGGTGCCGTGGACGTGCGGTTGATGGGATCGTGATTGGAGCGGTTGTTTGCCGGAGTTTGTGAGTGTTGGGTTTGGTATGGCATATCAGATTATGTTGTTGATTTGCTTGCTTTAGGGTTATTGCATCGTTGGCCACCTGTCGATCTTTGACTGAGGTGGGCATTGGGAGGTTGGTTGGGGCTTGGGGAACATGTGAGTATACCTTTGCTTTTACTCTGTGCAATGTGATGCTGAAACTCGGCAATTTTCGTAGATATTTTTGGAGGAATTTTGGCGTTCCTTCCTCTCTGTTTTTGAGATATTTTAATGTAGCCGTCGGTCTAGATCCAGAGTCTTGTATGCAATGGCTTGGGTCTTGAGAATGTTTGAAACGCACTCATCATCGAAAATGTTTGGATGTAATCATGCCAATTTGTCAAATATATTCGTGAATATTGCCACGTGCAATGCTGGCAAATACGTAAACCATATTTCACATCCAGGTACTCGCTCGTCCATTAATCAAGAAATCTGTTTCCGGGTCATCACCGCCCAACTGCAATGTCGCTTTTCCGAGCACCAATGTCGCCATTCACATCAACACCGTGCTTCCCATCGGCCCGATCTCCAAAGCTACGAGCGAGTTTCCCCACTTTTGAATGGTTCCAGCCCTGTCATATCTCAATTAGCTTGTTGAATCAAGCCCGCCTTGACAACTGGTTAGCTTACCGCAATGTACATTGCGTATTTCCAGCGGCTGGTTCGGGAAAAGACGGTGGACGCCACCCAGTAAAGCAGCTCACCATATGAATCTGTGGCGGTATCGTCAACACAACCCACAACAAAAACTAGACCAGCAAAGCAACTTACAAAAGGCCAATCCAGTCTCCTCCCACCTATTATATCCTCCCCACAACCTACTCTTCACACCCTCCTCACCAACCCATTTGCGGCTTTTGGCATCCACCGAAGACTTTGCTTTACGCTTTGTAACCCATGTGGCCGCCTCCATAGGCGTAGGGCGCGTAGCGGGGTCCAGTAGGAAGGTTAGTAAAAGTCGTGTTAGGACACCAATATGAATGTGTCCCGCAGTCGCGACGGCATCAACATAGGCCTTTGGTAAAGAAACATTGAGATGGCTTGGTCATGTTTTTGTAGAAAAACAGTGAAGACTTACATCGTTGAGGAAAAGCATCGTGGGATATTTTGGTGGAAACGCAACACAAAAGAGATTGGGAGGGCGGAACTCGCCTCCTTGTGGCCCTTTCCAAATCTCATCGTCGACAAAGCCACTATCAGGGTGTTTGAATCCGGTTGCAAAAAATACCGTGTCAGCTTCCACGTCCGCGGTGCCGCCCTCTTCAGGGAATACAGCAGGTCGTGATATCATGGTTTGACTGTCCCAGGCGACGCCGGTAACTTTGACTCCAGTAGATGTAAATGTGTCCAGTTTTCCGCGGATGTAGCGAATCTTGTTATTGCGGATTAGGTCTAGGTAGCGGGTGTTTAGACAGGGTGTCGAGGCGTAGAAGGGACGTTTAGGTGTCATGCCCTGGTTATTATGTGAGATAATGCTTGCGGCCAGCGTGAAAAGGGACAAGAGCACTTACGTGGAGTTCAGAGCCGTACCAAAAGCGACGGAGAAAGATTTCAAATAGGAAGCCCAATTGAGCTGGGAGCATGCTTGCGATGCTGCTCAGCAGAACCCCTCTCGGCATACTACCAAGGGCAGCAGCAACAAGAGAAATATTAGCCAGCGCAACCAACACTGAACCGGGAAATAAACCACATACATCCACTTGTCATGCCTCGCAATAACCGTCACCTCGACCATGCCTTCTCCGCTACCCAACTTGGTCTCGTCCCCGTCCAACTTTTGCAATACATAATCGATCACCTCCACAGCACTGGCGCCACTGCCGACAACTACAATCCGTTTACCACGGTTCAAGTCCAAATCAACCTTGTCCATCTGTGATGAATGGGCTTTGAGGCCAGCGAAATCGTCCAGGCCCTTAAACGGGGGAATAAGAATGTCCCCGCAGGTACCAACCGCAGATATAACAGCGTCGTACTCGTCCGTCCCATTGACGGTGTAGGTTTGGGTGATTGCATCGTAAGTGACCGATGTAACAGGAGTATTGAACCGAGTGCGGGAGGGTAAATCATACATTTCCCAAATCCTTCTCAATTCCACCAAAATCTCATCCCTGGATGGAAATTGGGTTCGGAATCTCACAGCAGGATGAAATCTATAGAATAGGGCTTGAAACTGTAAGGCACTTGTCTTGTTCACTCTGGCCCATACACCGCCGACTTGGTCTCCTTTTTCATATATGGTACATTCAACAGAGGATCGTATGCAGGCTGCACCGGCTGACACTCCCGTTACGCCCGCACCAATGATGGCTACCCGCGGTCGGGCGCTCTGCGGTTTGGTGCTCTTGGAAGGGAGCCAAGGGTACCAGCCTTGGTTGGCTGCCCAAGCAAGAAGACGGGAGACACCGGTTGCGAGGAAGAGGTTGATCCAGACAAAAAGGGAGATGATGGTAGTGGCGATCGACGCGAGGGTGAGACGAATGTGAAGGAACGTCATGGTGCTTGAATACGGTGCTTTCGAATGGTGGTTGGAATACCAGAAGTGATGGTGAAAACAAGGGCGATGGTGCTGCTTCCAACCCTTTTAAATTTATATGCATCTCCCCATCTCCAAAAAGCAGAACCTTGCCAATGTTGAACCCGCGCGTTGATCGGTGATGACATCACGCGGTAATCCTCGAAATTTCCTGCAGGCGTCCAAAGTCGCTCGTCACCTTACGAAAACGTCGATTACAAGCTGCTGTTCTATTACGAATAATCTTGGAAGAGGCTGGCAGATGATGGACACTTGGCAAGATATCGAATCTTCCAAATTATAGAAGGATTTAAAATGTTTTTTTGTGAAAAATAATATTGCAATGAATCTTTTGATAAGATCCTCAGGGACACTAGCCACGCGATCGACAAATGACGGAGCACTAGTGAAAAGATGCACAAACAAAAAGCAACGAATTTCTCTTAACAGTTCCGTAACCACATTTTATTATTCCACTTCTTTCACCAAAGCTTTAGGCTCAACGCTTGCACACAATTCACACCAAACATGTCAAACGCAGATGCAAATCCCGTTCGCAATTCTGGAGTCGATTCCTGGACCGGCCTGCTGAATCCAGCTCATCCATCCTCTTTCCCGGCCTACTTTCCAGAACGATACCGGGAAAGCAGCGCGGGAACCTTTAATTCCTTTTCGGTACACGATGTGATACCTCCTGTATATCAGCCCAAGGACGAGGGATATACCTCTGCTCAAGTAGATGGCGATGACAAAATGAGAAATGACAAGAGAGAAAAGGATGAGGCAGGGGAGAGCGCTTGATCTCTGTAGTTTCCCTTGGACAATAATTGTTTGCTGGTCTGCGAGCACGCTGTATTTGGATTCGTCACAGTCCAGTTAGTCGGATGTATCACGAATACGACGTTTCAACAGAAAATTTCAAGAATATCAATAGTTGATACTCAATACAGTCGCACGTTGGCTATGATCATACGTTTGGACCATGTAGCACCATTATAGAATGATTTGGTTTATTTGACATTCCTGCACGTAAAAACGCGGCAATTGAGGAGGAAGTTGGGCACGTCGTAGACTTGCGGGATGGTCAGTAGCGTTGCATTCATATCAATAGATGCCCTGAATACATAGAACTGCTATTTGCATCTGTTGCTAAATGTCTTGGACCTTGATTGTTAATTTACAGGAGCCAGGGTCCTAAGGGACTGCCATAGTGAAGACACTATTTGCATCTGTTGCCAAACGTCTTGGACTCTGATGGTTAATTTAGACGAGCCAGAGCAGAGTCCTTGTGAAAAAGAAAGGGACTTACTGAGTGCATCGGGACATTCCGCGGAGCCTTGGGTCGCTTGGTAGCTCTGTGCAAGCTTACAGCATGGGATGATAAGCGACTGTCACCCAATCTAGCACCCAATCTGTCCAAACATGCACCTTTTCTTTGGATTACATCAGTGACCGACTGTTTTTTCTGTTTTCTGATTATTTAGCCAAATATTCCTTACCACAGGCATGATCAACGCCCATAGGTGGTTCTGCGCGTTTTTCTTTCTGTCGCCGTGGCAAGCGCTGCCACTTTTCCACTGGCAAATGGGTGCCACGATGCCCATGGTGAACAGAACAGTGTGCAACAAGCCATATGCCGAAACGAGGCCTAACTCTTGAATATTTGTAAACTATTAAGCTTTTTGGGTTTACTTCAATTCGTGGAACGTGAGGCTGAGCATGGATGTGTAAGCAAGGCAAAAGTTTTTTCTTCTAGATTTAAGAATTTTATAACTTTCCATCCCAACTTCCCCGAGAGACCAAAGCCAACACCGACGGGCGATGTCAGCAAAAATGCAGCCAGATATGCCCCGCGGATGGTATCGTGCAAGCTCATCGTGTGCAAAATATCTGGCCAATATCTCACACAATCTTCCAAAATACACATATAATACGTAGCGTCGGCGGTCCATAATGTATAGTGTAAGTATGTTCAAGCGAAAACGTGGGTAGCCATCAGCGACGAGGAATTCCAGGCAGTCGTGCACCAAGAAGCAGTTGCACCAAAGACCGCTTTCCACGTCCATGAAAAGGTCAGCGATCCCCGGGCGGAGTTCAGTTCTTTTGTCGCAAGTTTACTCGCAAAAAGGACTGAAGAAGATGGCTGATTCCCACGATCAAAGCTGGTGCTTTGTCGTTGCAATTTTCTGACAATCCCAGAATGACCTAATCCGACCGATGCAAAAAAAAACAGCACCACGATCGGGAACGAAGCGGACTGTCAAAGTTCCGCTTTTACCGGTTTGTTTATTTCTTTCGCCCAGTCCTTTCTCGTCTATAAAAGGAGGGCCCCAGGATGCCCTCCCTTGCTGAACAAGATCTGCCAGCAGCGTAGACCTCGTAGAAACTTCCCAAATGCTTGCCATTCTACTGCTCGCGATTCTTTGCGCCGGTGCGCTTGCACACCCTCTCTCGCCTGAGGCTCAGTCCAACGATGTCATTTACGACATCAACGGACATCCCTATGTTCCCTACGGGTTACGGGCCGGCCTCAATGAAAGCCAAGTGATTTGGTCCTCTCGCCAGAACGGCCAGAACCTTACCACCCGCGGGAGCAACTCCTGGGCTCTACTCGTATCGCAGAAGACGACCTCGGTGTTTATTACGAAATATAATACCAATTACTGTACCAATTGCGGCCAATGGCTCAGCCAGCAGCCACGCACATCGGACAACAAGCTTCGATGGATTGCAAATGACCTGTGGTCCAAATGCGCAGATCGTGGCTGCGTCGATGAGTGGTCCGGACATGGCTACAAACTCACGGTCAATGCCAAATACTGGGGATGGGATTGGCGCAATGGCTTGACGCAAAGTATCTTGAAAACTATCGAAGAGGCACTCAAATGGGAGGTGTACGACAGAACTTTTGCGACTGGCCGTGCCACGTGGGGGGCCGAAAGAACCATTAGTTTGACGAGTAGCAAGTTCCTGAGCGCCGTGGTGTACACTGACGGGAAGCCTTCTGCTTGGATGGACTTGACGATTCAAAATGACGAAAAATCAAACTGGTTTTGCTTGTTGTCATCCCAGATCGCGCAAACTTTGAGTGGATACGTTAGCCCAATTATGGCCGGATTGGCCGGTGCTGGTGGTGATATTTTGTGTAGCAGTTAAGAGCATTTACTTTCATGCGCTACCTCATAGTTAGATGACATATGGGCGGTATTCACTGCCCTCGTCGCAATATTTAGAAATACATACTCTATAGAAAATGATACGCCTTTGCTTTTCTGGAAGTTATTGTAGCTGCCCAAACGTGTTCAGAGTAGTCGGCTTGCTGGTGATTGCCGCCGAGCGACTTATTATGATGGATGTACCTAATTTGAAGCCTTTTGTTTATTTTACAAGCATCACAAGCGAGCAGACACATATATACTATTCAATATGCTGTAATCAAGGAATTCATCACTACAATGTCACTGAAATGTCCACAAGCGTTGAAACTGAGTAGACATAGATATGCTATTTCAATACGCTATAATCATGCAAAGCATCACTGCTGTTCACTTAAAAGTTTACAAGCGTTACAAGCAAGCACGCACGGATACAGATATGCTATTCGAATTTGCTATAGTAAAGCAGCTCAGCACTGCGATTCACCTAAAAATTACGAGCACCATGCCCGGCATTTTACCAACACAGTTTTCTCATTCCTCAAACCGGGAAAGTAGGCGAAGTCAAACTGCACATTTGTCTTCTTTCGAGCACTTTTTATCTCCATAATTTCGGGGTCAAGTTGAGATGGAGTGAGTGGCAACATTCCTCGTGGAACCTTGTCAACATATTGTTCAAGAAACTGTACGTATGTATTGCAGTTCGGGTTTCTGGGCGGTGGTAGGAACGGCGTAACACCTAAAGCACCACATTGAAGCCTTAGGTGCATACACCGCTGAACGATCTCTTCACGCTGTGTTTCATTGTCTCGGTTGAGAATGTGCGCCATTAGGAGACAATCCAACTTCTGAGTTGTTTGATCAACCAAGGAATCCACATCTTTTTTCCAATTATCAGGCAATATTTTAGCATCGTAAGCATCACTCATTCGCTTCCAATAGGATCGGAGAAATGCCTCATCGGCATCTTTGCGGCTTTGCTGTTCCTGCTCAGTAGACGGACCAATCTGGCGAAGGTAGCTTAAATCCTCCGACAACTCATTGAACGCAGTAAGAACACGCATTAGAATCTCGGATACTGCGGCTTCCACGACGCAGACCGCTTCGTTCTTGTCCGTAACCTTTCGCGCAACCCCATGGGCGACAAATGTATTTCGGAGACCCTCCAGCGCTCGAATCTGCTGCTTATCGCACTTTTTTGCCTTTGGATTGGTGACCAATGGAGCAATCCAACTATGCACCTCGGTAAACAATTCCTCAAAATTTTGGATGAGCTGAGTAGGATTCCATTTTGAGTCGAGTTCGTAAAAACCTTTTGAGGCGCTGGTCACGCTGAGTTGACATTCCAGAGTCGCTAAAGCTGATTCCTTCCACTGGAGTTCTTCCACTAATTGCTGGTGTATTGTTGCGTCCCTATCAGCACAGACTCGAATAGTTTCGATGGCTTGTTGCAACCCGTCTTCCAAGTAGTGCAATTGTTGAGAGATGGCATATTTTTTTGCTTCTAGGCGTCCAACGACAGTTTTGTAACTATGCAATTTCGCAGTCAACTCCTGGTTTTCGCATTCAAGTGCTTTGATCCGCTCGCTATGAGCCGAGCAAGGGTTGTCTATCATTTGAAACTCATCCGTGTCTCGTTCATCGTCCCTCAAAAGGTCAAATCGCTCGCGTGAGGGAAGTCGTGTACACACCCTGCAGAGCTCGCTCACAATCTTTTCATTGTGTAGGCGACGGATTTCGGGAAGAAGGTGGTTCTCGACATGTCTCCGAAGCTCGGCAGCCGTTGAATCAAGGCGATTCACCAATGAAAAAATTGGCATATTCCCGGTACGGACATAGGCTAAAAACTGCTGCAAATCAGATTGCAGGAAGACATGAGTCCGAGGAGCAGCAGCCGCAGCTTTGAGCTGATGGTTTTCCACAAAAGCAACAAAGCTTGGCCGAAGGTCCGTCATCCACAGCGGCGTGGAATCATGTATATTTCTCAGCGCAATTTCAGTCTTCAACTGTGAACTTTCCAAGAGATAGCTCACAATGTTTTTATCCTCTGGTCCAAGATAGGAGAGCACTATTTTCCGCGTGCCCGAGTTTTGAGAGAGATCTTCAATCGTCTGTTCAATAGAAGCGCAACCCAGCTATTCCATTTTACTAATGCACAAAAGTTTGAAGGTTTCATTTACTTACCCTTGGGAAGTTCTCCAAGGGAATCAAGATGTCACGTGGATTCTAGGAAGGCAATGCGGTTGGACATTAGGGATTTGTTTATCTTGCCAATTCTACCTGTTCCTTCACACGAGACGAGCTGCCTACAAGTCGATCTTTAATTATGCCGAAGAACATTTGGACTTTGTCTGAATTTTAATAGATGGTTGACGCTTTGTGCTGTGATTTGGATAGATGGTCGTCACTCCCTTCAACGAATGTGAAGAGGTTAGGAAGTTAGCCGCAGATGAAATGTTCTCTCAAATTCAGCAGCTGATGCTAAACAAAACCTTTCCACAATAAGTGCTGAACCTACTGAGGTAGCAAGCTTTGTGACCTGGCATTGAACGAGCTTGGAACTCTATCTCTTTTTCTAGCTGGTAAAATAAGACGTGTTAAGCTCTCACACGTTGTCGAGACCCCATTTTTGCGTCGAACGTCACCAAAGCAGCATCATCACCATCATCATTCGATTCTATTACCGTGTTTGCAAGGGGTCTGCATCGCAATGATGCAACTCAACAGTATCAAAACTTGGGAAATAGTACAAGCTTCCGAGTCTTCCCCTTGCAACCAAGACATTCTACTTCTCATACTTCAATTCTCTTTCACATTTTGTTTCAGCAAACAGATAATGTCGTTCACAAACCACACGGGTCTTCTGGTTGCCAGTGGACACAGAGTTGTTGTTGGGTTGGATTTCGGGGTTACCCATAGCGGATTCGCATATGGTGGGAAACGGCGATGTTCTCATGTTTCCACGTAAACTTACTCATGCCCATGTCTTTGTAACCAGCGCATGTGGCGGATGCTAGCAAAATTGAAGGGTGACTTTCTGGAAATGAGGACAAGTCGCGAAGTTTGGGTAAAATCCATTGACACTTTTTGATGGTGTTGCAGGTATTATGAGTGGGATGACCAGATCATGGTAAGTTAGAATTCTCGCAAAGCCCATATAGCTACTCATTTCGGTATCTGACATTTGACATGCTAGCCATACTGCAAAACCCTTACCGCGCTCCTCTATGACAAAACGGCCAAGAAGACAATTAACTGGGGGTGAGTTGAACGCATTGCTAAGTACTTTTGCCCGCATTATAACCCCAGAGCTGATGATTAAATGCAGATATACTGCCCTGAAGGAGGCTACCACAGGCGATCATCCTAACCAGAAAGTCTTATTGACAAAATTCAAGTTTCTTCTGGAACCAACGGCCGCCGAATACATGGAGGATCCCATTCCAGATGATGTGGAACCTTTGGATATCATCGCAGAATATTTGAAAGAGATGCACACGCTGATCATGACCAAGCTGCAAGAAAAGTTTGGTTCCACGTTGCAGAATGAAGATGTGCATTATGCGGTCACTGTACCCGGTAAGGATTCTCAACAGCTGCGTGGCTACATTTTTTCTTAACCAAATCTATTCTAAATTCATTAGCTATATGGAGCGAGCAAGCAAAAACGAATCTACGCAAAGCTGCTGCTATGGCTGGCCTCATTTCTCCTGCTGAAGTGGTGTCCCCTCGTTTGGTCCTTGTACTTGAGCCGGAAGCTGCTGCAATGTATTGCTGCAAAAAGGTTCCCGAAGCGCAACTACGTAGCAATGAAAACATTATGATTGTAGACGCAGGTGAGTAACAGGATAAACATTGTAGGTTCTAAACATAATTACCTACTATTGGTACAGGGGGCGGAACTGTCGATATTGCGGTCGAAAAACTCATTATTGGCGCTGAGCGAACAAGGTTGAGTGAAGTAACCAGAGGCACAGGTGATCTGTGTGGATCCACCTTTGTCGATCGACGATTCCTTGATTGGCTCAGTAGCAAAGTCGGCGCTGATGCATTGACAGAAATAAAAATTGATAATCCAACCGCATACCAACAAGGCAAGCTATAAATGATTGCCAGTATCCTGGACTTACCACTCATCGTATCTCTTTAGTCCTACGCGGCTGGGAAACATTGAAGCGCCAATTCAAAGGAGCTGAATCTTTCAATTCCAGGGACCATATGACGTTTTCAATCCCAGGAGCGTTGTATAACCTAATGGCTGATGAGGAAATGGAAAAGTTAGAAGAAGAGCAAGACGGAACCGCCGACGATCTGTTTATTACACTCAAGGATATGCAATCATTTTTTGACCCAGTTGTCGAGCAAGTTCTGCGCTTGATTGAGGAACAGCTTGATCATTGTCCTGGAAAAAGATGCAACAAACTGTTTCTTGTTGGAGGATTTTCGGTACGTATCCAGCGAGGCTATACTTTAGATCTCAAATTAAGCATTTGTGATAGGCGTCCCCATATCTGAGGAAAGCTATGTCCGATAAGTTTTCTGAGAGTTTTGACAATGTAGTCTTTCCTACGGACCCGGGAGCTGCAATTGGTGGGTACCCCGGTGTTCACATCTATAAGAGCAATGCGAGTTCATTGTCGTTGTCTTTAGTCCAAGGTGCCGTTCTGTATGGCCTCAACCCTGACAGCATCCAAGCACGTCGCTCCCGGTACTCGTACGGCATGAAACTTTGCGCATCCGAAGCGGAGTACAGCAGGAAATCTCGAAAGACCTCGAACCGCAGCGACATATTCATTAACCAGGAAACGAATGAGTCGATGGTGACTATGTTTTCTCCTGTGATGGTCGCCAATCAGCTCGTCGAGATTGACGATTTTTATTCCACGAAATGTTTTCCGCTGTATTCTTATCAATTGGGAGTGAACATCGAAATCTCTGCAACTGCTGCTACTGTTGACCGCGAAACCTCGTATTCGGATGTGAGGGGTAACTTCGTTCTCGGCACTCAAATGATCGAAGGCATACCGCGCAATGGCGACAGAAGCGTTACCGTGTACTTTTACTTTGGGCTTACCGAGCTGACCGTAATTGCAAAAGTCAATGCAACCGGAGCCGAAAAGCGACAGATTGTGAATTTCACAGCACGTTAACCGGTCAAGCAGTGTCTGGCATATCAACATAGTCCTGCAGGATAGGAAATTATGTATGTAGTATCTCATGGCATTCCTTTGTTCTTGCTACAAGTTCTGTATCGTACATCCTCAACAAATAGCAAACTTTATGTCATCAGTGCTCAATGTCCTTTGTCCAAGCCTTGTTTCACTCTCATGAGAATTCAACAGCACTCTTGCGACCCTTGCCCATCAGGAGTTGTTTGGGTAGAGCCGACACCCAATGGGGAATGTTGACTATAACCATTCCCAGCGGGAGTTTCAATCGCCCGTAGTAGGTATCTCGTCTTTTAGAATGTATTCTTACGGCATTCAATCACAGTGTTCTAAGCGACTGAGATACCTCTGCGGACAACAGGAGCTGATAGTGTTGCAGACGAAGATGTGCCAGGTTTGACGACTGCTATTTATCAATATTTACTACTCAAGGTTTTGCTATCAAACAACTTGGGTTTTGATCTCCAGTGAGGCTGATACTAGCGATACTATCAAATAATCCTTCAGAATAATGTTACTTACATGGTGATTCCCAATTTACAAGCAGATGGCAGATGAAAGTCGCTGCGAGATGCGAGCGGCTGGTATATTAATAAAATGTGCCACCCGTGCCACATGGCTCAGTTTTCGACAATGTTATACTTCTTTTTGACAAAGAAACTCGGGCTTGCACAAGTTCCATTTCTGCTGGAACAGAATACTTGAACCATGACCAGAGTAACCAAAATGGCGCGGAAGACGCACGAAGAGGCGTCCGGGTTTGTGGTGACACCTCTTTTGCCAAAGTCCAACTCGACAGGGGAGCAGCCGGATAGTACTAAGAAGCGGAAACGTAAGGAGGAAGTCGTGGCTGCTCCTACAGAGGCGAAAAAACACAAGCACGCCGAAAAGTCTTCCAAGGAGGAAAAGAAAAAGCGAAAGGAAAAAAAATCTCCGGAGGGAACGAGTGACGGTCCGAAGGTAGCGGATAGTACAGAAGTCAGCGAAAAGACGCCCAAGCCGAATAAGAAGAGAAAAGGAGAGGACAATAGCCCTGCGGTTGGTGAGAGACAGACAGACAACACTCCAGCTGCTCCATCTACAGGTGGATCCGCTCAAAAGAAAAAGAAGATGCGCCATCGATCAAAAGCTGAGTCGACACAGGGTGCCGGTACATCTGGGGGAAAGCGGGGTAAGGGAAAAGTAGCCGAGGATGGTCTATCAAAGTATGGTTAGTATCCGTACATACCTATGAGGCCGACCGAGAGCAGCCGACTAAATGGTGGGTGGTTTTTAGAGAGGGAAGCCCTCAGAAGACGAACAAGGAGAGAAGCAATGAGGGAGAAGAAAATGGTATGCCAGTAACGATCTTTATTCTTATGAAGACACCCTGATATCGATTGCTTTCAAGGTCTGCTACCTTTGCAGAAGCATGGGGCACTCCATAAAATTCTGTCCGAAAGCTACGGAACAAGATAAACAAGCCGTATCCGGAATTTGTTACAAGTGCGGTTCTACTGCCCACAAATCATCAGAATGCAAAAAAATGGTGGATCCTAGTAAGTGTCCTTATACAATAGCTAATTTACTCATACAATTACACACCAGGACAATTTAATCATGTTTGGCGGTCACCTTATTTTAGAGAACCCATATCCTTTTGCGCACTGTTTTGTTTGCGATCAGCAAGGCCACTTGGCAAGTTTATGCCCAAAAAATGAACGGGGTCTGTATCCGAACGGAGGCGGTTGCAAATACTGTGGTTCAGTTAGGCACTTGGCGAGGGACTGTAAGCCTGCGTTGCAGGGTACGTAAATGGTTGTTGTGCATGGTACATGAATCACAGGCTTAACTCAATCTCTGTCCGGGTATCGTTTCTAGAAGCTGGGATTACCACGCTAGGCACCATCGATCTCAAGCAAGGTGGTGACGATGACGATGTGTTCGTAGCGCTACATAAGATGCAAGGTGACAAAGAAAAGGCGGCTGAGACTACAAAGCCAGGTACTAGGAAGTCTTCAAAGAAAAAGGTCGTAAAATTCTAGGTTAGTGGTGCCGGTATGGGAGAGGAGCTTGCTGAGCTGTTGAAGTTAGTGATCGATTTAATCATGCATTTACGGGTAGTTTGAGGTAGCTTTTGACTGATAATGATAATTTATGAGAGTTGCATAGTGCGGAGCCGATGGGTATTGGCGGCACCAGGGATTGAACCGCGCGACAACCGGTTCGGAAAACCTAATCTAACCAATCTACGTTCTACGCTACGGCTGGAACACTCCTCCTGCTGAACACTTCTGGTCTACAGTGCCCATCCAACATTGATCTCACAATCATTAGCATGTTGCAGGTTGACAGCGTATCTCGATTCCAGTAGCGCATTCCCGATGTCCAGGCTTGCTGCAAACAGTTAGGGTTGGTACAACCCAGCAATCCGTGGACTTTTTCAACCTTGCCTTCTCGTCGTCGATAAGGTCTTGAATGAGCTCGTGTTTTGAAGCCTTTTTTGAGGAAGTCGTTGGATGAGGCCAAACAGCGAGGGCAAACAGATGAGGTCTTGTACTCGTCGAGAAGGAAGCAGTTGATCCTGTTCCGCTTAAAGAGGGTGCGCCAACCTTTCGTCTTTGATGAGATCTGAAATCTCGCAGTTCGACCGGCGTCGCTCCAATCACCCATCACAATGGTGAAGTTTTCACCGTACTTGTTGTGCAAGTTGGATATGAGGTTCGATTCGCTCTTCTGACGGTTTATAGATGCATGCCATTTCCATCGAGTATGAGCAGGGTGGGCATAGAATTCCTTGCGACGATCCCAATCAGCGCGGCGAACGAGAAGGTAACGCATGAAGTCTATGAGGTTCATCGTCTTGTGGCTTGAAATACGTGATTCTATGAGGTCAATACCGCCGGCTTTCATTGCTTCCCGCTCCCTTGCAAATCGCCGGCTGCCTGTCTCCATGGCTCGCTGGTTTGCGGTGTAGCGAAACGTTGTACCATTGCTGTCTTGGCAGTAGAGAAGATCGCGCTTGTTTGGGTCAATAACGACAAAGTTCTCTTGACAAGCAGATAAGTTGTTTTCCACATAAAGCGCTTTAACCTCTGCCTCCATCGTGTTTGCTGACTTTTTCCCTCCGCTGCGCTTTCCATACTTGTCTGCTTCTGGGTGCTTTAAGTATACAGACACCGAGGTTCCGTCCGTCGTGATCGAGCCTTCAAACCACATTCTACGACGAGATCTAAAAGCCTTGTTCTGCAGATTACAGACGCGCAACCATAAATCGACCTTCTCTACGGCTTCTGCTTCTTGGCGGGTGATGCAGAGGATGTGGGCGTAGAGAATGACCGTGTCGATGCGAATATGGGACTGAATCAGAGACCGACGAAGAGGGATTGCACTGAACCGACGGAAGCCATGTCGTTCATACAGCCCAGAGAGTTTGCAGTATGCAGGAAAGAAAGCGAGAGGGTCTACAGCAACCGAATATGCGAGCTGCTGGTCAGAAAGGGGAATGAAGGACCACATCTCTTCTAGAAGTTCACTCTCTTTAGCAGTCAAGTCATCAAGTGACTCGGGCACAATATCAAAAAGGAAAATTGACTTCAAGTAGCGTAGCCGAGCAAAGAAAGCTTTCCGCGCTTCACTCTTTGGAGGCCCTTTCCGTCCCTTCACGTCGAGCCGCAGATTGATATACCGAAGGAGCATCTGCATGAAATGCTCTTGAACGTTGACTTTCAGGTTCGTCATCATACTCACTGTCAGGTAATTGACTGATTGCTGCTCGCCTCGTAGATTTGGGTGAACAAAGCCGACGATTTGGCAGTACCGTTGAACATATGGCAGCAAACAATCCCGCCATGCCTTCTTTGCTTCCTTTCTTGGATGCCAAGCCTCCCCCTTGTTGAGAAGGTAGAGAATCGCTTCGATGGTCTCCTCATTCACGGTGAAGGATGGTGCAGATAGGGTGTAGAATTTGAGAGCGTGGGAAGCGTGGGAAGCGAGTTGATGGATGATGGCGATGTAATCTAGAAGACGCTGCCGGTAGGTCTCATTAGGCAAGAAAGCCTTTGCAAAGGACGTCTTGTTGCAGGTATGTAAGGTGGGTTTGTCGAGTTTTTCGAGCCTTTCGAGCTTTTGCTTTTTCTTTGGCGGCATGATGATATCTGAAAAAGATGAAAGCCTGGGAAAATGGGCACGACAACTTATATAGGATTTTTTGGATCAAACCATAGTTCATGAGTCTACATCGAGTAAAATTATGATTAAATTGGTTGGAATCTATGTACTAGTGCCAATACCCATCGGCTCCGCACTATGTATCTACACATCGTGGTGATTTTCCAAGTTATCTGCATGCGCTGCCATTGGAGTCTTCTTGCTAGATATTTGATGTTCAAGTAACTACGTCTGACGCTAGTGTCCTATATGTTAGTGCCCTAATGAGCTGAGATTCAACAGAAGAATATTGCCACAATTTGATATAATGGGAAAGAATGGCCCGAACATATATTCTCGCTATTGATTCTGCCTTTTACTCGCAAAGACCAAGTTGACAGAGAAATTAGATATCTACATGCACGCATATCTGCAAAAAATATACTACAATAATGCAAACATCGGAGTTTCCAAATCATGAAATATTCGCCGTTTATATCCTCAACCTTGCCGTATCTTCTTCATTCGATCTGTCTCGGTCCCGCCATCGCGTCGACGTTTAGACCATTGTGGATTGTAAGAAACCTGATATTTGGCGCCCACGGCAAAGTCCTCAATTACCGGACCGCTATAATCGTCTTGTCCAGGCGATAAAAAATCCTCAAGCGTATATTGTTCTACAATGCGGACTTTGAGTTGCGATGTTCGCCGCCAAGGCAGTATAGTCCATACCTTCTGGTTCCTCCGCGACAAGTACAGGAGAGGTGGGGTTTAATGATACGTTACGTGAAGAGTCCATACTGAAAAATAAGCGATTACGTCAACTCCAAAGTGCCAATGATTATGACTCTAATTACGGGACCACTCACCCGTCGTTTATGAAAGCAACCTCCCCAAGCAAGGGCTCATCTCCCTGACTTTGCGTTAGGTCAATGCCTTCTACCATAACCATCCCTCCGGGTGACGACTGCTTGCTGAGAAGCGATCGTCGTTTGTCTGGCAGCGGTGTCGTATGTTGCCATTTTTTGTAAGGCCGCGTGACAACCTTATCGTACACCCCGGGTTTGCCGTTCGGATACGTTGATTTAGCCCCTTCTGCATAACGTCCTTCGCCCAGTCCTGATGTCTGCCTTTGCTGCCGCGGGCTCACCGGCGACGCGGTTGATGAAGCATCGCCTGTTCTCTTTGATGGAGTAACCTCCGGTCTTCGACCTTCAGCAGACTGTTCGGTGATCGGCTCCGACTGTGGTAGCGTTAAAGGCGATGAAGGGAGACTAGGATTTTCCGCGCTTTGTACAGAGGGAGCGAGGTGTTTTAATGGCCTTCGTAAAGTTTTTGGTGTGATATCAACCAAAACGCTTGTCGTTCGAGAAGCAGCTATTCGGCGGGGTGACGAGGATGTTCCCGTAGCCCTACCTAATATCGAACTTGTTGGGTTCGTTTGTTTTGTACGCAGCGCACCGGAGCTATCAGCAAGGGTAACAGTTTCTTCTGAATTCAACGGTGAAGACGCTGAACGGACGAATAGTAGACAACATGAGCCTTCTGGAGCCGAAAGCGTTCATGTCCCAGACCGAGCACACCTGTAGCGTCTAGGATATTGACAAGCCCGTCTTCCTGCGACCAAGTTTCTACCCCTGACGGCACCGCTTCGACGGACACAATCTTGGAATGCGTACCCTGAGCTGAACTCTGTATCGACCCTGGCTTTGGACTCTTTTTGACAGCAAGGCTGACGAAATGTTGGGCAGCTGTTGTTAGCTGCCCTTTTCCTGTCAGACTTTCAAATCTTTCAACTGCCTCTTTGACCGTTACAGAAACCGTCGGAGGAGCCACGTCCTGTGTCGCTTCGTCTTCCGACCACACTTCAGCTCCGTCGGGTTCTTTTTCGTCTACTTCTTCCCCATCATTCGGAAATGTCTGACTCTCCGCAGCTGCAAAAAGGAGACCAGGATATCTTTAGATTCATGCTCGCGTGTTCTCGTGCCAGTCAGTTGCCGTCGGGCCGGCTCAGATCGCCGCAGTTACCTCTAGCGTCGGTTACAATGCTATTCGAAGTTTCTTGCTCCGTTTCCTCATCTTCAAAGCCTCCTAGACCAGAGAGTCTAAGCACACGCTTTAGCAATGACATTGTGCTGGCGGTCAGTCCATAAAGTTGCGTAGGATGAACGAGGAAACCACGCGCTTTGGTCGCCTGGCGAAGTCACACGCGTCATGAAACCTCTCTGGGAAAGCTTTGGGTAAGCAGCTGCCGAAAGTCTATTTCGCTCCAAATTTCCCATCCGCCTGTCATCTCATCTGTCAATCCCCTCCTGCATAACGGAATCACCCAAGAGGTAATATTCTGCGGATATTTTTCTCCCCAACGAATGCTTATTAACCGCCTTTCAGTTCCTTCATATCAGGCAACATGTCAACGAGCTCATCCAAATTCAGGGAGCACGTCATCCCTTTGCGAGAATTGACAATGGGAGATGTTCTCACAGTGGACCGTGGCGAACTCATCAAGTAGGTATCAGAACCAAGCTGAACTTTGTTGCACGGCATCTTCCATGGAGTCCTCACTGTTTCAGGCAATTGAGGATGACCCACTCTGTAGCTATTGTTTATGACGACAACAATGTAAGATTAGCAATGTTCGCCGACAATGGGTCTATTTAGGACCTCTTGTGAAGTTTGTTCTTTTTGTTATAGCTGAAACTGTGGCTTTTTAGGCTATACGAGTATGGGGCCGTCAACAAGATGTGACGGATGCGTAAGTAGCACATCTGATCTATTTTGCACATGCGCTACTTCTGAAGATATCGCATGCAGTCTGCAAGAGTTGATGGTACATGTGGAAAAGTGGGAATTGGACGCGGCTGCATCTAAGCGTCGTGATACCGCCCAGCCTGCCTCAGAAGCCTCAAAAGTTATTTTGTTGGCTGACTGTAGGCCGTCTTCGCGCCAGACAGGAACTAACCGCGGCATGCCGCATGCCCCAACCGCGGAGGGGAAAGTCTCGAAGCGGGGCGGGGGAAGCGAGGTCGTTGACGGAACAGTGGAGACTACAAACACGGCTGCTATAAGCATTGTTACATCTCAGTCAAAGTCAGTCCAACACACTACGCCAATTCAAACAGGCCATGTGACTCAGACTGAGCAGGACCACAAAGCAATATCTAGCAAAGCTCCAATGACGAATGCCATATCTCCCACCAAGAATGAATCAAACCAGAGCGGCGTAGCACACCGGACACCACAAAGCTCAAAGACAAACACGACTTTCGACAAGGTCGTTAAGCTCGACAGAAGGGTACTAGAAAGCTCGAGGGACTTGCTTCTGGAGCAACTACGGCATATTGGAAAGAAAACTAGTGCAGACTGCACGTTAGATGATAGTCTCGCGGTGCGTATAGTTTCTCGTTCATACTAATACATCACACTTAGCTGAACGTAATCCGGATAGATTGTTGGGGTAAATGGCAGGTCCACCGTGGAGCGGAGTGCAGAAAAAGCCACTGCAAGCCTCGAAGCCTGGCAAAGGTTAAGGATTATGGCTATCGAGGTAAGTCACTGGCCACGATGGCGTAGAAGGTATTCTAAGTCCCAACGCGTTCCCTAGCGGCAAATGAAACGGACCCCGAGTCCGAGAGAAGCTTCTGCAACCACTCCGACGACCGCTACGGCGACGACGATGGAGGCTGGGGGAGCACAAGGACTTCACTCGATGACGTTCCCCGATAATTCCGTTGAACGCGAGGAAATGGAGCAAATCTTAGATGCGTTATCAATACACTTTATGAAATTCGACAGGATATGGGAGCAACATCCACGCGGCGCAGATGTCGAAGTTGAGTATAGCAACGGGGTCAGTAGACACTTGCACACTAAACTTCCTTAAAGACGAAGTTCTAACGTTGGACCAGTCATTTAAGATAACTGGCCCAGCTGAAGTGGCCGATGAAATTCATCAGTCATACCAAAATTATTTCGCTGAAGTGGCTCGACCAGCACTGGTATGTCGCAATTCACATAGCTGCCTCCTCAACGTTTTCTTACCATATAAGTCTCCAGGAAACCCTTCGAAGTGAGCAACAAGTTCTTTTGGATGAACAAACGGCTTTGAATCTTGCAAAGGAAGAAATGGACGCGCCGTTCAATGATACCAGAGCTCACAGGCCACCAAGCGATATCTCTCATCAGGAGCATGGTCCAAGAGAGCAGTCGTCAGCAGGTCCAAGTGGTTCATCGAAGCCCATTGTTGAAATTATTCCGCCTTCATGGCCCGTTCCTCCGGTGCATGTAGCTGCGCCTGAGCGCGAAGAAATGAATGGTAAGTAGCAGCCGCGTGTCTTTTATGCCGCAACCAAGAATGTAACATTTGACAGCCTCAGCGGCGCGAGCATCAGAGCACCAAGCGACTACAACCGCCGCTGATGTGCATTTAGAACAACCTAGTAGGGAAGCCCCCCAATACCCTGTTTATGTACCACACAAGATGAAAGGCAAGGGCAAATGTACACTGGACGCCATTTCGACCACCAAGGACGCATCTCCTCCATCAGAAGCGCTGCCACAAACCTCTTTGCCGTCTGCAAAGGAAAATGGTTTTGATTCGGAGGAGGCAATCGTCACCAGTAAGCCTGCTCCCCCTGAGCTAGCGAGAAATCAGCCAATAGCGGTCATATCCTCCAAACCAATAGCAAGCGGCCTTGCTCCATCAGCGGAACCCGTTGAAAGTAATGCAGCGCCAACACTTGACTCCGCAACATCACCACAAACAACGGAAGCTTACAAGATCGCCTTGCCAACACGGACGGATACCCCTTCGATAGATGCGTCGATCACGACCCTTGGTTACGTCTCATCGCTTTCCAAGTTGCAAGCACTCAGGAGCGATAACCTGGCAAGATTCTTCCGTTTGCCAATTGAGATGCAGACCCTGGATACATCCTCGTTTCTGCATCTTCATGCCGTGGTGAAGCGCATTGGCGCGGTAGTCGGTGTTAATGCTGGAGTTTACGACAAGCAGGTACGTTTGGCGCTTTCCATTGAATGATACATTGGCTTGATCCTTTGTTCCTTTGCAGAGATTGTTTTTCATTGCGTACACGCACGAAGTGCTGGAAGAGGCGACAAGAAAGGTTGATGAACACATCGCTGCGGTGTGGATGCGACCTGAGATGGACGTTCCATTCGCTGCGAGAACTCCGCCGTTAAGTCCGCCGTTAAGCGTCGTCCGCACTCAATCCGGCGCTCAAGCGTTTGAAGTGAACACCCTCGTAAGTTCACCATCAAATGGGAGTAGCCCTCACATGCAGCCCTATGGTATGCCTCTAACGACTATGTGTGGACCGCCCTATTCTTTGCATCCTTACCAACCCATGATGCGACCGCAATGGTACTACCCGTCCTGAGGCCATATGTGACTTGAAGGGAAATGTGTTGGCGTATTGCGAAACCTATGTATTAAACAGAAAGGGGCGTAAAGATCCTCTTTAGCATCAAGGACGCCTAGTTAAGGGGTCAACTCCCTAGTAGCCGAGGAATTTGCAATTAGTAACTCGGATCGTTTTGAATTCGACCAGCAGTAAGAGCTTTGACATACGTAGCAGATATCTTGCTTAATTTTGCATAGAACTTTCTTCTGAAAATAACAACTGTCTTCTGAGCAGTCGAAGTATATAAATAAGTACATTGCACGCCAAAAATCATTGGCACCTCACACCCACTACAGGATATAGCATATCTACAAGAAACCAAAGCGCCTGTACCGTAAAATATGATAAAACCCCTCTTCTAATCACTAAAATAGGTATAATGTATCAAGCCCGACTTCTCCACCATTTGAGTCCAGCAACACTCGCCGTCGCTGCCAAAATCAGAGACGCCCCCAAAACGGAAGTAACTTGTGGAACTTCATGGAAGAATACGAGACCAAAAATGAAAGCAAAGACAATGTCCAGGTTTCGCATGAGAGTAGCTGGACCGGCGTTGGCCAGTTGTAAGCCCTAAGAAGAGGAAATATAAGCAACGAGCTAGCGATCGTCGCTCAATAAGCATGTAGACTTTACCGCGTTTAAGAAGCATTGCGCCACAAATGCAGACAAGCCAACCGAAAGCATAACAAGCCATTGTAGTCGAGTCCATTCTCCCAGAGGGACAGCGTCTTGAAATAAGGCTAGTCCTATTCCGGAGAGTATTGTCGACATGGCTCCGAAATACGTGACATGCACCATAAATGAACATCTCCCCCCAATTTTGCGAACAAGGCAGTAGGCAACAGCACTCATCAGCGCACCACCAAACGCGGCCAATGCTGCCCATGACGTGTGGGTCTCGCCGGTTGCAGAGTGGTGGGTATCGGCCGGAGATCCAAATAGGATCTCGGGACGAGAAACAAGCGCGACACCACATAGACATGCTGCGGACGCAAAGATATCGGGGCCAGTCAGTGGCTCGCCGAGGACTATACGCGCCAAGATCGCAGTAAATGCGGGGCCAGTAAAGAAAATTGCTAGGAGAACACGCATCTCAGCTTGCATCAACTGTGACTTGAATCTAGACCAAAGAACCTACTCATTCCATCTCCCAGAGGCATGTTGACAATCGTGAAAAAGTAGAGTCCCAAACCTGCAGCATAGTCAGCATGGATGTCAGGCATTAACACGTCAATGAGATAAACAGTACCCGTTGCTCCAGCTGTGCCTCGTGCGACGAGCCATGCTCTATTTAGCGTAGGAGGTCCCCAAGGGGCAACACCAAGATAAACGCAGGAAATGGCACCGAGAACAAATTGAATTACCGAGCGGACGAGAACAATTTGCAGGAATGGGAAAGATGCGCCAGAAAGTTTCACGAGGACGGACATGAGAGAGAATAAAAGTGCAGATAGGGCCTAATGCCGACAAATAAAGAGTCATTTTACTAGTTTCCTTCTGGCCTTGAACCAAAAACTCGCATGTACCGTAAACGATAATCCCAAAAGTTCTTTACTGCCTTCTTGCGGAGCTGGAGGCTTGTCAAGAAGGGGCTGTCTTTCAGCAGCATCTTCGTCTGCAGGAAGAACAACCGCCTCGGCGGGTTCTGGAACTGGACCAGGAGCGATATCCACCTCCATCTCGTTGGCATTGTGCAATGACATTGTGTAAGGTGGGTAGTGCCGTAGCAATGAGGCCAATTGTTAATTTCACACTAATGGGTTTTATAAAATCTCGTTGCAAAAAAAAACCAAGAATGCGCGATGCTGGCTTCCGGTCACGTGACAAACATCGATCAAGCCTCACATGTCAATCTGGTGGGTTTTCAGAAGGCAACCTTCTCTGACTGTTGGTTGGCCGCGTGCCCATCAATGTGGCCCGTCGAGAATACCAGACGCAAAGTCCATAGCCTTGCAAGTGTTGGTGATTGTCGACATGGTCTGACAACGATGGACATGCGGCCATCACGGCTGTTGGACATTTGGAAACAATGTCGTCCTTAAATGCATCCAAAGATCGATATCGGGTGCTATGGTTTGAACACTGTAAAACTAAAACCGGGGAAAGAAAGCGCGGCGGGGGGGAGATCAAAATGCCCACATCGCCCAATCTCGTGCAAGTGCTCTTTACATGACTGTGCCGTCAATTGCAACCAATGATTTGAGTTTTCACGAGCACTGCAAGTTGCGACGTCACCCCGCGCCCGCTTGTTTTTCAAACCGATACTTGTTTAGCCTCATTTGCACACATTACCACACACGGGTGACGTTGAACACCGAATGCTCATCTGAGCAGCATCTGGGAACAAGACCGATCTCATTGTGCACAGCAGTGTATGTACTTAGTCCTGCGAGCCAATCCACGCACGATTTAGCATTCCAACCTTGGTCGGTCCCAATCACAGGTCATCATGTGGCGAAATCTTAAAAGACCTCTGGCAGTCGTCGCGGCAACTGCGACAGCTGGCGGTGCAACAGCAGCAACACTATACGCGTTTGGTGGTGAAAAGGAGAGCCATGCTTTCCCAGCACCGGGCTTTTTACTTCGTCACCCGCTGCACGCGGAAGCCCAAGGTCAAACAATTACTGACAAGGACAAGCAGCCGCATTCTTTGTGGACTCCTCCTTCAAGGAAGGAAATGATCAACGCCTTAAAGGGCGTACCAAAGGACGCAGCCCCGGGAGTAAAGGGACCTGGCGGCGAATTCGATCTATTAATTGTCGGTGCGGGTGCAACTGGCAGCGGTTGTGCTGTAGATGCCGCGACGCGAGGACTGAAAGTTGCTTTGGTGGAGCGAGATGATTTTGCTTCCGGTAAGAGAAATAAGCAGACTGCATCCTGCTGGGCAACGACCTTGTACGGTTATATGTGCCCTACGAACGAGTTTGTTTACATGTTTGCTTCCTCACCATAGGAACCAGTTCAAGAAGTACAAAACTGGTTCACGGAGGTGTACGATATCTAGAAAAAGCATTCTGGGAATTGGATTACGAACAGTACAAGCTCGTAAAAGAAGCACTCCACGAGAGAGGCGTTTTCTTGAAGATCGCTCCCTTCCTTTCTTACCAACTGCCCACCATGATCCCGCTCTACAAGTATGTAAAGTGAGGCTCGAGCGGTTGGGAAGCCGTTTCTTATTCTTTTCCTCTCAGGTGGTGGCACTTGCCGTATTACTGGGGTGGTTGCAAAGCTTACGACGCGCTAGCCGCTTTTAGTGGTGATGCTCTCTCCCAGAGTTACTTTCTAAGCAAGTCAAAGGCCCTCGAGGCGTTCCCTATGCTGAAAAAGGAGGATCTTGTGGCCGCCCTTGTGTACTATGATGGTACGTTATTTAGTTTTTTGAACGCTTGCAGGAACCGCCTAACCGGAATGGCATACAGGTGCACACAACGATGCACGCATGAACGTGGCGTTGGCTTTGACAGCGGTGGCTCACGGCGCAGTCGTAGCTAACCATACCGAGGTTGTAAAGATCTTGAAGAAGAAGAGGACAACGCTCTTGGGCAAATTCAACCTTGGGGAAGAAGAGATTTGTGGTGCCATCGTGCGAGACAACTTAACTGGTGAAGAATGGGAGGTCAAAGCCAAGGGAGTCATCAATGCTACTGGACCCTTCACTGATGGCCTGCGCAAGTTGGACGCTGGAATATCGACTGCAGAAATTGTGGCGCCTAGTGCCGGTGTGCATATTGTGCTGCCTAATTACTACAGCCCACGTAACATGGGTCTGATCGACCCGGCGACAAGCGACGGTCGTGTTATCTTCTTCTTGCCTTGGCAAGGAAGTACCATCGCCGGTACCACCGGTAAGGCAAATGTCTGCCTTGCTCGTTTTGTCGCATTTTAATAACAGATAATTGTTCCCAGACTCACCTACCGAAGTGACTCAGAATCCAATTCCAACCGAAAAGGAAATCAACTGGATTCTTAGTGAAATCCAGAACTATCTGAGCCCAGAAATCAAAGTTCGGCGCGGTGATGTGCTTGCCGCATGGTCCGGAATTCGTCCTCTTGTGCGCGACCCTCATGCCAAGAACACCGCGGCCCTAGTCCGTAACCATATGATTAATGTGAGCCCTAGCGGCTTGCTCACTATCGCCGGTGGTAAATGGACTACCTACCGTGAAATGGCACAGGAAACTATTGATAAAGCTATCCAAGTGTTCGGTGCGTATCACAGTGGACTCGCGCTACGAGGGAAGGCGTTTTAATCAACAGATCTACTCTAGACCTCAAGCCAACTGGCCCTTGTGTGACTGAACATGTACTCCTCGTCGGCTCCCACAACTGGTCAAAGAATATGTTCATCAAGCTTGTACAACACTTTGGTTTGGACACAGAAGTTGCCCAGCACCTTGTTGGCGCATATGGTGATAGAGCATGGGCAGTAGCCTCGCTGGCGTCTTTGAGTGGCAACAGATGGCCTCTTGTGGGTAAGCCATTGGCTGTCGGTTACCCCTATATCGAGGCGGAGGTTCGGTATGCTGTGCAGAGAGAATATGCGTGCACTGCGGTGGTAAGCAAGCTACTCTGACGCCCGTCACTTCTGCATTAGGAGTCTTACCGAAAAATACTCTTTATAGGATGTCATTGCACGTCGTACCCGACTGGCGTTCCTGAACGCGCAAGCAGCCCTTGAGGCACTACCACGGGTGATTGATATCATGGCTGCTGAACTGAACTGGAACGAGGCCCGCAAGAAACAGGAATACGAGCAAGGCAAAGATTTCCTCAAGTATATGGGCCTGCGTGAACCTGGTGCAGTCTCATTCCCCATGCCGGATGATGGCGACATCACGTTCTACGAGCGGACACATTTCCGCCCTGACGAACTAGCGCGATACCAAGCAGAGTTCAACAAGCTTGACTATGACAAGGATGGTCACATCAGCGAGAAGGATTTGAGTCGCGTGTTGAAACAGCTTGGTGTGAAAATGACTGCCGCGGAGATGGAGGGTGTGATTGCTGAGGTGGACTTGAACAAGAATGGCTCAGTGGAGTTCAACGAATTTTTGGAGGTAGGCATTGTTCTATCCCGTGTTTTTGCCATGCCAGCATCTGATGTATTTCTCCACTCTAGGTTCTGGCCGCCGTAAAGGACTTCCGTGCCCGCTCCAAATTCGCAGAGATTGTGTCAGACTACGAAAAGCGCGAACAGCTCAGCACTGAACGCAGCGGCGGAGGCGTATAATCTGAATGTCGGGACTGGGGAGTATCTACGGACTGGGGTACTTGGGCAACCTTTAATTTTATCTATTACTTTATTTAAGGCGGAATTCAGACCGGTTCTAATTTAGTGAGAGTTTGGAGGCGATTTGATTTCTGACCTCGTTTAATGCGTATTCTGTCAGAGGCGTTACTTTGGTTGTTGTTGTCGAGCTCAAAAATAGGTAGAAAGTAGAACGTTGCAGCGATAGTTTACTACTTGCTTTTTTTTCAATCAACTACCGTTTTACTTTACTGTCCCCTGCAACCCTTTCGACTGTACAGAACCCTTCACTTTGGAACCATATCATATAATTCGCTCCCTAACATCCAATCTTCTTCTTCGCTCCCGCTCCACTGCAGGTCCAACATATCCCCTTTTGCCTCGCGAGTTTGCGCAGTCCTGCTGGGCAAACACAGAGGTCAGGTTGGTTGGTTGTTCTACGGAATTTGGGGTTTCGCGTTGGTGTTGTTCTTGCTGATGTCGTGCTGCGCGGTTGTTGTGAATAAGCTGCAGGAGCTCATCATAGTCTTGTTTGTCGAGTGTTAGCCGAGTGGGCGTTCGGGAGAGCATCGTTGAGGGGTGGAATTTGTCAAAAGAATGAGGTTTTGCCACCTGCCTGTAAATCCCACAGCTAAGCACTCGCGTAGAGGGGGTGGTCAGCCATCCGAGATAGCTCTGCCGGCATCAAGCAATTATACCATCTCTCATCGCCCGCCTTTTCTCGCGCGTTTACCTCAACGTCGCTTCCATATCCTGTTGAGTTCGTTAGACTAGTGACAGTTTACAGCCTTCATCCTATTCGGAATGGCGGACCCCAGGATTACTTCCCAGGAAGCCGCTGCGATTCATGCGGCAGCGGTTACGCGCAATTATGTCGTCCAGCCGCGCTTGGGTGAGTTTGCGGTCTGAATGAGGAGAGCTTGGGGTTTTGTATGTTGGTAAAAAAAAAGCCTCTGCTAAACTCTTCTTTTGTCTGGTAGATTATCGTACAGTCGCAGGTGTCAATGGACCGCTTGTCATTTTGGACAACGTAAAGGTCAGTCTTGCCCTCGGTCGACATTCTGAAGCCCTCCTCTAAAACCCATTGACGAATAATTGCCTCTATACACAGTTTGCAAAGTTTTCGGAAATCGTGGAGCTTACTCTTCCCGACGGATCGAAGCGCTCGGGTCAGGTCTTGGAAGTCCAGGGAAAACGCGCTATCGTCCAGGTCTTTGAAGGAACATCCGGCGTCGATGCGAACGCTACTCGAGTTGAGTTCACTGGAGACACGTTGAAGATTCCAGTGTCCGAAGACATGTTGGGACGAGTGTTCAACGGATCCGGTAAAGGCATTGACAGGGGACCCAAAGTCTTTGCTGAGGAATACTTGGATATCCAAGGTATGATGACACGAAACAGTTTTTCATTTGGATCCTCGGAGACCGAGCTGATAAATATGTGTCAATAGGTCAGCCCATCAATCCATTCTCTCGTATCTACCCGGAGGAGATGATTCAGACCGGAATCTCTGCTATTGATACAATGAATTCCATTGCCCGTGGACAGAAGATTCCTATCTTTTCTGCGGCTGGTTTGCCTCATAACGAGGTATTCTCATCTCATTTTGACCATATTTGTTATGCAGTGCTGATGTACCTGTTACTTTATAGATTGCGGCGCAAATCTGTCGACAAGCTGGCTTGGTCAAGCGCATTGACAAGGGAGTTTTGGATGGCCACGAAGACAACTTTGCGATCGTATTTGGTGCTATGGGTGTAAACTTGGAAACTGCTCGTTTCTTCAAACAAGATTTCGAAGAGAATGGTTCTTTGGAGCGTGTGACCCTGTTCTTGAACTTGGCGAATGATCCTACGTGAGCAGATATTTAACAATTTGACGTACTCGGATGCAGTGTACTTATCGTGATTCACTGGACAGGATCGAGCGTATTATTACTCCCCGTCTTGCCCTTACAACGGCGGAATACTACGCATACCAGCTCGAGAAGCACGTACTTGTCATTCTCACTGACATGAGTTCTTACGCTGATGCCTTGCGTGAGGTACACCGCAGTCTGTCTTGAATAGCATCAGCATGAGCAACGCCAACTCAACTATCTTCTGCCCTGTAGGTATCTGCTGCTCGTGAAGAAGTACCTGGTCGCCGTGGTTATCCCGGTTACATGTACACGGATTTATCTACGATTTATGAGCGAGCTGGCCGTGTGGCTGGACGTAATGGGTCTATTACCCAAATTCCTATTTTGACGATGCCGAACGATGGTATTGTTACGGGCTTCAACTAATATCGTTTGACGTACTCTGGACTGAGTGTTCTTGTGTTGGCAGATATCACCCACCCCATTCCCGATTTGACGGGATACATTACTGAAGGACAAATCTTCATTGATCGTCAACTTCACAACCGTCAGGTATGTTCTCACGAGGATTGTTGTGGGAATCGTTTCGGCATTTGCATAACACTTGTTCTACTCAGATATACCCACCAATAAACGTATTGCCGTCACTCTCCCGATTGATGAAGAGCGCCATTGGCGAAAAGCTTACGCGAAAAGATCACGGAGATGTTTCCAACCAACTGGTGAGCAACTTACTTTGAGTTAGCAGGTCCCGTCTATCCGGTTCTTGATAAATATCAACATCATCAGTACGCGAAATATGCCATCGGTCGTGATGCTGCAGCCATGAAAGCTGTCGTAGGAGAGGAAGCCTTGAACCAAGAAGACAAATTGTCGTTGGAGTTCCTTGAAAAGTTTGAGAAATCGTTCATTGCCCAAGGTACATTTCCGCTTGCTTCCCGCCGACCTGAATCCCTGCACTCATAGTTCGCATCGCACATCAGGATACTATGAAGGACGCACTATATTCGAATCTTTAGACCTTGCGTGGTCCCTCTTGCGTATCTTCCCCAAGGAAATGTTGAACCGAATCCCACAGAAGATTCTGACTGAATATTATCAGCGGGCGAAGGCCACTAGGGCAGGTGCCGCTGCATCTGAGCCTGCTTCATCGCAGTCACAAGCTTAGAGGTTTAGTGACACGCGGTAGAAGCTTTCTTTATGTCCTTGAATAACATGTCGCGTGTTCTTATGCTATTCACCCACGGCCGTCCACTGCAAGCTCTTTACACAATGCATGTTTCTCAATGTTTTGCTGGAGATATTATAGTTACACGTGTTTGCCGTTAAATAATTGGTGACTATGTGCAAAGGTGATGATCTATCCTAATGGTTTGTATCCTGAAAGAAATTTTGCTGGACGATATGCCGTATACATTGCAGGATAATATTCTTCTCTTTTCTGATATCCGCCTCCAGAAGCTGTAGAAAGACAGAGAAACCGATAATGAGGAACTAAAACGCTGATGCACTTGGCAAATCGAAAAATAAAAAACGCACCATTTTCAGTAAGGGGCGTCTCTTTTGCTGCACAATTGGCGCGGTCGAACGTGGTTTTTTGGGTTTTGCTTCAGGCTTTTCATGTCGAAAGGTGCATTCATCCCCTTTCAAACATTTCCCGCGAACAAAGTATTTACAGAGCCGTATGGGTCGCTTGGCTTGTTTCCGTGGTTCAGCGTCATTTTCTCTTTGTCCTTCAGCTTCAGATGTGGAAGAGGACGAAATAGCGTCGTCGTCCGAAGCGTAGGCGGATATCATACCGAGAACATTTTCCTCCTGTGGCGTGAAGAATGTTGAGCGCAAGTACGAAATACGAGGCATTATAAACATGAATATGCACCTTGGGTGGCTTCGTGCTGGATGACGTGTGTGTGCCTTCATGTCCACGTCCACGCCCTCGCCCTCTTGGACCCCCCTTCTCACCTCGAATCACCTCTCCGCGTGCTATTCGTTCTTCTTCTTCTTGTTGCTGTGTAAAAAAAAAAAAAATTAGGGGCGAGTCTAGCGTCAGACGAACGAACAAAGGCCCAACCTTCTTGCGAATGTTCTCATCCGTCGGGTATCGCTTCTTCCTCTCTGCAATCCATTTCTCAATGTCCTCGGGAGCTTCGAGGGAGACAAACGTTTTTCTGTACAATGTACAGTCATCAGTCCTCATTGACACAACACGCAAATAGTGCAATAGATACATACTTGACCCCGTCAATCATAGCGTGCACTTCCTCTTCATGTAATCTGACCGTTTTTTTTGATGCTTCAAAATCACATTCAGAACATTTGACGTGAGTTTGGTTGTGGGTTATGTATTGAGAACGGGCATCGAAGGATTTTTCGCAAGTGTCGCAGCGGAACCTGCGTAAAAAATACCATATGAACACATGCTGAGGTGTAACTGGTAGTAAACTTCAGCTTTACCTTCTATCGGGAACAGCTGGTGGAGGTGCATTTTGATAGTCGTATGTTACTGTAGGCACTGTAGGGACTGTATGAACTGTAGGGACATTTGAAACTCCATTCGCGAAGGCTCCCATTATCGACTCCCAGCTGTTCATCTGCTCCATGGCATTTAGTCCCATGGGCACCGAGAACCCAAACATTTGCTGTTGCTGTTGCTGCTGTTGTTGGAGATAGAGCTGCTGTTGCTGGATAAACAACTGTTGCTGGTTGAACGGAAGGTATTGTTGGGAGAACTGCGGTGCGTACTGCTGGGAATACTGGTAAGCATGTTGTTGGGGATATTCTTGCTGATACTGTGGTGCCGTGTTTGGTTGCGCTGATACTGACGTTCTCTGATATGGTGCATATCGGTTGTCCTGAGAAGAGTGTCGAGGAGACTCTTGTTGTCGATCCCGATGTCGCGGGCCACTGCGTGCAGAGTATGTAGGTGGAGGCCCGTATCCATGTGGATGACCAGATCCCGAAGACTGCGATTGTGCCATTGTAAAAAGGCTCTACCAAAAGAAAAACTCGACCAGAAAAGCTCAAGTCTGAGATGAGCTGGTCAGTGGCACAGCAGTGTCGGTTACGTGATCGAATTCTCTGCCTTCCAAACGTTTTGTCACCTCCCACCAACCGTCCAATGACAGAGCCCCCTGCACCATCTACCAGTTCCTCCGTGGAGAGTCGTGAATCCACTATAGCTAAACTAAAAAGCGAACTCATCCATCTCGCCAGTGCGCGAGAGAAAATAGAAAGTGACCTAAGGAGACTCTGCACCGAGGAAGGTCTCCTTTTGGTGGCCATTGATGAGGTCAAGCAGAGGATGAGAGGAAGGGATGCTGACACAGATAGTTCTTACGATGACATGGGGAATGAACAGAGTATGTGGAGCAATATGTTTGGTACCGGCGTGAATTCACTGGACATTGGGGATCTACCGGGGATACATAGGAATGGAAGTCCTTCTCGTCAATAATGTGATTGAGAAGAAGTAGTGCTACGAGTCTTACTAGGTGCAGGCCACCAGTTTCATAGATAAAGTTGTTCCACTGCAGCAATTGAGTTAGAACCAGACTAAGGTTATATGATGGGCAATAGCACTCCTTCTGTCTGGAATTGTCTGCACGACATTTCTTTTGCTGATCAGACAGGAACTTCCCTCTGCGCCGAATCATCTTAGTTTTTGGTGAACAATATCAGTTTCCAGCTTTTTTCCAATCCAGTACATTTCCATGACAGATAGATGGTTGTATATAAATATTGGAATGCAGTAAATTTAATCTTACATTGTAGGAATCCTTAACTCAACTGTCAATTAGGAAATCCGCCGGTAGCAGCAGGATGCGGGATGCAATGTGTCGGATATGGCTACTGAATGAATTGTTCAGCATACCGGTGTCAACAGACCCCTTGCTGCATTGCCAGGCGGAGCTCAGCAGATATATCTGTCTTAATGCGCTGGAATGGCCGTGATACATCGTCCCAGGGAGCCGTGCGACGGTGTTGGTGAACTGTCTCTAACTCGAGCCATGCCGCTTCAGTCCAATTCAAATTACTCCCTTTCTTGCTGCACTCCAAAGTTTATACAGCATTTTCCACCGGGCAAGTTTAACCTCAAATAAGTTAAAGTTGGCCTTTTCTAGTGCTTGCAGATATGCATCACAGGGAATCGCGGCTAACAGAGCAGGCAGAGCGGACATTGGGGTGTCTTTCAAGAAGGAGCGGGCGGTAATTAAATGATCGTTTGCTGTCGTCGCCACTTCAAAGGCGACCTCTTCAAGTTCATGACTGGGTCCGTTACGGAATACATCTTCCGTGGATAGCGAGTGCTTAATGGGTTGATCATAGATTGATCAGAGGCACATTTGGATGCGCTGAACTAAACTTCATTTATACCTTTGCCATAATTTCAGATGGCAGATAAAATCGCCTTTCTTTGACATGGAAGGGCGTTCCACGGAGGATCGTTGTAATTCCGCCAGCTTTGCCTACATGGCTAGCTGCATGGTCGGCATGATGGTCCCGGATCCCTAGAGTCTCTAGCAAAAGGTACAGCACGCTGGAAGCTGTATTCTCAGCGTAGTTCTCCAAATCCTTTATAGTTGGGTATTGAGGATCTTGAAGATTCGCTTCCTGTGATGGCAGCCATTCAGTAAACGCGTTTGAAGGAGGTAACAGCCACTGCCCATACCCTTGCAGTCAAGATGCGCTTGAACCATGAGTGTGAAAGTGGTGCTACATCCATGGAGTGGGCGAGCAACATCGTAACGGGATGATTAGGAGGTCGTCCCTATTCACGGTTTGCTCAGCGACCTCGGAAACAGAAGGTCATGGTGTGGGCCTAGCCTACCGCGTACGTCTTTTCTATAGCGTCTCTCCACCAATCTATCCTCATCTTTCCCAAGTTTGGATTCTTCACATTCTCCCGAATAAGTGCCGTCTCCACATTGAAAGCGCGAACCGCCCAAGCACCAGTTCGTGCAGCGGGCGGTATGAACAATGTCGCTACATAGTTCTCATAGTCGCTGTTCCTCAAAAGTTTTTTTGCATATTCTTCTGCATTCTGATAGGTCGAGGTCGACTGCGATCTCCTACAGATGGTGACAACTTGACGGCGCGTTGAATGAAATGGCGACATGTTTCAACAGTTGCCGATCTCGAGGAAATGTCGCCTGGTTGCAACAGCTTCACAAGGATTTTGTGGAACACGTGACAAATCTCCCCGGCTGTCTGGACAACTTTGCGCTTGCTGAGATTGCAAAAGATGGCACGATTTCAAGTGCATTGAGTATCAAAGAATGCTTCAGCATCTGGGCAAGTCGACGATGGGATCCCACTGGTAGGATTGATTCGGTCACATTTTGCAGCGATCGCAATTCTTGTTGTCATGCAACTCGTAGGGTGTAGGACCCAGTTGGGTGTGGTTCGAAAGGCGCCAGTACGACACGGACGTTTGCCTGTATCATACTGGATGATGAAAAAGGAAGCGGAAACGAGCTCGATAGCCCATGAATCTTTCACTCACATCGTTGCTACAGTCGTGACTCTCAACTTTTTACACGGCGCAGTGACAATATACCAAAAAACCCGTCCCTTTTCATTTTTGACGATGCACGGAAATAAAGCAATCCGGTGTCGACGACGCCCTGACGCTGTGAATAAAAATCCAGGAAAACAGGAGCAATCCCCCGGATGGTTGGGCAAAAGTCCGTGTGTTGTCCGGACGGCACGTGATGGCCGATTACCAAATACGCGTCCCAAGGAAGATCTGGTGTCGCTGCACAACGGAATCCTCTAGCTAGATCAGCTATGCAGGAGGAGAAGAGGGTCTTCCCTTTGGAAGTTGAAGGGGAAGACAATGCCGATGAAAATCTGCCATACATTAGACTGCGATATGCAGCAAATACTTTGGCCTTTGATTTCGTATGTGACACCTCCCTTTGAAAACACATAACAAATCTCTTCATTTTTATTCATCGTAGACCTATGCAAATTGCTCGCAATTTGAGCCTTCATGGAGATATCTGTTGGCGTACTTGGAATCATACGAACCTAGCTTGCGGTCCTTCGCATTGCAGTGCATCGGCATGGCGTCAAAGTCCATATCACGGACCTTGATATCATCAGAACTACGGCAGAAGCTTGTGTCGATTTTGATCAAAATGGTGGCTGGAGACGAGGTACTTAGAATGCTGAAATATTTTCTCGGAGTATCGTAGCTTCTTGTTGCTTTTGTTCTGTCATGTAGCTAATGTGAAAGCGTGGCCCTAACAGGTCTGGCAGAATCGATGCTTAGCTGCGCGAATTCTGGGAGAATCGGTATCTGTAATGCTATCACACGACTTTCCTGCAAAGTTACGGAAGTTTGCTTTTCAAACCGTCCTCACACAGTTATCACGGGCTTTCCCCGCCGACTTAGATAGTGCCCTAAAACAAGATCCGACCATACTGGACAATTCGCACTATGTTCCACCACACCTATTTCGATGTAGGATCCATTTCTTACATGCCGCTGCCTATTTTTTTGAATGCCCAGAGGCCTTGACCCCGGACGTCCTCGGATATGTGGATCGACTCATATCGTGCCTCCTCGGTCCGAAGGTTCACCATTATCTGCAGGCCGCGGCAATACATGCCATACATGCTCATTTGCCTGTGACGAATCGAAATAGAATCCGGGTGGAGAAACTTTTCCGAAAGCCGATAGTTGCGCTTTCTCAGGATTTTTTAACACCGGATGGTACAGAACCGGAGACTGGACAGCCACCGAAACAAGCGTTGCACCCCATCATTACAAAGGAGCTTGCCCTCTTCTGGGCAGTGTGGTATCAGAGACCAAAGGACTCGCAACTTGTCGCCATCGTACCAAATCCTGAACAGATGAGTCGAATGTTTGAGGGATATGCATTCCGAAGATGGCAGTGGTTGGTGGCGGAGAACTTTACTATTGCACAAGATTCTCAACCACATGCGCTAGACGTAGAGGCCAAACGGAACGCCTTGCGTAAAACTATAGACTGGCCCCAAAGCAGAGCGGTGTCAGCGATGCTCAACGTCAAACTTTTTGCACCTTTAAAAACAATCACTGTAACAGATCCAGGTGGGTGAGGCCCTCAGGTAGCATTTGAATTAGCATCACGATCTTCAGGGGCGTTCCATAAGCTAATCTCTTGGTCAAGCCAGCGACAGCCCTCAGTCGATGGATAATGTCGAAGAGCCAGATGAGACGTTTGACATACCAGATCCTACGATGCTGACGTTCAGCATGAACCCACCGATTCTCCTTTTCAATCGTTATCCGTTCCAAAAGGACATATTTCTACAAAATAAGTCAGTTTCACACGACACCGCATTCCGCTTGCAGGTTGGACCTGCGCGGTATTTTCAAGCCTGGCCGACGATTGGAATACTCCCAAAAGGGGAATCCACAGTTGTTACCGTGCGATTTACCCCTTGCCCCCATATTGTACGGAAGAATCCGGAAGTTGCGGGCTTCATTCGCATCCGTACTGCTGACGGTTTACCGATGGAAAGGTAGGAACAAAGCTGCTTTTCCACCATCAGATTACCTAGCCACTCAACACCTCAATGTCAGGATCTCGTTGCGCGCGTATAATATGCCGGCTGTCAAGGTTTACCCGCAGATACTCGACTTTGGGATGTGCCCTAAAGGGGACCACCGTGTGATGAATTTCACCATTGCCAACCTCCTGCCAATCGACTGTCCAATAGTCATGCTGACGACTCCTTCCGCCAGCAGCTCGATGTTTCAGATATCACCCACCCAGACGGTCTTAATGCCGAAGGAGAGGAAATTATTCCAGATAAAATTTTGCCCCACAATGGAAGGAGTTCTCCTGGACCAGTTGCTGTTAGTAGCTTTTGGGGGGGAAGTGTACCGGATACGTTTGGACGCAGTATGCGGTGAAGCATTGCATATATTGGATACCAAGCTGGATTTCGGCCCAACAGACATCTACTATAATGCTGTCGTCAAACGAGTGACCCTCAAAAACCGCGACAAGAAGCCACTTCCTGTCAGTTTTGAAGCAAGCACAGATGAGCTGAAGTTGAATAAGGATGTTCCCATCGTACTTGCACCCTACGAAGAAAAGCGAGTTGAGGTCGAATTTTTGTCTTCGATCACCGGGTCTCGCCAAGAATCGCTAACGTTTCAGGCTCCACATACACTTCCACATCCTATCGAAATCCTGGCATTCTCTGGGCCGGCGATTTGGGTACCGGTGATGGAAAACATTATTTTTCCTTCAACTCCAACCTTTCAAGGCGTGTGTGTGCAGATCCCTTTGGTTAACCTAACCAATGCACTGTCACAATGCCTCATCACAGTCCCCGTTAGTTCGCCCTTCAACTTGCGGCTTGTTGATCCTGAGTTTGCCAATCGGAAACCGGCGAGCGGTGGCATACTCATTGAAGCGAAATCATACGAAGGACCGGACTGCATAGGGATGTCACTTACCATTGGGGCTCGTCTGACGGCCGTGATTGAGGTGGAGTTTCTGAGCACAACATGGGGATCATTCAAAACTCCTCTGTCTATTAGTATGGTGAAGCCGAGAAAGTGGCTAGTCACAACAATGATGCTTAATGCGATTGCTGTCAATGAACTATACCTTTCTCGTGAGAAGCCAACCGATTTCCTGCGACGGTTTCTTGCAAATCCCTCTGCAGAACCCGCGACCGGTCTTCTAGTCAAACGAAACACGGATGCACGTTCAGATTCAGGCACGGCAACCAAAACATCGGAAATTTTTGAACTCGACCCTCCTCTTCAGACGGTATTTGGTGCACATTTAAGTGGGCGATTTGAAGATGTTTGCGAGTTTGTGACCATAACGAACATCACCAGTGTCACCCAAAGATATCACATTGTTCTATCAGAGCATTTTTATACTGATATGCCGCTTGATGGGGAATTAGAAGGGATGGCGAGCATCGAAATTTTGTTGCGCCTTGACACAGCGTTCTTCGATGAAATTGCTGCCCCAGAAGCCCTTCACCACCTTGTCATTGGATCAATCACGATTTTTGATGAGAATGAAAAGAAGCTTGGGATGGTCAGTAGTGCATTGCATGGCATTATGGGCGATCTAGTATCGTTCGAATGTAGAGAGTCAGTAGATACCATCAAATATCCCTCCCTAAAGGTCATGGAGAAGTTCACGAGAAGGTTCCTACTACGTAATAGAGCCCCCTTTGAAGTCGTATGGGACGGCCGCTTGATATCTGTTGGGCAGCAGGGCGTTGGACTTCAGGCAGACGGTCTGCCTATGATTGTTCCAACCAGCTCGAACGCCGCGGAATGGTGTCCCTTCAGTTTGTCAGTGCCCCGTGTCAGTTTAAAACCTTTTGAGTTTTACACCGTTGATATAACTTTCCAAGCTACTAGCTCTGGGGAGTATCGCGCGAAGCTTTTTATGGAATATGTGGATCCTGTAACTCATGTTGTAAATGCGGAACATCTGCGAGGGAAAACAAAGCGTAGTTTGCGCCAGCTCCTGTTTTATTGCTCCGTTGGAAATCGCGATTTGGCTCACAATCCGGAGATTTTGACGCATGGAGACACACCCATTGGCGAAAGCCAGTCATGTTCCTTGACCTTGATCAACAATCAACCTTTAAACATGCAATTAGCACTTGGTGCGACATCGCCATTTAGGCTTCTGGATACGTGGGCGTCGCTGGGCAAGCAATCAAAGTGGGAACTTCCGGTCTTTTTCGAGCCGGTAAAAAGCAAGGCGTACAGCGACCTGATTACACTGTGCTTCGGAGGAGTAACACGTACTCTTTCTGTCCTTGGAACTGGCGGGAGGTCAGGACTGGAATCAAATCTAGCTCAACCCATACGAACGGATTATTTGGAACCTATGGTAAATGACGACGGGGATGAGCAACCGATCATGCCAAGCGCATCAAATATCATTCGATTCGGATTTGTTGAGCTCGGCCACCCGAAAAACAAAATCTTTGTCCTGACCAATACTGGCACTTTTGACTACGTCGTGAAGAATATTACGTTAAGCGAAGATCAGTGCCTAACCTGGAAATTCTTGGAAGACAGCGGGGGTGATAACAGTTCATCTGCACAGTCTGAGCCTTGGAGTGCTAATTTTGGATCTGAAAAGTTGGATGATATTGAAAATGACTGGGATGAAATAGATTATCGTGCACGAGAAACCGGCGGCACACCAAGTTCAAGGGCAGGGTTTGACCGTGGGTCGATCACTGCATCGTCTATAACGGCAGCCCCGCGTCGGCGTCGGTACAAGTCTATTTCACATTCAATGGTGCCTACGGGTTCTTCCAAGTTATTTCCTTTCCGCTTGCCTCCTTATCAGAAATGTGGTATTCTCCTCACGTTTGCAGGATTTGAAAAGGTATATAGTTGTCTGCCGTTTGTATCCAATACAATATCTGAGCGAAGTCGCATTAGGGTGAGCGTAACATTTCAATCAAAGTTGAAGTCGAGCGAAGCAGTGGCGAACCAGAAACATACATGTTCTGGGTATCTGGAAATCTCCAACCAGCGCTTCAATTATGGGAGAAAAAGATTGAATATGGTGTCCGCGCCGTCCATGTTCGACATGCAAGTATTTTTCCTTCCCTTAACCTCCCCGATTTGTTATTAACGTAGGTATCTTATCACCACAGAAAGCAGAGATAAAGTTTACGAACACAGGTACAGTCCCACTACCATGGAGCCTGACACAGGAAAGCACCAAATACATAGCAATAAAGAAGTTTGACCCGGCCCCACTTCCGAAGGATCTGAACAGCATACCGTCTCCCATATCATATTTCCCCAACAATGGAAAGCTGCTACCAGGCTGCACCCAATCAGTTGACATTGCTTTTACCCCAAGTCTCGCTCAATATGAAGTCTTCAGCTACTTTACCCTCCGAACTGAGGATTTCGCAGAGGCTCCTATTATCGTACATGGTGTCGGTGCATCGTCTCGTCTCACGATAGACGTAGAAGAACTGGACTTCGGGGTAATAAGAGTCGGAACAAATAAGGCCTTCAAGCTTAGCTTGCGAAATAAGGGTATTCTGCCCTTGAAGTATTTTGTAGAATGTTCCAACATCCAGTTTGCAGCGGATCCAGAGCAAGGACTATTGGATGGAGATGGACGGGTGGATATAACGGTCAAATTTACGCCCAAAACTGTTGGACAGCTCACCGCCTTTTTGCGCATCTTACCTCACTCTGCCGAAGGATATAATGTGGAACCTCTCATGGTTTCACTACGCGGAATGGGAAGCTATCCTGAACTTGTTGTGCTTACCAGGACAGTTGATTTTGGCACGGCTTTGTTCATGACGCGAAACGTGCAACCAGTGAAAGTGCAAAACAAAGGGGCAGCCGAAGCTCATATCGTCTTTAGCTGCCACCATCCTGGTATCAGCTTAGACGGTGGAGAGAAAGGGGTGACAGTGGGTCCCCACACTGTCAAAGACATCAATATAGTCTATACCCCCCAAGTGGTTGAGGTGTTGAACGTCAAAGCATTTTTGCGGTCATCGGATAGCAGGGGCGATCATTTTATGCTGACTTTAGATGGATCTGTGGGAGTGCCCAAATTGACCTTCGAGCCTACGGACATTTTAGAGAATCTGGACTTTGGTGTCTGCGCCGTTAACGGCATTTACAAGAAGACATTTAAAATGGCCAACGAAGGTAACATCAGTTTACCTTATGCCCTGAGTCTGGCGCACATGAAGACAGTCCAGCATGATGCCGAAGGACATGCTATGTCCAAACCCAACTCACCTCGACGTAATGTTATCAATATTGAACCGTCATCCGGAATCTTAGCGGTGGGAGAAGTTATTGGAGTTACCATCACCTTCATTCCGGATGGTCTCGCAGAATACGAGTACAATCTCAATCTAAATTACGAGTTCCGCACTTCGACTGCTATTGTTAAGGGAACAGGAGGCAGAGCAGTGTTGAAAATTGACTCACCACTACGACTCATCGACTTTGGGATCTGTAGATTGCGGAGAGTCTTTAAGAAGCCTTTGACCATATCAAATACGGGAAATTTGGGCGTAGAATATCACCTGCGACCAGAACCAACTGACGGTGATTGGACTGTTTATAAGGATGAATTCAAGAGGAAGTCACAACTGAAATCCCCACAGACTGTCGATGTAAACGAGCAACCACAGGCTGATATAGTTGAAGACGCCGTCAAAACCGAGACGGAGGTGCCTGAGGAGCCATTCTGGGTCTCGCAGCTTGCTGCACTCGGCTTCACTTTAAAAAACCCCAACGGATATTGCAAACCTTACGGGAAAACGGATATCATAATTCAATACTCTCCTTCTGTAGAATCGCTTGTGGCAACACGGCTGCGAGTTTACTTTGGCGAAGAGTTTGAGGATGTCGAAATATGCGGTCGGGCGTCCGTCCCTCGATTAACAATTTATGGCCCGTCCAACGAGTTGCTTGGGGGTGCTCCGCAAGAGATTCGAACGGTGGATCTCGGGGTCCACCCGATCAACTCGGAACACGTTCATACGTTGCAGTTAAGAAACGATGGGCCGTTCGGGGTCGATTACCTGGTTCAGCCTATTGGTATCCGGGAATTTGATGTGCAGCCACTTCGCGGATTTATTCTTCCTGGAATATCGAAGCCTCTTCGAGTTTACTTTCGACCCAATTCGGAAAACAAGTTCCAAACTACTATGAAGGTGCTGTGGGAGAAAGAGCCACTACGCTTGCACCTAGTGGCAAGAGGCGGCATCGGCAAACTAGAGATTGTCTACGCAGATGAGAAGGACCTGGCCATAAACGGACTAGACTTTGGCATGGTGCCTTTCAATAGCTCAGCGGAAAAGCACTTCTTCCTGTATAACGTGGGAATGGTTGAGATCTCGATGCAGGCGGATATCGACAATGATGAATACGCCATGTCCATCTTAGGTGATCCCACGCCGTACCATCCGCAAAAAAATGTGAAGCCCCAGTCCCCTACCAAACGTACGGTTTGGAATTGGTATTCTACGTTGCGAACGGTGATACCTCCTGGCACTGGAGTTGAGGTTGTAGCTCGCTTTATTGCGCGATCGCCCACAGTTTCGGCGGGCAATGTGCAGGTCAGATCTGAAGGCGGCTCCTTTATCGTACCAATGCGAGGGAAAGGAGGCACCATTCAAATTTCCCATAAAGGCGATCTTAACATGGGCGATATTGCAACTAACTACACTTACTCTCGTAAAATTGTCATCGTCAATAGCGGATCTATACCATCGAGTTTGACAGCCGAGTGGCTAGTTGTAGGTCATTCAAGCGAACCATCCTCGGCGTTTATTCAACTGGCGGACAATTTCACTGCATTGGACCCACGATCTAGGTGGGCAAAACAACAACTTTGCCGGGAGCGCGGAGTTGCGGAGATTACCATGAATGCAAAGGATCGCTGGCGACTGATTGCTCTTATGATACGGAAGGCAGAAGTATTGGAAGACGATACTATCAGCGGGGATCCCCTTAGTAAACTGTGGGGATCAACCCTTGGAAAAATCCGAACCTTAATGCAGCAAACTCCAGTCGCCCAGCAACCTCCTTCGGCAGCCAATACAAGTAGCTCTCTTAACTCTCAGGTGGACAGTAGCGCTACAAATAGTGCGACCAGTGTCCAGCCAGGCCGCGCAAGCTTGACCGGGGGCCCTAGTCAGAGCGTTTTGCAAAAGAAGGGTCTTCCCGCTCACTATTCCGCTCAATTCAAGCGCCGTCAAATGTTTTTCCATCTTATCACGAACACACAGCTGACGAGCCAATCACTACCTACGACAAGACCGTACATTAAAGTGGAGCCAGCCACATGCATTCTGCCCAGCTATGGAGAAGTCACCTTGAACGTGGAGATCAACTTGGCTACTGAAGACACATTCTTGGCGACTCTCGTGATTCGACCAAGCGTGCTAAACACTCCTCCTCACGAAATCTCCCTCACGGCTACACCAAAGGCGGTAAATATAGTCTGTGACGACACCCGGATTCTGAACTTCCACAGGCAACCGCTTGGTGAATCAGAAATCATTACACGGGCATTTACAAACGTCGGACATAAGGACGTCAATTTCCGTATAATCAATCCCAACGCCGCCTTGAATGTTTATCCAATCAAGGGCTCGCTCAAAATCGGGCAGACCGTCACTGTTCGATTTACATTCAAGCCTGTAGATGAATCGCTCCAAACCGGGGATGTGATCTTCGAGCCTGACATTTCGCAGCCAATTCGATTAAAGATGTATGGTGGAGGTGGACATACGAAAGCTTCCCTTTCTAGATATCGACGCTTCGATTTTGGACATTGCATGATAGGAAAGGACACTGTATCTTTCCTTCCTATAACTAATGAAGGAAATGCGATACTGCACCTGACTCGTTTCGAGCTGCTCGAGACGGACACATTTTTCAAAGGTTTGGACTGGCCAACCAGGAGGGTATCCTTATTCCCGGGAAAAATGTACAACTTGCCCATTGTATTCAATCCTCACGAGGAGAGTCCTGCGCCTGGACGACTGGTCGTTGGCACAAATGCCGAAGCCTGGGAAATTGAACTGATTGGCCTCGGCAGGGAGGCGGTTCTAATTGTCTCAAAAGTTGCTTTGGAATTCTCTGAATGCTTGATCGGCAACTCATATGAACAGAAGCTTGGACTAAAGAACGTCGGCGATGTGAACTACCCTGTAACTTTCAAACTGGAGAAAGAGTTTCCTGATATCGAATTTATCCCACCGTCTCTGATTATCAATCCGTTCAGTGAAAGCGAGGTCATCATCGCCTATACGCCTTCAAGAGAAACAAAGAGCACGGTTGTGCTCACCGTATCTTCGCCGTATAGTACCCATAAGGTGCCCCTTGTGTTGCATGCTGGCACAGCTCATTTGCAGTTTGTTACCGAAGAACTAGACTTCGGAATGTTTGAAAGAACAACCACCCCAAGCGTGAAGCTTGCGATGAAGAATATTGGAACGGTGCGGACAAGCTACAGCATTCGAGATGTTGCGAAGCCATCAATGTTCAGCATTGCCCACGGCAAGGGGATACTTCAGCCAGGGAAGAGTGTGGAAGTCGTAGTAACCCACATTAAACACGAAGTTGCTCAATTTGAGGAGAAGCTTGCTGTTCGTACCGACTTGATCGATAAGATTTATTACATCAAAGTCAAAGGACAATGTGAAGAAGCTATCCTTCATGCTGAAGAGTTCAATATCTTGAATATGGGAACCTGTCCCGTTTTAGAAAACACGTCCAAACCCGTCTCATTCACTAATTATGGATGTTTTCCGCTGGAATTCTCAGTTAAGAGTGCGTATCCTCTGAAAGTTGCACCTGTTAGCGGCATAGTACCTGGAGGAGAAACAGGCACCTTTCGCGTGACTTGGAATCCCTCCGGTGGCTACGAACTCCGAACGCATGTTTCAATAATGACCAACATTGGAAACTTCAACATTGTTGTTCGGGGTAAGGCGGCATTCCCGGAACTTGCTGTTAAGAACATGTACCTTGATTTTGGGGTCTGTGCTATCGGTCACATGTACAAAGAGGCCTTCGCGATAACGAACAAAGGAAAAGTACCTGTGAACTTCTCAATACTTCCGCCGCGCGAAAGTACGTACTCGGTATCAACAAACCAAGGTAGTTTGGAGCCGAAAGAAACGAAAGACGTTGAGGTCTTTTTCAAGCCAACTAGTGCGGGCAGATTTGCGCACACGTTCACCATTGAATGCAAGGGAATAAATAACAAAGAGATTGTTGTTGTTGGGGTCGGCGGAGGAATGAAGCTCGAATTCTCACCGAGCACGCTCGATCTCGGTAAGTAAGATGGCTATCCAGCGGCGCGTAATGGGCATAGATCAACGTTTTGACTGTATCCGACGCTAGGACGGTGTCCCTGTGAGCTGTATGTCTACCATAGTTTGCTGCTTACCAACAAAGGGGATGTAACGCTTTATATCGCGTTCAAACCCGCTGACTCGGCCTCCCAAGAGTGCTCAATGACAATGCCAGAGCCCATTGTACTAAAGCCGAACCGTACTACAAAGTGTTTCTTTGGTGTGATGGCTAAAACTGTAGGCCCCTTCAACTCCAAGATCGCAATACACACGAAGGAGAAATCATACGCTGTAAATGTTACTGGTAAGTAGAACCCTGTTAGCCTATACGAGGAACGTGTTTCCCACGTAGCGGCCCGTAGGAATCGGAATCAGGATCGTCTTGACCCAAAGAAGCAAGGAGATACTAGAAGGCGAGAAGCTGACAGCCGTAAGTTGACGTTAATTTCAAACTGGTTTCATTGTCTAACAAGTCGCCTCTTAGTTGACACCCCCAGGTCCCTTGGGGAAAGAAATAAGCTTCGGTGCTATTGATGACTGGCTGAAAAGGCTTGGGAAGCGTTTTAAATTTGATACAAATGAAGCACTACACGCTGTTAGCCAGCTTCCAGTGCTGGCTACAGATGATTCGCTCAAAGCCTCGGTAAGGTTTCCCACTGCTTTTAGCTTTTCTTAATGTCTGCAGTTATTGCGAGATCATGCTCACAGTTTGCAATTAGTTGAGCGGGATCAAAACAGAGGACCCCAAACCTGAACCTGTGGTTGAAGAGGATCCTCTCGTTCAACAGATTTTGGATTATCCAAAAGTGCAGGTATAGGGTGTGGCGGAGCTGGAGCAACTTCCAAGATAAGCAATAATAATCACCCTTTGACGCTCGATAGATCCGTCAGATCGGAATGGAACCAATAGTCCAGATCAATGAACCGGACTTAGACATTGATTTGGACCTCATACTTGGACGGCCACCACCGTTTAAAAAGGAAGAGAAGGTACAGTCGGGAGCAATCTATTAAACGCTCTACACTAGACTGACAGCACGGCTCAACAGATCCCCGAGCTTAAAATCGAGAATGTAAAGAGCCAAAAGCGCGACTACATGACATCCCTTCCTCTACAGAGGTGGGCACGTAATGCACGAACAGTGGACTCTTTCAAGGAGCGGCTACAATGGTAGATTATGGACTTCTGTATATAACCGGCCTACACAACTTCAATGTACATAAACCAAGAGGATAGATGATTACATTCCCATTCCCCCATCTTTGCCCATCATATACAACGGAATTTATCATTAAGTATTTGAGCGGATGCTGACAGCCTTCCCTTGCCAGCCCGAGAATTCCCCTTATAATAGAATTCCTCTTCATATTTGACCAAAAGCGATTGCTGCTCACGCAGCAGGCATACTTTTGGGTTTACATTCTTGTTCCCCAAGGCTCCTGATGAAGATACTGTCTGGCGGATGACTGTAACAAAGTTAGCAGGCGTCTACGTCACGTAACAGATAATATTTTCAAACATACTCTTTTTCTCCTTCATCGTAGGTATAGCTGGAAGCAACCGCAAGCAAACTACCATCGCAATTGAACGAAAGCGACGATATACTGGTTGGATACCGCGGATATTGTCGCAACCGTTTTTTGTTATATCCATCCCACACATTTACAACGCCATCTGATCCTCCAGACGCAAACGTACCGAAACTAACCGTTTCCAAGCTGAGTTTTAGCAAAAAAAAAGACACGGAATGCACACATCATATGACCACAAACCTAGGATGAAAGGCCAGAGCATTCACTGCATATACATAATCTACCCCATCAACGGTCTGACGATGGCACTTGAACGCGTACTTCTTGAGCTGACTTGCTGGTTCAAACACCTCGACCGCAATCCGACCTTCGATTGATCCACTTGCAAAACCTGACATCCGTGTAAGACTCATATATGCCATATCTCCAATGTCTTTTGATTACCTTCACCATTAGGCAGACAGCGGACTGCTCTTGTCATGAACTTCAGAGCACTTTCCCGGCACTGTAGCGACTCTTTCATGTTCCGAATGTCGTAAATGCATACGCTCCTTCCAGCCATAGCCACAACGAGGGTGTAATCCACAACATCAAGAGAGAAAACCTTGGCCGGTTGCGCATATTTCCCCAAGGACGCATTTGTGCGGGGATCCCAGACACCGACATGTTTGTCCCAACTGCCCGTTATGATCTGGCCTAGTCCGCGCCAAGGGTTAGCGTCCAAAGAAGTAATAAATCATCAAGAGACCTACCAGTCCGCTTTGCATATTCCACGCAACGAATGGCGTCCTCGTGGCTCCCAATGACGCTCTGACCAGGCGCATTTAAATCCATGCTGGAAGGATATTGGTTGAGTCCATGCGGCTACATATCCGGCGCTTTCGAATGTTCTTTACCTCTTGAGCTTACGATCCAACCCGACACTAAACCCGTGATCCCCGTCGGAGAAGCAAATGTCCAACACTGGCGCTTTGTCAAGCCACTCTTGCCGCAATTCATCAGAGCTTACATCGTAAAGACGAATTTTCTATTGATTGGAGATATATAAGCTCTTCATAACCAAGTACGAATAGTTCGTAGACAAAAGAGCGCTCAATCTGGCAGAGGAGATCGTACCTTGTCCCAACTAGCAGTTAGAAGGAGCGAAGGATTTTCTGGACTGAATTGCAAGCTTGATATCCCATCTGTTGGTGGGTTGCTTAACTCAAAGCCTAAATTGGCGGTGGTGCTCGTCGCCATTTTGCAGGACAGACTTCGAAGGATGCGCAAGTCGAGTCTCAATGATCAGGTTCTGTTGGCATAGCAACAATGCTGCGCACAAGGCTGCGATACATTCTGGACATTGAGAGTTTCTGGTGGTGTGATCAACGAGCCAGAATGCAGCAGCAGCAGGACGACCTCAGGCCGGCCGTTTTACCAGTCTCTGGCGCAACTGCGTACGTGAACAATGCAGTGGGTCCAGGTACGTCTTTATGTCCTTTTGTGGCCGGACGGGGCCACCGCCTGTATGGGGGCAGTTTCCATGAAGTTTTGCCCTCTGGGTTGCGGACCTCGCAAAGAGGAACTCTCTCAGCAGCAGATATTTGTAGAGAACAGATGTCATGGTTCACTATGGGCTAATCATTCCTGGTCTGGTTTTCCAGGCACTGCGACTTTCGCAAGTTTTCAACAGTATCCAGGTATAACAACGTTGTCAACACCAGTGCCAGGAACTGCATATGCGATTGGTATGGCCAACATGCCGCAAACCATGCCGCAAACCATGGTTTACAACACGTATCAACAACCGCAAATGCTTCAGAATGCGCTCCCTCCATCCTTGCCACTCCAGCAGCAATCTTTCCACTTTCAAGCACAACAACAGGCACCGTCGCAATATGCACAAGTTCAGCCGCAGATACCATCTACTAGTTTGGTTCCTCTCGCCCATAATCAGGCGTTTGGGCCGGCTGGGTTTCCGCAGCAGGTAGCATATATGCCGCATCAGACTTCCGTGCGACCGAATCCCGGGCCACCGCGGTTGGATGCAACTCCAACAGCATCAAACCCACAGACACAAATTGCTGTCGCTCCCATTGTGATACCAAAGGAAACGGACGCTACAGCACGGGAAGTACCAGTTAGCCCAAATTTTAGTCATAGTACAATTGAGAAGGTTCGTCAGTCGTAAACAGTTATGGCCTTGGCCATTTGAGTTTATCTGATCCCTGCATTCCACCCGTAGATCCTCAAGATTAACCAACATTTAATAAGGATATTACTTGAGTACCAGAACAATGGCTGGACGGGAGAACCTGAATACAAGCCGTAAGCATGAATAGATATCAAACACTGGATTTGAACGGATATACTGAGCCGCTCTTCGCACAGATATCAAGAACGACTGCAAACAAATCTCACATACCTAGCAACTGTAGCGGACTGGGTATTGAAAGCTGTAAGAAAGATGCATGTCTTGAGTAACTCTTTGTGTCCCCGTTCATAATGTCGTATTTATCGTTCTAGCCTCAGGGAGCTACAAAAGGACAGACTCCTCCTGCGCTACCAGAGATGTCTCCGGTTGTGTATCCATCACGTCTCCAGCATCTTTCGATTACCAACGGCACATCAAATAAGACAACCATTAGTCACAATGATGTGAAGCCGTCCGTGACACCGCCAGGACCAGTGTCCGTACCTGCAATGAATATCCACCAGGGCAAACCCATTAGGTCCCCAGTGCCTTCCGCTGGCATGTTTACCAGCGTGTCGGCACAGCAAGATCAGAAAACGCCCCTGCAACGGCAGGAAGAACAACTGGAATTGCAGAGACGGATTCTTCAACAGCAACACCTCCAGGCACAACCACAGCAGCAGCATCAGCAGCATCAGCAACATCAGCAACATCAGCAGCTTCAACAGCTTCAACAGCTTCAACAACATCAATATCCACAACAACGACAGCACCAGCACCGAGCACACGCACAACCGCAGATACAAGCGCATATGCCGCAACCACAAGTATCGCCGCAGCACTCACGCGCTCAACAGTTGCAGAGTCAGTACGTACACCACCAGCAGATTCCGCAGCAATATATTCAACAGCAGCAACACCGCGGCACAGAGTTATCGTCGCCGACGCCAGGCGTGGGCACGGCACCCACAGGTGGATTGCTTGGTTTATCCTTGCGCGGCTCTATGCCTGCTGGTGTCCTTACATCTGCACCTGGAACCAACGGGTTGCAAACGTCGGCGCTAGTTTCAACCTTGGCTACTGAAGTCCAAAACGTAACTACTCCGAATGCAAATTTCCACAACGCCAGCGTCGCTGCCTTTCCGCAAGATAAATCGCGCATTCTCCCAACGGTTCCAACATCTCTCAACATGAATTTTGCGCACTCAATGCCCATGTCTAACAGCGCGGATTCTGCAGCATCATCTAGTCCGTCGCCTTATGTGGGCGGTTCTCTGTCTTCCAATTCAAACGCGTTTGCTCCTTCGACTACCTTACCAAATACACAGCCGTCTGTAGCTTTGGCCAACACGCAAGTTGACAGACGGGCTAGTGAAACCAACCTGGAAGGGCCCATGGAGAGCGGCACGCCGACCGGAACTAATACTAGTGAAGTCGAGCCTAACCCCGCCTTGCTCGCGATTGCCGGTAGGAAGAGGTCTATCCCGGATTCCGAAGATCTAGTAGTCACAGAAAGAACTGGATTTCCTCCCGATGAAATAGTTGACAGTGAAATTCAGACGTTGAAGTCGCCCATCCTACCTGAAGTTCCTGCAACGGCCGAAATGCAGCCAACTGAATATCTTGAGATGGAGCCTTCAGGAGCGCCAAATATGGACAGCAGCGGTTCATTTGAAGTCGGTGGCGTGTCTGATCCCGTAATTCATAAACCAGGAAATAGTCCTGAAACCGACGGACCAGAATCAGGTACTGTGGGACACGAAGTGCCTGGCGGGGAGCAGAGTCCAATTAGTGATGAATCGCCTGATATCCATCCGAGAACTTCTCCTTTCGACACCTTGGAGGGCCCTTTTGCGAATGAGGGCTCCAATGCAGAGATGGAAAGTGAGCACTTGCCTGCTGATATACCAGAAGAAGAGGAGTTAGCACATCCTGTTGATTATGATGCAAAAGATCAGCAATCATCCAGCGTTTCTTGCAAGTCTGCGGAGGACGTCTCCGTATCCGAAATTGGAAACCCCCAACATACAGCCGACATCACAGAGAAAGAGGACTGGCTGCAAGGACAATCGGTGGAGGATCGGCCTATTGAAGACGCTGCTACTCCAATAGTCGAGGGACAGGATCAAGCGGATGGAGATGCCATGAGTGACAGAGAATCTACGGAATATCCGATTGAAGATACCGTGGGTCAAGAAAATGAAGCTCCTGATAAGAATTCAGATGGTGGGCTCTGGATGAACATTGAACAACAGAAGGATGAATAGTGGGGGACAATTTGATGGTTCTGTCTCACGTATTCCATCCAAGAAAACGGCACATTTACCGCATCATGATGCATATTGTGGTGAAATGAGTAGTCTCTCATGTAGACCTGTAGATTCTCCTATAAATAATACAAACCATTCAACCGATATCTATCACGCTATATCCTTTGCTGCCTACAAAAGCCTCGACAGAACCCGGCCAACCGGCGCAAAGGTGTTGGTGACCATTCGGGATAGTGTGGATGGTGATGGGCCTGACGTCACACGAGATGCACTGGTAGATATAAAGAACGGCGAGTTCAGCCTACTTGATGAAACTACTTTTAACTACTTCCTTCCTTACCAAACCACTCACCTTGAAAATTCTCTCATCCTCAACCACCTTCCGTTCAACCGCTTTGCAGTGCTTCGATTGGTATGCGTCCTCTGCCCATTCACTGGTAATCCAGCCTTATGCCGGGCACCGCGGTAACTCCCCATCTGAACCATAGCCCCAATCCTGTTTCTTGTCTCTCTCTTCAGTTCAGCGTCAATTTGCATGGTATTCAATAAAGCGGATAGTTTCGTGACTTTGTCTTCGGGAAGATCCTTAAGTCGGCATCGAGGATGTATTCCAAGCTTATGACAAATGGTTTGACCAGTCTTCAATCCCACCCCATATATTCTGGTGAGGGCTATAGAGACGACTTTGTCGTCCGGGAGATTGACACCCAGAAGGTACAGCATTGTTTGAGGTGCAGCAGATCTGTGGTTGACGTCTGGCATGTCTGTTCAAAGTCTTGTGTTGCTATGACAACTTGTGACGCGATCAGCACTTGGGTAAGGTTGGGCATGGCTTGCTCTCAAACAATAGACATCCCATGACAGACCATGTACTTGCCCGGAAGAAGACCGCTGGTAGAGAAACCTGGTGTGTGAGCAGATTCCTATCCTCGCATTCTTGCGATAGCGCGACTGGCGCGTCTTCTCAAAGCGCCCTGATCATTCTCAACCAACCCATATCCAACAAGTCGTATTTACAAAGAATATGGCATAACAGTTCGTTCAGTTCTTTTTCCTGCAACTTCTTTTCTTCAAATATTCAGATTCTATGCAAACATTCTGTTAGCTGCAATTCACTTTTGTGCTGACGGAGGTGCTAATCGACTGTATCACGCGTTTGAGGACAATGAGGAACGGGAAAGGTGAGAGTCATCCAGTTGTAGGGCACAGACATTCTCGTGATTTGAGGGAACTCAATGAGAATTGATTGATTGAAGATACATACCAGACTATATCTGCGGAGATTTCGATTCCATTGATACAGCAGTCAAAGATTGGTATGCGGCAAAGGTAACGTAATTGTAGCGAAAGAAAACCGAAATAACACCTCGTAACAGCGAGTATCTCTAAGGGTACAATAATAGATAACTCGAAAGATCAAGATACCACTGATTTTCAGAAATGCCTGATGGTTTTGAACAATGTCTACGAGCCCACTCCAGAAAATGACACTCCACCGCCCGAAACGTCAACATTATCGAGACTTCTCTTTCCTCATTGTCTTTCTCCAACCCTCGTGTCTGCTGAGGTCTCTCCACCCTCTCCGTCAAAATATGAAGTAGTTGTACTTGGGGCCTTGTCCGGCCGCTTTGATCATATCATGTCAAGCATCCACACACTCTTCATGGTCGCACCTGAGCGGAAAGTTTATTTGGTGTCAAGTGAAAGCGTGGCCTTTCTGCTGAGGCCGGTTAGTCATTAGGGTTTGTCACACTTTAGACCAGTCCCTGGTTGATGGACGCGACTCTTGCAGGGTATGCATGATATTCGGTGCAACACAGAAATCGAAGGACCAACCTGCGGGTTGATTCCTATAGGAGTAAACATCGCCAGAGTTGTCACGCAAGGCTTGAAATGGAATGTTGGTATGTAAAGTTAGTCCCGCCTGCCTGCTTGTTATCCCATTACGATCTCATACTGTTTTCCTCATTAGACCATTCTACACCATTATCTTTTCCTTCCCTTGTAAGCACTTCAAATGCATTTGCAGAAGGTTCCGGCAATGAGCCGGTTGTACATGTCGAAACGGATGCACCAGTCGTGTGGACAGTGGAGGTGAACATGCACTAAACAAAATCTAGTAGACATTTGGCACTTTTGGGCCACGCGTGCCGACAACGCATACTTGGCCTTGCAATAACACTGCATTCTTCTGGAACGTAAACTGCTGATACATTTTGGCAGCCGTTAAGCAGTACACGCCATCCTTCCGTATATACGTCAAATGTGGTGCACCCACACGCTCGCTCACATCCTGGGACACCATTGGGGACGGATTGAAACTGTTTGACAGAAATATAATACGTGTATTTACAAACCTCCTCGTCTGGAGATTATATGTGTCGTCCATCGGATTGTCAAATATCTTCAACAGTCATACATCAATATCCTCTAAATCGGATCTATTACAGCATAGGAGGAAGTCAAAACATGACACCATCTTCCACCATAACGTATTGTTTCGCATGGCTTTCCTGCCTCCAAGAAGGGGCTCCTCTTCTGATGCGATTACTTCGCGGTGCAGTTGGTCCACCTCCTCCAGTAGTGGGTCAGTGTCCTCCGCCAAGTATTGCTGTTGGCGTTCAGTGCTTGAGGTAGATGTCGGTCGAATTGGTAAAGAGCTATTTAGTGGAGAACGTCCGGTATCTCCAGCATCCGCCAGCGCAATGCCGTCTCGCATGCTATGCGTTATCCATTCGTCACCTGGTTTGGTTTCCGACTCGGACGTAACCGGAGATAGCAACTCGCTGGGTACGTGTTCTCCAGCGTCTGTAAGACTGGTTCGGAAAGAGTTTACGCTTACGTTTGGGGGTTTCTCGTCAGACGCTGGTGTCACTCGGGACGCGTTGGAAGCCAAGGCACCGCCAGGTCGAGCATCAGGAGTTCCGGCTCCATCCTCAGAAGCCAAAGGTGGTATTTCCTTGTGTTGCTCCTCCTCTATACTTTCATTAATCACTAAATCACCAATCCAGCTCGCAACACGCGCTATTTGTTCTTCACTAAGCTCAATCTCTTGTTTTGAGGGTTGCCGCGAGCCTAACATAGCCCTCGTAACAATCATTGAAGAGGAATTATCATCTTCCGGTAGATCGTCGGGATCTGGGTATTCATCTTGTGGTTCAACCGGTGGGTTTGAAGGTAAAGCAACACGGGTGACACTAACATCTCTCCCTTTCGCCTGATCAGGTGGAAGGGGAGGGGCCGAAGACGGCGGTAGCACTGCCATTGCGTCTATACTCCCCTTCCTCAACAACCCAGTATCAGAGCTCAGTTGCCTAGCAAGGGTCGCAAAAACTGCACCGGTTGGCTGTGCAGCCCCTAGTGCAAGTCCCAGAGAACCGGAAACTGATGAGCGACCGTATACGCTCGGCGATGATACCACGCTATCGCGTCCACCTTCGCTCCTTTCTCCATACACCGACCCACGCTCTGACCCCATCTGCGTTTGGGACGTTCTTCTTGACAAGTTTCCAGGAGCGTGCATGGTTTGAACAAAGGCAAGCCCCACCTTATGCTGTGCATCGGACGCTGCTCGTGGTCTTTTTATTCGACTTGTCGACTCTACAGATGATGTTTTAGAGGTGGAGACCGCGGGTGGTTTATCTGGAGAGTCACCCATGGCAAGAGTAATGGATGCCTTGGCAAAATGTGAAGCCAAGAACAGGCCTTAATGAGTTATCAAGATTCCTTTCGTAGAGGAAACGTTCAAGCTTTTGCAACAGGTTTGGGCAGCGTTCTTTCAACTTTTTTCGACAGCTGGGTGGGCCAAAACAACAAGCTCATCGCCGGAACGCCTGGCTGGACGCGTTGGAACGTTGAGTCACGTGATGTGATTCACATGATATTCCTTCAGATCATCGCACTGTTTGATGCAAAGGGTTGGTTTGTTGTTTTTCCACGACGACATCTGTCTGGGGGGCAGACGGACAACCTTTTATCGAATATAAAAGCACCGAAGGATTGTACCTTCCTGTCCAACTCCACTTTCGATTCTCCCTGTCCAATTCCACAATGAACGCTTTTTGTACCAAATCGGCGATATCGCGCGTCCAATCGCTTGTTGGAACAGCATCACAGCGCTCAACCTTGTGTCGGTTGTCACGAAACAAGCCAACACCTTCTTATACAGGTCACGCACGCAGTCTGAAATCATTTTGCGGGCACCCATCCAACGCCGTTCGTCAATACTCTGTCGCCTCGTCCGCACCTCGACCGCCCACAACCGGCGATAGCTACGAACCCGAAGCTCCTCATGCAGATGCAAACGCTCACCCTTCCACAACTACTCAACTCGCCGAGGATGCAAAGTACCTTTTGCAACTCTATCCGAGGCCCGACGTCATCTTCACCAAGGGTGAAGGCTGCTACTTATATGATCAGGCCGGTCGCAAGTTTCTGGATCTCAATGCCGGAATTGCGGTAAATGCCTTGGGACATGGCGATAAACAAGTCCAGGAAATTATAAGCGATCAAGCGGGAAAGTTGATCCACCTGTCTAATTTGTACCATAATGAACACGCAGGAAAATTTGCTAAGATGATAGTAGATAGCTTGCCCCAAACAAAGGAGGGGAACATGGGCAAAGGCAGCAAGGTCTTTTTCTGCAACTCTGGAACTGAAGCCAATGAAGGTATTCTTTATCAAATCTGTTCATCACATCCGTGCATCTAAGACTAACGGTGTCCTGTAGCTGCATTAAAATTTGGTCGCAAATGGGGCCGTCGTAACATAAAGGCCGGAGAAACCAACACCAAGACAACCGTTGTATCCTTTAGTAACGCCTTTCACGGTCGATCTATGGGCGCACTTTCTGCAACACCGACAGTCAAATACCAAACTCCCTTTATGCCTCTTCTGCCGGGATTCGTATCTGCGCCCTTCAACGATATTGAAGCTGCAAAACAGCTAATTGACGAGAATGTATGTGCGGTCATTGTCGAACCTGTTCAAGGTGAAGGCGGTATATTTCCTGCTTCACAAGAGTTTTTGCATACGCTACGCAGCCGCTGTGATGAAGTTGGAGCTCTGCTGATATTTGACGAGATCCAGGTAGGTAGTTTGATTTGACTCTCTAGTTTGTTTCCTTTTTTGACTTATATATAACTAGTGCGGGCTGGGCCGAACCGGCAAATTATTCGCTTACGAAAATTACGGAGTCGCTCCGGATATCCTCACACTAGCCAAACCCCTCGCTAACGGTGTTCCGATTGGTGCGGTTCTTCTCGCACCGCACGTGGCAGAAATTATTAAACCCGGCGACCATGGCACAACATTTGGTGGCTCTCCGTTTGCCACACGTCTCGGCATGTCTGTTTTTGATCGAATTCGTAACCCGAAGTTTCTCTCCCATGTGACTGAAGTTGGAAACTACCTCAAATCCCAATGTGAAGAACTCGCCAACAACTCTCCTCTGATATCCCAGGTCCGCGGCATCGGATTGATGGTTGGCTTGCAGCTGAGGGGGTCCGTCGACCCACAATTATTTATTGATTTGGCCAGGGAACATGGCGTTTTGGTTATTTCGGCTGGGAATAATACCATTCGCTTGGTGCCGCCTTTGATAATAACTAAAGAAGAGGTGGATAAGAGTATTCAAGTGTTTGAAAGTGTGATCTCGGATATGGAGAGTTACATTGCTGCTGGAAAGGATTTGAAAGGATGAGTACTCGAACGCCAGAATGTTATAGAGCTGGGTTACTGCCACGTGAAGTTTGGGTATTCCGGGTTTTTTTGGTTCAAAGTAGGCACAAGTTTGTAGGGGTTAAGAGATATACACATCTTTGGCGGCGGTCCGGAATCTTGGCTTCACCCGATGGAGATTTTAGGGCAGAATTCAGTTTAAATCGTGATACGATATACTTTACGGAAATACCAACCGCGGCCCAATGAAAATGGGCGTTCATGTTTGTAATTAAATATCATAAGGTCATGTACTAGTGGTTGCGTCCGTCGCATCAGCAGCCACCTCGTCGGGCAGCGCATCCCGTCCCACGTCTTGTTCGTCCTCCACCGCCCCAACCTGCGCATCTCTTCGTGTCCTCTCGACCTTTTCTTTGTTCCCGCGTACCTTGTCTTTGCCAGCTACAGCTCGGGACACAATCCGAGCAAGCTCCTGCTGGAGGTCCTCGTCGTCACCATTACTATTATCAAATTCCGCCTCGTCAGAATCCAACAACGCAGCCAGAATTCGAGCGGCCCTAGACGCGTGCGTTCGGTCCGATTGCTGTCCACCATCTCTCACCTCCTTGGGACTTCTTGACGGTAATGGGTCTTTGAATGGTTTTGAGCTTTCGGTGAATAAACCATCTGGAGACTTCTCGTATTCGCCTTGCACTATTCCGCCGATTTCGTGTACCGCTCCAGCAATGTTGGACCCAATTGATCGCAAACGATCTTCTAATGCACCCGCTCTGCGTTGTGCTTCATGGAGTGTAGTGCGCATGTGCGCAAGCTGTGAATGAGTTTTATGCAGGAGAATCGCCCTGGGTGGTATGCGCATCCATTGATGAGAGTGTTTACATATAAGCTCATACTCAAAACTTCGTGCGGAAACCTACCGAGGATCTCGATTTACTTCAGGCTCGCGCTTTACCTCGTGATCTCTAAAGCGACCAAACGCTCCTAAATCTACATCTCCCAATATTTTCACCTTTTCTATTCCGGTCAATGTTCTATCCAAGCGCCTGCCAATATCCACTACCCAAAACACGTTCATTACCGTCGCAACCAAGCCCATCACCAGCATGAACAAAAGTAGGACCAACATTAGAGCAGCCCGCCGTTCTTCACGAGTTGGTCCCGTGCTGATTCGATAAGCACCGCGATGATCCGTTCCCAGGGGAGGTGGATTTGGAGTACTGAAAACGGATGGGAACAACGCAACAACAGTTCGCGCCACGATACGGCGTACACGAGCGTAAAGGGATTGCTCGGCGCCTCCTTCGCCATTGACACTGGAAGTAACCTGGTCTCCTTGGTCGGATATTGGGCCGTTACGTAAAGAATTCTTCCGCGCTTGTGAAGAATCCACTCCGGAACTTTCGCTAGCACGCGATGCACTGCCCAGGTCTCCAGCTTTCGCACGGGCACCGATCTTCCGTATTAGATTCACCAACTCAGCACTAAATTGCTTCATGCCATCGATGGTCGCGTTCTCGATTTGCGCTGCAGGCAGACATCAGAGTAAAACATTAGCACCCAGCTCAGCGCACCGCTCTATCCGCAGAAAACTTACCTTTCCACATAACCCGCTTGTTAAAATCGACTTTGCTTGTAATCCTCAATCTAGTCTTTCCAGGTCCTGCGTGGGTTATACAATAGCGACTCATCAGGGTAAAGTATTCCCCATATGGAGCCTTTGGTGTGCGCACAGCGCACTCCACCACATAGGCGACCAAAGGGTCTTGTCGTAAGACTGTTTGTTTTTCAAAGGATCCTGTTGTTTGTTTGGCGACTGTGTGTACCAAGGCGAGTCGCGTAAGTTACAGTCGTACGCCGTTTTCACGATCCAAACTTACGCATGGGGGGCTTGAATGAAACGGTGTATGTAATTTCTCGCGTCGTAAAATGTCCTTGCGCGTCCATACCCCACTCACCGAATTTGACATCTGCAAAAATCAGCTCATTAGTTGACGGACGATAAAGACACAGCATGCAGAGAGTACCTTCTGTTTCCCTCCGCCGATGTGTCTCTCTAACAATTTCGGATCCTTCTTTGCAGAAGATAGCGTCAAACACAACTTCCACATCTAGATCCAGTGTGACATCCGCAATTTCAGAATCCAGATGCGTCTCGCAGTTACAACTCATCGCCTGTGAAGGTCGCTGTACGGATAATGTCTTTTCCTTATCTTTTCCTTCGGCTGCTGCAGGAGACTGACCAGCCCCTGATGTTGGGACCGCGGCAGCAGCTGCGGCACCATTGGCGATCGCCTTTGAAATGGAAGTACTACCCGTATCTTGGAGACCAAGCGAACTGGCAGCTTTGGAAAATGCAGGTGTCTGCATCGCAGAACTAGTATTCTGCGCCTCATTTGATATGTTTGGCGCAGATACTAAAACAGCTCCAGCCACCGATGGTGCCTCATGAGCCAATAGCTGATCACTTGGCTCCACTCCTTCTCCTTCCCCATCTTCCCCATATTTCGGGAGTATTCTGCGAATGAATTCCAATCCAGAGGCGATCGTGAGAGCTCTCCCTTGGCGAGTTAAAGCCCCTGCTGGAGTTGGGGCGGGATCTGCGCGGCGTAAAAGATTTGTGTCACTTGTTGAAGTTCGCATCCCTGAATGTATATGCTGGGAACTGTGGCTGCAACGTCATTAGTTATGTGTTCGGTTTGACCAGATCCAAGAAAAACTCACTCATTGCCCAAGTGTGAAGCCGAAGCAAATCCTGAAGGGGTCACTAACTTTTCGCGAACCTCAGAGACGTCTGTAGGTGGCATCTGAGACCTATATCGTTCTGGTGTTGCGGCACCAGAATGAGCCGCTACGGCGTCCTCGCTCTGGTTTGCCACCTCAGAAGCGCGGCTGTCATCATACGGCAAGTTTGGAATAACCTCAAGGACTGCAGGAGCGGATCGCGGAGATATGGACCCGTCGTCGTGATCTGACAAAGCACCATCTGATTGACTTTGCCCTTCAGATTCCCGTGAGCTTCCTCGCTGGCCATGGACGAGGCCGAGCATGGCTCGTTCGTCAGCGCTCTGTGAATTACATGGTCACTACAAGAAGTTACTACTATTCGTGACATCTGGCTATGGCTTACCAACGGGCTGACAGTGTTTCTCCACAAGTGAATCAAATCTTCGTACGCGGCATCCCGCTTCAGAAATGAAGAAAAGACATACTTGAAGTATGGCGCAACATAAGATGGTTGCACATGCCGCGGGCTATAGGATGACAATATCCCACCTTTGTGTCCTGGTCAACAGTGATACGGATCGCGTTTGGAAACATTCCGGCCGTATTTTTCTTTTCAATGCCCGTTACCTCTCGAAAATTGACCACAATCTTGGTACTCTTTGCGAATAGCTTTCCGTAGAAGCACAAATGTACGTCGGTAAAGTAGAGCTTTCCATGCCACAAGACATCCCGCTCCAAAGCACACGTATACGCTGTTGCCCAGTGCACACTTCGATTAGCGCCGCAATAACCAGATATATGGGAAGATATGGCTACCCAGCATACGTACTGGTCATAAGGCCTTCCGCATTTGTCGTCAACTCTGGAAAGAGCTTCACGAATTTCTTTACATCTCGGGTAGAGGTTGCAATACTCGGTTTACTGCCTCGTTTCGAGATTGTTCGTCCGAGACGGCGATTAGTGGCCTGACATAACAACATGACGCATGTAAGTCGTGACTTCGTCTCAAGAAGACTATACTGCAAACCTCACCTCATCGGGTATCGACATCGACTGCCTGTGCGTATTCGCCGGTGCATTGAATGATGTAACAGTAGACGCTTTGCGAGGTAACGACTTGAGCCCTTCTGGAACATCTGGTTCCGGCATTGTTGATGAGAAGGTTGATCGATTGACCTCTTCTGCGAAGGTGGCCGCACCCACGGTAGCAGGTATGGACTGGCCATCGCCAGATGCCATACTAACACGTATGGGATTTACAACCGCCTCCTTCAACGCCTCCTTAGCGACGTGGGCGACCTCCCGCACCGCGTGGGCCGTTGCCTTTATTCCCTCCTTGAGAGAATTATCACTTCGACTCTTTCGAAACTTTCTACAGGCAGTAGCGTGTCCTGTCGGGCTATGTGGCATTTCTTCTGAACTTCTTGCAGACGCAAAGCTTTCCAACGAACTGTTACTGCCCTTTTCGAAAAGGTTGACATCCGCATTTTTTTGCGGTAATGGGGTACTTGGGGTGACTGCCAGAGAAGGCATCGCAGTGCTCTCCCTCCTATTTTTTGTTGGCTGCGACTGAACTGTTTTCTCCATCACCGGAGTCCTTGTCGTCGTCAATGAGGTTCATTCAACACACCAAAAACGCGCCGTTGTTATTCCAATTTGCCCTTTCAAACAGCACTTGTGGTCTACTCCAGCAAGGACGGTGATGATATGACGTGGTAAGGCCAAGAAATTCCGCGCCCCTTAGCTCAAACTCAATTGTTTCCCAATGACGAAGACACAATGACGAAATGGCACACTGGAGACGGGATCTGCACTAAATTGAAAATAAGGGAGTGCGCAAGCCAACAAGAAAGCCGACCGTCGAGCGAGCTATACAGCAGAGAAATACTATTTAAAATTACAAACGAGCCCTGCAAAATGACTACAAAAAACGTTAAAATCTCTCGGCTTTCAAACTGCAAAACGCTTGCAAAAGGTCGGCAATGGATGAAATCCCGCCCATGTGGCACAGCACTTTGGTCCAGCTCGTCTGACTCATCAAACAAATTCCAACGTTATTGCGTCTCCTTTCCTTGTTGGCCATCCACAATTTGTTTTTATTGGCAAAAGACATCTGCATCTTGTTCTTCCAACTGTATCAACCACATCATAGCAAGGGAAAGTATGGCATTGCGTCGAATTCACAAGGTATCCTTCTTTTTGCAATTCATATGGCAAGATGAACCGTCAAGAACTCACATGCCTCTCCGACAGGAAATGGCGGACTTGGCAAGAGCTCCACAGCCAAACGCATCTGCTGGACCGGTTGACGAAAGCGACGTATTACACTGGTCTGGACGCCTCGTTGCACCTGTATGTGGGGTTTTGTCAGGCTCTTGTTCTTTTAATTCCAGTCTAAGCGTACTACTTTCGACAGGACGAAAGCGCATATAAGGGCGGAGTTTTCAAGATAACAATCGAGTTTCCCACAGACTATCCTTTCAAACCACCAAAGGTGCGTTGAAATAGGTAGTGGCTCAAATAATTGTTGAGAAACTCATATTTCGAACAGGTCAAGTTTGCCACCAAAATATACCATCCAAATGTTGACGACGACGGATCAATTTGTATAGGACTGCTCAAAAGTGAGGTAAGAGAGCGCACAGAGTGTCGGTGTTATAATGAGTTGAATAATGTGCTCAGTGATCATTGTCCACAAGATCTGGAAACCATCAACAAAACTCGTAGATGTCCTCACCGCATTAGTCGATCTTCTCCAAAATCCCGTTCCCGAAGACGCACTCCAACCATCAATTGCCCAAATATATAACTCGGATCCAGCAAAGTTTAAAAAGACAGCCAAAGAATGGGTGAAAAAGTATTGTGACAAGGCTGCATGACCCTTATGCCATGTAATTGCCCCCCATCACGCAACATACGCGACGCTCGCGAATCGGAAAGACCAACGCGAACTTACCAATAGGCGTCTCGCATATCCAAGTACACACACCAGAACGTCTGACACATGCTAAGTGTACCGCAAGATCGAGACGTTATCAATAGGCTCGCGGAGGCAACTATAATTCGTTAATAATAAGCAAAATGGATATCTCGATGCCAGAGTACGGCTACATGGATCATCATAGTAATGGCCTAGTTTTACTGGCCTATTCATAGGCGCGACACTTGCATCTCCAAACACACTCCACCAGAATGGGTCTCGTAATACGTTCAAGTGGCGAGAAGTGTCAGCTGCCAATGAAAAACAGCGATGACCATTTACCCAAATAGAACCAGTTTTTTTCTGGACAGTATGCCAACGGATTAGCTTTGTTCGGATTACTCCTGGTCCCGCATCTTGGCTGTGGATATGGAAAAGTGGCGCCTGGCAGTTCCCAAGCTGGACGAGGGACAAAGCTAACAAGAGCAAGCGTAGCCGACGGTGCTCTCGCGTGAAAATACATACCTGCAATGGTGCCAGGTTTGGCTTCGCTGCTGACAAAATCAGCATAAATTTACCGGTATTTGCTGGACGTCAAGGAAAGAACAGGGGAGCAAAACAGCGACCCTCTTATCGAACAAGGTTGTCTGGCCCATGTTTGAAAATGAGAAAAGCAATCAAGAAATGCTACCAGTACAGATTCATTGGCCGCAGACTCGTAACTGCCACGTAGTTGTACGGATCCTTCATCGAAACTCGTAGGACTGCAAATTCAGGATTTCGAAAGTAAGTCAAGAGTTTGTCGGTGGCTGTTCGTGGGTGAGCATGTATTCGGCCGCGGCTGCCCTCAGCATTTGTCGTTCTGCGTCTCTGCGAACATTCAGCCTAGGATAACAAAAATTAGTTTTTATGATAATAACGTTCCGAGTCCCGCCCGCTCCGCTGCTAGCAATCCATTGTAAATGGAAGCACACTTCGCTTTTAATCATACACAATATTCTCCCATTTTCCGGTCGGATCTAAAGCGTATGATAGTCAGCTTCTCAAAAGTCCTGGCTTGGCCAATAACCTGACATTGGTCCCCTTACGGCTCATCATTTTTGCGTGCAGGTAGGCGACAAGGAAGAACGTCAGACTTCCCGATATATAGAACGGAAAGTAGAGCTTAAGGAGCGGCACTCGATAGACTCGCATGCCTAACCAAGTATAGTAGGGTGCTTCTTGGGGCATATTTGTATTTGAAAGTGCGAACGTGTCCCAGCGCAGAATCTGACTCTACGTCGAACCGCAGGAATCGAAGGCGTCAAAGAGGCGAAACTCTGTACGTAAAAATATCAAGGGTTGCTCGTCTTCAATAATCTTGCTAACTGGCTGTATGAATAATCTATTTAATGTATGCAGAAACGTCCTCCATTCCAGACACTCCTCCAGCCAGCGTCCAAATCTAACAACTAGCAAGCAGCTGTTTTCCGATTGTACAATCAGGCAGCACCCGAACAAATGTACAGATACAGTAATAAGTTAAACATTTAGATCAAGACCTTAGTCCAGGGTATCTTCACCATTCTCCACAACCCAGTCTTGCTCTCCCTCATCCCACGCATCATCCCACTCCTTTCCCCCTTTGTTCCAAATTCGCACCATATGGGACCAGAATCTCTGACCAGGCTCTATACATTGATTCAGAGCCCATACACCGACTCTGACTTCTCCAGTGGTCGCATCACGATATGTGTCAAACGCGGCATTTGGACGTGAAGAGATCTTATGAAAGTCATTAATGAAGCGGGCTTCGTTCCCCGAATTCTGTGCATCAATAGTGAGGTCGCCATCAAAAAGTAGTGTGTAGTCACTTTGTAGCGAGACATTACTCGAAGATTGGATAGTCCCTCGATCTTTGTTTATTTTATTGGGGATGAGTTGTGGGATGCAACGCCAGAGAGAGTTACAGGGACCTACTGCATACAGTCTAAGAGGAAGGAAAACGGCGATATTCTCTTTTTAGCATACAGTCCCTTCTGTCCAAAGGCTGGATGAGATTTTTCTGTTATCGTTCGTATTTCGACGTCAGGACATGGTCCAGTGTAAACCGTGACCTTCTTGACTGGAATGTCATCCTCGCTAGCTGCTTCCGAGACTGTGCGGTGTAGGTACCGGGTCCTTTGTATGGCAGGAATATCTAGGGCCCAAACGTTGTGAGTAAGATACGGCAGTGAATGTGGCCAATTTGGAGGGATCGAGTTTGGGGACATGGAAAGAGTTCGGGGGGAAAACGTGCTGACTCATACGTTACTCACACCATGACAAAACCGCCGATTTCACCATTACCTTTGGCGTTGGTCATGAACAATCACCTCCGCAATCTGCACCGGTTTACAAAGCCTCTTTTCAAACGACTGCCAATTATTGCTCCCCGTCTGAATTCTACATTTGGATATCTGGCCGATATCGGAACAATGGGCGCCGCACAGAATCAGGTCGAGTTTTTCAAGACTGGGAAATTCGCTGTTGGTGCGTATTAGGGCAAAAAAGGCGTTATTATTCAATTGTCTTATGCTCGTCATCTTGTTAGTTGGTGCTAGCGCTGACCGATCCAAGTATGGAAACAAGGTGTTCAGGTGGTATCTTGACCACAACCTACCAGTCGTCCCTATCAATCCAGTAGGTCAACACGACCCTCTTTTGAATAATATCTCAGAACCAAGTTGACCTTGCTTTTGGCACAGAAATCACCTACTATCGAATCACATCAGACCCGTGCTTCCCTGTCCGACCTTCCATGCCCTTCCGAGTACGCCCTGTCTATTATAACACCCCCGAAAGTCAGCAGTTCGGTTATCGCAGAAGCGGCATCCCTTGGTATCAAAAATGTATGGATGCAGCCGGGATCAGATTCGCCAGAGGTGGTGGCTCTGGCAAGAGAAAAGGGGATGAATGTAATAGCTGGAGGTCCGTGTATTTTGGTGTCAGGGGAGGATGCAATGAAGGCGGCTGCAAAGCTATAGAGTGTATCTGGGAATGCAGAAAATGTTTCATTCATGTATTAGGCCATTAATTCCAATATTTGCCCAAAAGTGCCGGTCTCCCCAATTGCTGCCACCACCTCAACGCATCGCCGATGACGGCCATTCTGACCGGTTTTGTAACCGGAGCGTCACCACCACCAAAACCGTAGATATATGACAACAGTCACAATCAACAGAACAATTGCTGGTGGTCCGTATTTTTGGTATAGTGCTTGCAAATTGAGCTGCTTTGCTTGCATGTGATATGTTTTGGATCGATCGGATAGCTCCTTCGAAACAGTGGACATGCCTATAGTTGAACGACTTAGCATGCAATAGTGCCATTGATCAAGTTGCGGCAATTCGACTTACGGTCTAGCGCCTCCCCTCGCCCTAGCACATCTTGGATGTTCTTGGTCATTATTCGCGTCACATCTTGCAGGTCTTCGTTAAGTTTATTTAGATTTCTTTGCGTTCTGCTATCTTGGTACTGTTTCTTTACTTTCTGTATGTATGTGTCTGGCGAGATAAATCAGCTTCTTTGAACCTTTGCGGGAGAAAGCGCGATCCATCACGGGGATCCGCAAGCAAAACCCACCAAATTTCATTAGGGCATATGGTCGAGCCACAGTGCCTACTTGGTCCCCATACTTTTCGTGAAACTCTTGTTGAATGTCTTCCAAATATGCAAACGCAAGCTTTCGTGGATATGCGCGTTCGCAAAGACATAGGTAGCATACGCCAAATTCAATGAGGTAGCTGGTGACCCATGTCGGTTACATGTTTCGCGTGACAGAGTTAAACAACCAAGAATAACATACTGGAAGACGAGATTTCCTGTTTCAATGGAGCAGCGTTGGTCGGATTGTGGTGATAGCCGCTTTAGAAGGAGTTTCGCTTGGTTTCTGTATTCTGTCAGATCATATGACTTTTCGCAAGGTCATTGGAAAATGTCAAAAATGCGCTGTAGGAGGGCATGGCCCGCAACGCCATGAACAACAATACCTCTTCGTCTGCAGCAAGAAATAAGCCGTCTGCCACTCGTGCAATGAACGTTGACTGGATCATGGTGAAAGATGGGTAGTAGGGTGGTATATCACATCAAACGGGGCGGAAAGCAGCGGACCCAGTGTAAGCGGCTTAGTGTGGCGTGTCTTGAGTTCAACGTGGCATCTTTTGCTGGTTGCAAGTTGCGGAATTGGCACTCTAGGTCACCATCATCATCCGTTGGGAGGGCTGGTGGTGGTAACAGCACTGGACGTTTGAATAGCTCAAGAAGAATGTACATGACTTTCTGGGTAGATAGGCAAGACTCTGCAGATTTTCGACGATTCATGCTTCCTAGCTGTAAGATCAACGAGTATAATGATTGATATATTGGGGTGGCGGTTGCAATCTGTTGGCTTTGTGAAGCAGTTTCCATCTCTTGGGTTTGGGGGCTTAAGAAACGGGACTAGAGGCGCATCTTGGTTCTCTCGTGTCCGACGTCTCAGGAATAGGTCCGGTCTCCTACACAGTACTATGTTAATCATACAATCCTTTCAAAACATATCATCTCACCCTCTATTGTCCAAAGAACTGTGCAGCATGAATGTCCACCTGTAGCAGAGCAAATACACAGCCAGGAAATCATCCACGGGCGGCTGAGGGTCGATGAGTTCAAGTGGTTGGAAAACATCCAAGACAAGGTACCCTGCGGCACTAGTTATGTCTCTTTCGTAGATTACACTTGCCAACGTTGGACTGCTTCAGGCTACTCTTGCGTACTGTGGAGCCGAGAGCAGGTTGGTGCGGTCTTCAAGTGTTCATTCCTTTGATGCAGGGGTTTCCAGACATATTCCTAATTCTGCCTTAGATATGCTGAGCAGCAACTGAAAGACCTGCAGCCACTTAGCCGTCGCATTCTCAAGGTGGCTGACACTCCAGTAGTAAGCATGCCGCTTCAAGAATTCAAGGCTCAATACTTGCATTGTGTAGGAGCTGCAAAGCTACATTCCCCGCTCGCCCCCGAACGATCCTCCTGACATTATAGATGGATGGGAGTACTCAAATCGTTGGGTGTCAGGACGCATAGTATACGTACGACGACCAATTAGCGGAGGAAATGAAGTGGGTGTCATATAGAATGGTTTGAGATGGCGGTTTTCGCAATTAGGGTCTTACCAGTTAAGTAGGAAATTCTGCTAGATACAAGATTTCTCCCACAAGGTTCAACCAGCGTCAAGAAGTGCTTGATATCTAACGATCACAAGGTGCTGGCCTACTTGATTTGCGGGCCTACAGAGGAACAAGGAACTCTGTATTTCCGTGATCTTACTAGACCACCATCTTTGAAAAACGTGCGTACTCTTGCGATCTCTGAGGAGCAAGCGTACCCGTGCTCAAATGTGTCGTTCAGATTGCAGCAGTACCTAAAGTCTTCAATTTTGTCTGGGCGGATGGGCACCGAACTGTTTATTATACGCGGTTGGATGAACTCCTGAGGGCCAATGAGGTAGGACTTAATGCGATCTCGTGTCTCCTTATATCTTAATAATTCTGACATAGGTGTTTCGACACCGACTTTATGCCTTCGAAACGACCGACGAACTCGTATATCATGAGCCTGAACCAACGTGTTTCTTGGATGTGAGTATTACGAAGGATAAGGTTGGTAAATCCAGTGCGTTCATCCTTGAGGATAGGCCGCAGATGACAACCATCACCTATATTTTAGAAATATGTTACCATCAATTCAAGTTCATCCAGCGACTCCAAAGTTCTGGTTGTGTCAACGGAAGGGAGCAAGTCGGAGCAACCCAGACTCGTGCTGCCTAGATTGGCAAACACGCAATATTATGTGGACCACCACGAGGTACGAACCCGTCTTTGGAGCCTGATCTATATTAGGCATTCATCCTCCGTGACCAGGATGCCTTTTACATACTTCACAACCACATCTCAGACAACTTCAGTCTATCCCTCTTTCGAGACTCTGTCCTCGGAAAGGTCTCGTGGGATAAGTTACAACCGGTTGTGACCACATCAGAGTCTGAGAAGCTTGAGGAACTGGAACTTTTTCGTAATTTTGCGCTTTTGTATATGAAGAAAGGGGGTCTACCGGTACTGGAGTGCCACGATTTCAGAACGGACGAACGACATACTGTACCGTTGGATGAACCAATTGCATCGGTATATACTGGATCTAATCTGGTAAATCAAAACGTCGGATGGTTGTCAATGATTTCTTTCTAATTGCCCACATGCCCTAGAAATATGATACTTCTATCGTGCATTTTAACACGTCGTCCCCGCTAACGATGCAAAGTGTGTACGAGTATGATATGGACAAAAAGATAATGCGCAAGAAGGGGACGCGGAGTCCTGCAGGTACATTGCAGCTGTGACTCTAGCGTTGTGATAAAGACTCAGACAAGTTGCAGGTTTCGATGTGCGCCAGTATGTCGTGAAGCGTATAACGGTTCCTAGTGACACGGCTGACATTCCAGTTACACTTATACACAACAAGAATCTGGAGCGCAATGGCCAGTGTGTAGGAACCGCTTGAATCGACATTATACACCATATTTACGAATTTCCGTCCTTGCCTGGCTTGCAGGAACCCGGTGAATATTCGTGCGTATGGTGCTTACGGTAAAGTATGAAGCTGCTGCATTTGACGTCAGGTCATAGATCACTGAACATGATAACATAAACAGGTGTGCCATTTGAGCCGTACTTTCGATTGGAGATTTTACCTTTGTTGCGACGAGGTTTCGTCGTGGCGCTAGCTCATGTTCGGTAGAGTTGTGGCTGTAGGATTATCCGGCAACTGCAACCGAACAGTTATTGACATGATACGTACTGTTAGTGGCGGTAGCGACTTGGGTGTGCGATGGTACAAGGAAGGCCGATTATTGCAAAAGGAGAATTCGTTTAAGGATTTGATTGCAGTTGCCGATTTCATGGTACGAGAGAAATATTCTCATCCGAATCTTTTGACTGGCCATGGGGTCAGCGCAGGGGGTCTTCTCATGGGTGAGTCTGTAAGATTATCAGCAGTCTCTCATGGCTTGTTACTGAACATCGAAACGGTGTACATAGCAACAGTAATGAACCGCCGTCCAGGTACATTTCTTATCCATTGAATCACCGTAGAGGCTTATTTACATGCCAGGTGTAATCTACAGACCTATTTCGTGCTATGGTCCTTCGAGTGCCATTTGTAGATCCACTGTCAGCCATGCTAGACCGCACATCTCCGTTGACAACTGTCGAACGCGGTGAATGGGGAGATCCGCTGGAAGATCCTGCGGTGTATGAGTATATGGCCGGATATGCACCGTACGACGGCATCCCCTTTGCAAACTCCGGCTCAACGGATTTCAAAACGTCAGTTTTAATCACCGCATCGCTTCAGGACCAGCGAGTCGCGCTATGGCAGCCATTGAAATATGTCGCGAGAATGCGGGCGCGGAATAGTACTGTGTATGGCTCTGCCGCCGGACTTGCTGGGAAGGACGTGGCTCCATCCGCCGCTACCCCAAAGCTACTATTAAAGATATACAATGATCGGGGTCACAATGCGTCTGGCGACGAAGTAAATCTCGAAGATGGCGCTCTGGAGTCTGCATTTCTGATACGAGAGATCGAGCCATTCTTAGAAAATATATCTACTCGATGATACTAGTTTCTATTCAAGGTCCTCAGCACGACGTTTCAGTATACAATATTCTCCCCAGACCTTTCCCCTTAGTCCAGGTATGTAGAACGCTCGAGCAAGCGTTGGTGTTTGTCCGGCATCTAGGAAAGGTGCACAGTGATGTTTTGCCCAAGTGTTTGTATCAAGAGCATACGCAGGTTGGCTTGCAGTCGGATCATAATGTGTCTGCGTCGGAGGAGTATAGTCCACGATGTAGTCGCATGTCCCCACGTCCACCTTTGAGTCCCACATGAAGGGTTTGGTTAAATTGTAACATCAAACTTTCAACGCCGGTGTTCTTACATATCGGTCCATGACTTCTTCATTCCGGTCATTCATTCCATCAACCTCCTTGGACGTCAATCGTCGTCCATGTCTCAATGCTGATATGTAACTTTCCAACCCCCGCTCTTTCAACAACGATATGAGTTTGTTTCCATCAAGAGTGGATTCCTCCTCAAAGTATTTTGGTAGCAGTCCCGCGAAATCCGACTTGAGATATCGTAGTCTGACACCTTCTGGAAGGAAGTAGTGCGAAGGAAATCTGTACCATTCCTTTCCGACGCACAAGTTGCGTTCTTGGGCAATATGTCCTAGTGCGCTTGACCCATTGACATTCGACGGCAATGATGGAAGCGTTTTCAGGTGCGGGTAGACATTCATTGGTGCGTGGTAATGTAGGTAGAGGGACAGTGAACGCGAGATTGACAGTATTGCGAAGAGAATGAGGACCACGCGAGTGAAGAACGACGATATGGCAGTTGCACGGGACTGCCAGCAAATAGAAGCATTCATGTGTTAGCTTCAACAAAGTTTCAGAAAGATAGAGACGGGTCTCATTCTTTACCTTGGTGGTTAAGTGAGCAAACAGCTTCTCTATCCAAGACCGAGCAAAATACAGCATGAGGGCTCCGTTTAAGCATATTAGCGGGTATACCACGAAAAGAAATCGTTCCTCTTTGTGCGGCTGCATAGTAAAGATCGCCAACCACAGGTACATTGGCAACATTTTGGCCGCCAAAGCCCATACATTATAGTTTGCTTTGGAGCCTTCTGGCGCCGCTTTGCGACCGTCTATGAGGTTGCCAAGTAGCTGGAAGAACTGAATCAGCCGTTTGTAAAGACAGATAAGCCCAATAGATTCTACATACGATGGCAGGCAGACTTGCCAAGGCAGCTGGAAAGATGATGTTGAAGTTCAAAGCACCATTGATCAGGTAGAACCACCAAGGTTCAGTTCCGTAGATGTCTGGTCCTCTATCTTTTCCACCGAAAACATTGTACACGACAATGTTCAGGGGAACTATGGTCCACTTATTATAGAAGTAATAATCAACGATAATTAGGGGCCCCTTAACATGCAAAGCAAAAGTGAGTGTGACAGGCACAACTCGCTGCAGTGTATAGATAGTAATACGAACCAAAATCAGGACGAGAGCCAGAAGCCCTGCTCCGAAGAGTCGTCTCACTTTCGTAAGTGACCTTCCCGACAACAGCACCTCTTCCATGACAAATGGTATACCAATAGCGGCACTGAATGGCCAACCAACGAGTGCCCCAAGGCCGATCAGGAACACCACCGCGTATGTGCGTAACCGTCCAGGGGGTTGGAGAAAGTAGGCGGTGGCTAACGTGACGGAATACATAGCAAAGGTAGATGGAAGATAGGCTACAAGAGGTGCTCAACATTCAGCTTCGCCACATCAATTAGAAGGAAGACCCACGTTCATAGGTAGTTTACCAGTCGAAGATATAAACATCCCGGTGTTGAGAAGAAGGATAAATAGTAGATATCTCCCCACGCGAGGTCCAATATATTTCACAACTGCATCGTATAACTGTGCTTCACATAAAGCGGAAGCCAAAGCCAAGGCTCCCCGTGTCTCGTAAAATACTGTGATCTTTGCATCGAAACAAACGCTGGTAAGTGCTGTACTAATCATCAGCACCAACTTATTAGGAAGCTCACCTTCTCCCTAGATATGAGAGTTTCGATAAAGCGCCCTATTGCAGAGTGCAGCGATATGTACGCCCACGAGCGAATAGAGTACTTTGGCGAGTACTCCCAAGTCTGCATTCCCCATCCATATTGCAGATAGTGAGTTGGCTCCCAGTAGTTGAACACCTCGTCGCAGTCTTGCAAGGAAAGCCGCATCAGATACTGTCAATAATGACCATCTGGGCTCGAGCACCATAACACTACCAGATATATTCGAGTAAATAGCCGCGAGCAGCCGGGCAACACAGAGAGCTTTAGTAGCCAAGCTCAGCGAAGGTGTCCATATAGACGATACAGTCGTCGGAGTCTCCTGGCTTTAAACCGTTGTAAAGCTCGGCAAGGAAATTGCTACCCCAAGAACAAGAGCATTCTTCTTACCCTTTCACCTTTTGATTGCTTTGCACATTTTTCTTCAGTGGTTTGGCGGCTTTAGGCATGGTACATTTAGAATCTTGAGGATGGAAGGACTCTCGCACCAGATGGGACGAGGCAAGCCGTATATAATTAAGTCCAAAAATGGACAAATTACAGAATAGCGTAAAGTACTGAAAAATCAAGACTTTTGAACTTTACACAATGCCCAGTACAGCATTTACCCCACCGCCGAGCACGGACATGAACGTCACAAAAAAGGAGAGGAAGAAGAAGAAGGAGAAAAGTTCGAAGGGGGAACCTGCAGACAAAACGGTAGAGTTGGTGGAGAATTCTAATGACGAGCTTGTCAACGATAAAAAACGACCCGGGTCGAGCGACAAAGTTGCGCCAAAACAAGCGAAAGGTTTGGAGGAGCACGCCACTAAAAAGAAGAGCCGGAAAGAAAAGAAGGAGGACAAAAAAGCGGTGGAGAACACTGGATCTCTCCCTAGTCCAACAGATAATGACGACAGTGGCCAAAACGTGAGCGTAAACTCAAAGAAGACGAAAAAAGAGAAGACAAAGAAATCCAAGCATGATTCAATGGAGGTGGAAATCAGCCCCGATCCAGTAGAACATCAGCAACAGCAAGAAACAGGAAAGATCAAAAAGAGCAAAAAGAAACCGACTCTGGAGAAGGTAGACGACAAGGGGGACATTCATTCAACTCGACCAGGAGGCGAGGAGCGTAAACGGAAATCTGAAGTTGAACAACCAGCCGAAGAAGAGAAAAGTAAGAAAAAGAGAAAGAAGGACAAGGAAAGACAGAGGACAACGGATATCGAGGCCACGGCAAAGGATCTGCCTCCTGTGGACAAACCTGAGAAAGATACAGATATTAAGTCGCTAAAGGACAAGAAGAAAACGAAAAAGGCAGAGAAGGTACGTCGATAGAATATCCCGCTCACTCTGAACAAATGAAAAAACCGACTATCTGACTCTAACAGGCTGAAAAGAAAAAGATGGCATCCACTTCGTCAGAATCAAAGCCTACTACTACTGGTGCGTTTCATGCAATGATGCGTTGAGCTGCCTCGCTAAGCTGAGTATGCTATCGCAGCACATGCGCCAAAGAAAGATGCACAAGCACCACCCGCGGAAAACCAGACCGTCGCCTCTGGAACTGGGACGTGGAACGACTGGAGCCAAGCTTCTTTTGAAGGTGATGCCGCTCGCAAAAATGTGAGTTGGTTTGCGATTATAATGCGTAACTCTGTGCGTCTACCTAACCCCAATCTCCTTAGAAATTTCTTCGCTTGCTAGGAGCGAAGAAAGCCAGCAATGACGCCATAATATCAACAACATCTTCGAATGCACCCACATCCGCAATACAAGCAGAGGTCGGCAAGAAGATTGAGCATGACATAGTAAATCAATTTGAGCAGGGTAGAGCTATCCAGCAGAAATTGAGGCAAGGCAGAAGGGTGGGACTTGGTTTCTAGGTATTGCCGCGCATCAAATTGCTTGTACCCTCGCCCGTATGTACAAGTGATTGTATCGGTGATTTGTATCGGTGATTACAAGAGTGCTGATGGAGTCATAATGTAAGATCTGATAGGAGAGAGCAGAACTGCACGTAGAGCGCAGAGGGTTGCTGCTTATTTATCGAACTTACACCAGGCATTCAAAACAGTCATCACGTTTTATCCACAGAGTACTGGCATCCTAACTAAAAGCTATCTTCAGCTAGACTCATCTCTATATACATGTGATAAACAATGGTTTAAGTCTACAGGCAAACAATGATGTGACCGTTGCCAACTGTAACTCTCCTGATCACGGTGCTAAATGCCAGCACCGCCTGTAACTTCCAAGGTTGTGCCGGTCACAAATGTGGACAGCGGTGAGCATAGGAATAAAATGGATGCTGCGGCTTCATCTGCAGTTCCCGCTCTTCCTAAAGGGATGAGACGGCCCATCGTCTTATCGTCTGCGCCAGTCGAAGTCTTTTTGGTCGGTATGCCAAGCTGAACCTTTTGGCCCCCAACCTCTATGGCTTCGCCTGATTCTTTGGGTCGTGTCAGGCGTGTATCAATCAATCCGAATGCAACAGAGTTGACCCGAACATTGAACGCGCCCTACAGTAGCATATGTAAGAGGATCACATCCAATCGCATTAATATGGACCATACCCATTCTTTTGCCAAAGTCTTTGTGAAGCCAGTGACACCAGCCTTCGCCGTCGCATAGTTTGCTTGACCAAGATTTCCATGCAGCCCCGACGTGGATGAAACCATCACAATAGTACGCGGCTCTTCGGAATTGATGCGCTGATCAAGACAACATTAGCTATTGAACCACTGCATGTAAAGCGCTACCGAGTGCGGTTGACAAACCATATGCGGAGCAGCGGCCCTAACAATGCGGAAAGGGGCAGTATTGTGAACAGACAACATGATTTCCCACTGTTTGTCAGACATGCGATGCATCATGCCATCGTAAGTGAAACCGGCATTGTTTACAATGTGGTTGACTTTGCCAAAAGTACTACAAGGAAATGAGGACTATGCTCGACCGACGCTTTGAACGACCATCTTACTCAATTGTTTTTTGAATGAGTTTTTGGGGATACGAAGGGTCGGTGACATCCCCTGGCACAGCTATGGCTGTACCGTTTGTCGATTTGATTTCATTTACAACGGATTCCGCCTTGACTTTTCAGGCCAGGGAAGTTCAGATGTGAAGAGTTTGAGACAAGGGAAGAATAAAATGCTTACCAGCATCAATATCCGTGACCACAACTAAGGCTCCTTCTTTCGCAAACAGCTTAGCTGCCGCGGCCCCAATGCCTTGCCTGTTTGTACAAAAACGTTAAGGACCCGATTGCGAACAGTACAGCGAGTTCACGCACCCTGAACCGGTAATAATGGCCACCTGTCCAGCGAGAAGACCCTTTGGATGTGACGCCGCGAGGTGACCTGCCACGGTGCTGATGCGACCTAGTGCTGACGATGACATGTTTTTGGAGAGAGATGGAAGACAAAGCTTGAAAGCAAGATTCGGCAATTGGGCAGTGCCGGGATGAAAGCGCGCAACGGTTACCTAAGTGTCCAAAATAGGATAAATGATATTCACGTGACAAGTCGTGGAGGAGTCCAAAGCGACTGTCCGATCCTCCAAGTTTTTCAACGCTCGTTCGACATGTCAACGTTGTGTGCAAACGGCCACCTCTGTGAATACTGCATTTGACACTATCCGGTCCGCGTTGCTGTCGTGTAGTGTGTTTCGGGTGCTCCTGACATGGAGAGCCAGCCTCTGCGGGAGCTACTGGTTCAAAGCCATGCCGTCCATGGTAGGCCACTGTTTTAGTTGTTTGCAGAGCTTCATGCAACTCACACTATTTACGCGCAACCACAGTTCAGAACCCAGACGTCGAAGAACTCAGGACGGATTTTTTCCACAAAGCATGTGGCTTCTTTCTTTCCTGCAGTAGCCCAGGTGACCACATTCTCTGCAGCAACCCAGACATCGCCGTGGAAGTCCTGGGGTTGTTCTCACTCCAAGATATATCGGTTTGTTTGAGATTCCATGACATATAATACCCTTATTAGTGCTGCCTGATGGTCTCATTAAAGCGATTCATTTTAGGGCACGCCAGTGGAAACAGTTGTTACACGGCTGGCCGCGGAACTGAACTGCTGCCGGTCCTGCGTGGACACATACCAGTCCGCCAAAGATGCCTTTTACTGCCGGTACATCAGTCTATACGGCGAAGCCTTGATTGACGCCTTTATGAAACGTCTTCATGAGTGGGACCTTATGCGCCAGTATGAGAGGTTGGGTCATTACGTCACCGAGCTGCGGTCGTTTCGCAACAGCCCAGGCCGGGAATGGAAGAAGGCGCGGAGGGCGGCTACGATATTAATGTATGAGATCTTATCGTATCCGGAAACTCTGCGAAATTCTGAAGTGGACGCACTGTGGGTGGCACTGTTCCACGAGATTAGTGCTATCCCAGACAGCTCTCCGCTTGAGCTCCGCGGTAAATATCTCATGCCAGGCAGCATTATGTTGGCGTCTCATGCCGATACAGATATGAGAATGTGGGCTCAGTCTGCCATCAGGAAATCATCTGCCAGGATTACGTTGGAATGTTTGGAAAAGAATGAGATGGTTCGCTCCCTTATCCTCGATCTATTACTGCTACTTGGTGATCCGGATCTTTTGAGAGCTAGAGTAACTGCCTATCGATACACTGATCAGATCCCCGAGCTATGGAAAGCGTTGGCCGTGGTGCTGTGGTCAATGGAGGGCCCCGCATATAGCGTGTTGGAAAATTTGGAAAAGAATGCCAGAGTTGATTTGAATGAATTGATTATTTCGCACCTCTCAACTGCAGTTGAGGAGTTTTGGGAAACATTGGAGTGTTTTGTGCTCTTAGCTACCAGAAGACCGTCGCTTTGGTCGTCTTTGAATGCGGATAGAGCACTCACACTCTGCAAGTCAATCCTTCTTAATGCGAAGTTTCAGGCCTGCGTTAGAAGCGACTCATGCGTGGAGCGCCTTTCGATCTGTGTCAGTTGGGTGGGAACGCTAATTAGAAGCTCATTTGGCGAGGATATCCTACCTGAAATTCTGAATAACTCAACTGAATGGTGTAGCGCTGCTCAACAGAGATTGGACTCTCTGCTACTTAGCATTTTGCAAAGCTTCAATGAGCACTCCACTATGAAGGCGTCCTTGGCATGTAGAATTGGGACTTCAGCGCTGACAAGATTCAGCACCGCGTCATCAAGTTCAGCACAGATCATTGGCAGCATGGTGCATCTGCTTCGAAACGGTGGTAACGACGCTGAGATGATAGTCCTGGGTGTGCAAGCCCTCGAATTTTTCTCAGCGTACCTTGTCGAGCAAATGACTGCAGGCACTCTGCACGCCACCGCTTGGATGGATTCATTCATGCTACCTGCATGTTTATTGTCGGCGGGAATACGATGGGCAAAGGCTGGTGTGGGGCCGACTTCGAAGATTAGCGATCTGATTCTGAAAACGCTTTCTGCTACGGAGCTGTCGATCGAGCTTTTCTCTAGTAAGCTGCATGCTAAGGAAATGGAAACCTATCCATTTCAGGAGACTTTCAGCGGTGTTGTCAAATGGATGATCTCGCTGGACCCGCAAATACCAAAGAAAGCGTTTCGACTGGTCTACGAGCTGTTTAGAGTCTCCTGGCGAGCAAATTTCGCCATTGAGCCAAGCATTTTAGCCCGTCTTGAGAAAATATCTAATGGGACCTTGAAGTCGTTGCTGACTACGGGTGAAAGAGTGCTATTGGAAACGTGGCTCTCCCAAAATCGACAGGTGTTGGCAGGTGCTGATATACCTGGCCGACCACCGGACATGGTTTTGGAAGATACCTCTGTACCTGTTATTGATCTGGTCGGTTCGGATGATACAAGCCCCGAGGATAAAGCCACTTCTTCTGCTCTTGGACCAATGCATGGCGTGCACAAACCACTAAAAGAGTCCTCTAAAAATGCATTGGGTGTAGGAAAGGCTACCCATACATCGGCTGAGGACCTGGCACTTCAAAAGACGATAACATCTCACTCCCAACCGACGACGGACCGAAAAGCTGCCTCGCAGATGAATTCGGCGCACCAAAGCTCTATAGATAAGTTTGTACTGAAAAGCAATGTTCAGTCAGTATGGGAGCAGCTTGCAGCCGACGCCCTACGCAATCCTATTTCTAGAGCTGGTACTGGATTTTCCTTGGGAAAACCCTCCACAGCAAACAAAGCTGCAAAAACCAAAGGGCCGACAACCCTTTCCAAGCTGCAAAAGCTTAGACAGGAAACCGCCGAGAAAACCAAGCGGGCAACGCCACTCGTCGCAAATGGTCTGTCCACGGGCAAGCCGCTGGTGCTCGCGCCGCAGCTTCCGACCCTTAAGCCCTCGCTTCCGGAAGTAACTATATTACCCTATGAGCCTGAAGCCAGTAGCTTCTCTGCATTTGACAAACCTACGCGCACGCAAATGCTGGAGGACAAAGGCAGCCGGTCAACCGACGTGGTAAAAAGGGTGGGCACCTTAATACGAACTCCAGGGATTCAGCACCGCCCTAAGGCGCTCCGCGATGTGAAGCAGCTGTACAAGTGCATGCTATCGTGGAATCTCGATATGAGCGGCGACAGGCCACCGAATTTTCAATTGAAATGCCGAAAGATTCCTGATTCCTTCAGAAACGATGAGGAATATGCCAAAGTTTTCGAGCCGCTCGTCACTTTGGAGTGTTGGGAGCAACTCATGCAGAGTAAAGATAATGTCAGCAACGAGGACGCGATAACTGCGACGTTGGAGAACGTTCAGATGGTTGATGAGTTTCATGATCTGACAATCACAGTTTCTAGCAGAGACATTCGCTTGCGAGGCATTGCGGAACTTGACGTGCTGCAGTTGAAGGAGATGATCTCTCCCAAGCTCGCGACTAGAACGATTAACAGGTCATTCCTTTGTATAATTCAGAATGTGACAATCAAGGGTGACGGTGGGACCATAATAGCCCGCGCATGTATTGGAAGTCGAGCAGATCTGGTTCCCTCGATACGATTAGCATCAAAATGGCAGCTCACTCGAACCTTTTCCCTTACGACCACGTACCGCGAGTATATGAGCATCGTTAACTTACCAATGTTGCATCTCCGGTCGGAAATATTACAACTATCGACGTCGGAAAAGATACCAGCTCGCGCAACTGAAGTTGATGATATGATGAATAGGTTCGGCCTGAACGAGCCGCAGGCCGCAGCAATATCAGGGGCGCTTCATCAGCAATCTGGATTTACGCTGATTCAAGGTATGTGCAACCACCTATATGTATTTTTTTCTTCTTTTGTGCACTCATCAGCGTTTTGCACGTCGTCTAGGCCCTCCTGGAACCGGTAGGCACACGTTTCTTTACCGTGCTGACAACAACGGAATCTCATATCCATCATAGGAAAAACGAAAACTATCTTGGGTCTTATCAGCGCGTTTTTAACCGTAAAGCAAGGTCAAATCATTCCGGTACCTGGTCAAAATCCTGGCCGGAAACAGCCTATTCCAAATAGCAAGAAAAATAGGTTGCTCTGCTGTGCTCCAAGGTAGAGGACGCTGTTATACCCAGATGTCACTGTATCCCGGTGGTTTAATCATGTGAACTCCAGCAATGCAGCCATTGATGAGATTGTCCGGCGTTTGAAGCAAGGCATTAGCAACGGGAAAGGTGGAACGTTCGTTCCACGGATTGTTCGTTTAGGAAACTCTGATTCCATTCACTCGAGTGTCCGTGATGTGAGTACTTTTTACATCCTCTTGCTGGTTCTAGGGGTAACCCAGGTTCTCACCTCTGCTGGTCGTTCACACAAGGTTACACTGGATGCGATAGTTGACCGAATGCTCCAGGAGAGCGATGAGTACCAGAAATATCTCACAAAGGCCCAAGAAGTAGACGTTAGAGACGAGGACATACGGGCGGAAATGGCTGTTCTCAGAGATGAACGTGAAAGCTTGCGAGCTCAGGAAGCAGATGACAATGTGGACGGTCCTCAAGCGCAGGATATTCACGAAAAGATAGCCGCCGTTACCAAGAAACTGGGAGCACTACACGAAAAGTTGACCGACGGAAAGCAGGCGCGAAGTACGACTGCGCTGGCCCGCGATAAATTTCGACGTCGCATTCGGTTGAACCTTCTAACGGATGCCGATGTGATGTAAGATCACACAACGTGAACTGGTTGGCGTATCCGCTTTCAAGCTAACACCGAAGCCATGTTAGTTTAAGTACACTCAGTGGCGCCGGACACGACGTTCTAGGGGACATTAACAACTTGGAATTTCCAACGGTCATTGTGGACGAAGCTTGTCAGTCGGTTGAACTGAGCACGCTGATTCCTTTACGCTACGGCGCTAAGAAGTGCATTTTGGTCGGCGGTAAATCAGAGACTTCTACGTGGTTGTTTTGTTTACAACATGAGGCTTACAGCACATACGTCTAGATCCGAATCAGCTTCCTCCAACTGTTATATCGCAGGTTGCTCAAGAGTACTCATACGAACAAAGCCTTTTTCAGCGCATTATGAAGAATAATCCGGAGTGTGTACATCTCCTGAGGTAAGCATTTGATTTCTTACTGAACTGGGTTGATACTGACGTCGTGTTCGTAGCATCCAATATCGTATGCATCCTGCGATATCTCAATTTCCAAGTATTTGCTTTTATGGAGCAAAGGTTCAAGACGCACCGGGAATGGAAGAGTCATGCACAGCACCATGGCATCGCGATGAGTTGTTTCCTCCATATCGGCTGTACGACATTCACAATGGCCGGGAGGTCGGTGGAAAGGGGCATTCCTACTATAATCCTCGTGAGGTGAAGCTTTGTGTTGATCTGGTGGAGTCATTGTGTGGTATGTGAATTTGCGGCGACATAACTTGTATGCGGTAGAACTCACTAGGTTGCTGTCGTCATGTTAGCTGGATACCCAACATATAATTTTGCTGGCAAAATTGGAGGTATATTGCGCGCAGTTTTCACCAATCGGGCCGACTTCGCGATTAACTTGGAGCGTTTGCAGTAATCACTTTCTATAAACTACAAGTGAGGAAGATAAAAGGTAGGCATGCTTTTAAACCCAATCATTGGTTCAATACAGCTGATTGTGCCTTGAAGATGAGCTCATCCGGCGATGGTCTCGGGATGTGCTACGATACATCGATGTGAACACCGTAAGTGGTACCGGCTGGTCCTAGCGAATGTCCCTACTGAAACTGATTTGTCACGGTAATTAGGTTGATGGGTTCCAGGGGCAAGAGAAGGAGGTGATCATCCTTTCATGTGTTCGTGCGAATGACGGTATGCCATCGCGAATGAGCTTGTTTCCCTTTTTACCTGATTTTAACCGATTTCCACAGCGCAAGGCGTTGGATTTATTAGCGATGCGCGTCGTATGGTGGGTACAGGTGCTTGCAGCCCATGAGGTATCTGTTGCTTAACGGACGTGTCATGTCCATAGAATGTCGCCTTGACTCGATCCAAGTATTCTCTGGTCATTTTGGGAAATGTGAAGACATTGCGTACAAACAAAGCGTGGCGAAGTCTTGTGAGCAATGCGGATGAACGGAGGCTGATCTCGAGAGTACGTCGTATGCTGACCTCTTCAGGATCTAGTTCGTTGTTTGACTCTATCGCTTTACCCAACAGTCGCTCCCCTCCTTACCGGGGAAAGGATACGGACCCCCGCCTCAGAATATTTTGAAGAATCCTAGTAATGCAAGCGGGCCTGATATGTCGGCACGACCTGACTCACGTACTGGAGCATCGAAGGTATGTGGGTGGTTGGACTGTTGATTTGAAACACTAATCTCACATCGGACGTTTCAGCGACGCTGGGACTCGGATGGCGATGGACGAGATGATATCAAGAGATCTAGACAGAGTAGATAATCGTAGATAGGTAATGTATTATATTTGTTGCTAGTGGTCTTCGCGGGTGGCAGAATTGGGTGGGATATTTAAGGTTGAGGAACATAATTTATATCGTCAACATCTTAGTATTGAGAAAATCATGAGGGTGCTCTATTCACTTCATTGCCGAACATCTAAACAACAACAAAACATTCGTAACTTGCAGCAATAGTCGCTGGAAGTCCGGAGACTGCTAGATCTTGGCCTTGGTCCTTCTCCAGTTGTAGATATCAATCCCAAGTTCTGGGGTAATCCGGATACAAGCACCTAACACATGCAAGGGATTGGTTGTCACGAGAGCCAGCAACGGTACATTCGGAAACAATTGCCCAACTCACCCGCTAAGTTTTCGTCCTCAATGCCCCTCACGAAGGCGTCAATGACAAGTTCTACTGGAACACGCTTCTCAGTGTACTTTTTGAATTCTTCTCCAAATTGCTTTTCACCGGCCTCAAGGATTCCAGTTGGGGAGAAGGATGGACAGATTGCATTGCAGTAGATGCCGTGGGTTTGGGCCAAGTGACCAAGGGAGCGTGTAAAGTGTACAACCTACAGGAAGCCATTGAGTATGTATATACCAGATTGATATTGCCATTCAAATACATACGCCACCCTTGGCTGCAGCATACACCGGCTGGAAAGGCTGTAAAAAGGAGTTAGTGAAGCCGCGAGACACTCACAATTACGTAGCTGCAGAGCTCCTACCTGGGGGTACAAACCAGCCAAGGACGCCGTATTTAAGATTACGCCACCTTTTCCAGCCTTTATCATCTCAGAAATCGCCAACCTCGTTCCCAAGATAACTACAAAGACGATTCAATTAAGATCCCCCAATTTGCATTAAATCACACGATACCTACCAGCCTCCAAATCAATGCGCAATACTTTGATCCAAGAGTCTTTATAGGAATATTAGTTACATTTATGATCCCGACCAGTAGGCCCACTATGATGGTACAACCTTGTGTGTCTTGAGCAAAAGAGGTACCTTCCCCAATACCAGCGTTGTTGACAACGATCTAACAGACATACAGAACATTGTTACAATGGTCGCAAGTGATCAGTACGCGCGTTACGCGCATCGGACTCACGTCAATGCTTCCAAACTTGCTTTTTGCGAGCTCGAACAGCCGCTCCTGGTCTGACTTTTTGGTGACATCGCACACCGCAAATACCGCGGATCCAGGATGTCTGCAGACATATGTTAACTATTTCAGCTTTGGTTGCGTACAGACTGAGGACATACTTTGCATTCAGTTCTTTCTCCAATGCTTTTCCCGCGGCTTCGCTAATATCGCCGAGCACGACTTTACCACTGCAGAGATGGTCCAAGCTCCATAAGTTTAGAATTCATAAAATGAGCGAAGCGGCGCAAGCTTACCCTTTTCCTGTCAAGCGCCATGCTGGTTGGAAAGAGAAGAGTTCAGGTGAGTTGCTGCACTCTGACAGGAAAAGAATGGTCTTCCTTTAACATACCTAGCGCCTTTCCGAATCCAGAGGACGCGCCTGTGATGATTGCAACCTTTCCTGCTACTCTCATGGTGTGAATTGACAAGCGGGATGGAGGTAAGGACAAGCTGGAAGGCGAGAAAGCCCAAGTCGCGAACGTCGGATGAATCATCAACCGATCGCGGAAGCACGTGAGGTTGCAATTTCACCCAAAAAGGACATGATCGACATTGGGGTTTTTGGATTTTGGGAATCTGTTCCATCGAGCAAATGACAAGCATTTACAATGATCGCTACTTACAATGTCCCCTTCCAACCCCAGTGGTGCCGAGAACCGACTTGACCCTGCCTTCGGGCTATGACGCTGACGACCTTCCGCGAAAGCTTTATGGCTTCCGGAGAGCTTTGAGCCCCAAGGAGTTTTGGGCGGAGCAATCGGTTTTAGATCGTGTGCGATATAAAAACTCCAACCAGCACCAAGGATCGCTGCATTTCCGTAAGCTTTTGGAGGTGGTTATTACCGTGTTACTTTTTGCAATAGTCGGGTCGCTGGGGTCGCTGATGGAAGTTCCTTGGTGCGTAGGTCCGACGGCTATCTCGGCGTTTCGGAGAAATGGAACTCGATAAGTTGATAAAGGATATCCTCGATGTTATGCACTGCAACAGGTTGGCATCGTTGAAGATTGTGTGCAATTCTCCCTTTTGTATATCCCTTTGGCTTACCTTGGGTGGATGCAGAACAAAGAAAACCCAAGGCCGTTGGGAGTGTCTCCCATCACATCCCTACATGTGCTATGTGCTTGCACGGCTAATGGGAGCGTACGGATTGCTGCTGCGGGTAAGAACTGCGACCTTAAGCAAGGAAGGTTCTGCAGATTCCGACTAATCATTGTTGACCATGATAGTTATTGATCGCTCTCAGGAATACTTACTTGTACGTCATCGGATCGGTCACCCGACCAACAGCGTATCCTTGTCCTGATTATGATTGCTTCGAATTTCATCAATAGAGCCTTTCGCGCTGTTGCCCGGCAAACATATTTCATGGCGGTGTCGCTTGTAATCATGGCGTCCTGCGCACGTCTCCATCTTCTTTCGCGACACATGCTGAATGGTGTTGAGCAGTGTTATCAACTTTTAATGTCTTGGACTCAATCCCTTCCTGTATGCGTCCCCGCTGCTTTGATTCACGAGAGACTTAATTCGCCGATATTAATGGCTCTGTTCTATGTAGGTCCGGGGATCCAATGATTCATCAGGAAGCGAATTACCACCGTCATTGAGAGCGAATCTTTTTGATGCCAGTGGCGGTGTATCAATGACCGAGTCAACTGGAGCCCTTGATGAGATGTGCCACTACGACACACAGCCTAGCGCATCCCATCGACCAATTTTGATGGAAATTGAACAGGCTGCGGCTGTTTCAGACGAATTCTGGTCGGCAGGAATAGGAGATACGACTGACTTCGATATGGCTTCTTTAGCTGCTGGGGAAGATTACTCGGCGGATGGCTCTCTGGTGGACAATCCATCCATAGATGATTGTAACCAGGAAAGTAGGCCAACTGCTGAGGATGATTCACATGAAGGCAATAAGGCAAATTTGAGAGGTGTAAGAAAAAGCATAACGGCAGAAATGCGAATGCCCAGAGCAGTGTCGAGAGCTCCGGGGCCAACAAAACGCTCGCAAATGGCAAAGGGTGATGCATCTATCAATGAAAGGGCAAAGAACGGCATTGTTTTACCTAACCAAGCGACTCAAGTTGCGAAAAAGAAACAACTTGAGAAAGATCAGTCCGAACATCTGGCACAGGAACGGAACTTGGATAGGAACACCACCGGATTGGCTTGTTTGCAAAAGAAGCGTAAGGCCGCTACTCGCACTGTCACTGGCGACGTTTTGGGCCCGAAAGACGCAGAAACAGCGGATGTTCAATCACATAAGAAGCGACAGAACAAGAAACTTCCGAAGGAGAAGAAGAACGAGATCGATGACATTTTTGGACTCTTTGGATAATCCAGAGAGGATCGCATAATACCAATATTCAGCAGCGCAGATACAAAATTACCACAATCTACAAGCGCATGACTCCAACCGTTGACCTGTTCGGCGACAGCGCCGCTACGCGACTACTAGGGGCATGATGGATGCTGACATAGTTTCCCTCCCAGTCGGATTACTACCATTTCCAATAAGTTCCACATGGGTTGCGGTTCGGGCCCCATATATCGTCATGAATGACGTGCCGCAGTACTTGGATTGAGAGAACATGGGATGGCGACAAAAGGAGAGAGTGAGGGCAATTGCACTGGTGGAAAAGCCGGATGGGTAGCTGCAAAAGATCCCGCATAGGAGTAAAAAACACCTCGTAGTCGGTGGTCGACTGTGACACTGACTGACTCTGGTGTCATAAAGTATGGTTGCGGTCGTCAGAGGAGCATGTTGAAACCAACCCGCCCGCTACTATTTTGTACGTATGACACTCATCGGTCAGCTTTCGTTGTAAAAGGTCTTTTATATGGACGAACTTGTGTGCGAAGTAGACAGCAGTCCACTGGTGACTGGGATAGAAATAGACGCCAAGTGCTCCTGCAGTCGTTGACTTCAGATTTCAGATTTAGCAACATAGTCTTAATGACCGGTGCCGGCTATTCGCAGAACACTTGCTTCAGCAGTATTCACGTTCGCCGTGTGCTTTCTGTAATCCCATCTGCATTGACGATGTAGAAATACGAACCTTGCAGTCGATTGCGCTGATGCTGTAAGAAGGCTCATTGACATATATGCTCTTCAAACAAGCGTAGAGGCCTTGTTCGTCTCCTTCTTGTCCTAGGAATTTGTCTGCCTGTAAAATGAGTTGAACAAATGGTCCAGGGGCCCAAATCCTTCTCGTAGTTTTCGTTAAGCACTCAGCAAAGAAGTCTCTCATCGCCACTGACTCGGGACCACTTCTCGCATAATGGATGGCTTACGGCTGTGCCTTCAAATCCGGATAGATAAGTCAGTGCAACCTTCCAGCTGTATGCACAAAATTGACTGCAATGTGCGGATTTACGTTGGTGACAATAACTTTGTAGTGTTCAGTTAACACTACATCCGTATACGGTATTCAATTGCACGACTATTTTCGCGGAACGGATGCTTGACGTTCACAAAACTGTATGCGTGATGCATCTGAGCTCTGCACCATCAATGGGGTAAAACGCAACGCTACGCTACGATTCAGGCTGATGGCTATTCAACAATATTTACATGCTTATATTATTACTCCTCCTCTTTAAACCGCTTTGATACCGGACCATCATCCGATGATTGCTTGCGCTTACTCGCGCCTGATGATGTACCCGCACCCAAACCGAAGGTAACTTTCTCTCGGTTGTAAGTGTTAACATTTCGATCCGTATCGACGACTGTGGTGGTGGTGACGTTTGCTCGAGCTTGGCGGGCGGGTTTGGCAGGTTTGGCTTCCGCAAGGGCTACATCAGCTGGCAAAACACTAGAAACAAATATAGTGATGAGAACAGGCCGATCATATAACAGTGCTAATCGATAATAAACATAAAGACGAATTGCGTACCCTCGATTTCCAACGCTGAGCACAACATGCGCCGCCCCGGCTGCTTTTGTTCGCTCCAGTAATGCATTCGCGGTTCCAAGCGGGGTATCAGTACTACTCATCTTCTCCATCTTGAGCTCATCCTCAATCTTCTTCAGCCGTTTCTCCGTCTTCATTTTGCCTGACGCTTTGCCGTGGAATTTGTGACTCAACTGTCGGAAGGCCTCCTTGGCATTCAACTTTCGTCCATACTCGTCATGATAATCTAGGTTTACATCGGGAATGTAGTGTCTAAATCGCTCCTCCACTTCTCTGGCTCGTTCTCGCTCGGCGTACCGCGCCTCTTGTTCCTCACGATACCAGTCACGGTCGCGATCGCCACCACCTCGTGCTTTGTTGCGCTCCTTGTTGCGTTCTTTCTCCTTTTCCTTTTGAATTTCTCTGAGGAGGTCTCGCTTTCTCTGCTCTGCCAACCATGCTCGTTTTTCAGATTGCTTTCTCTCTCTTTCGAGCACTTCAGCGCTTGCTTTCTCTACAAAACCCTTTTGACTCAAAAGAGCGACAGTCGCTGCGAGCCCAGAAGCCACCAATGGTTCTTCCTCGATGGGCGCCGGCTTGGAAGGAAAGATGCGTCAGAAACGTAGCCCGAATGTAAACCAGCTCGTCTTTACCTACCAGCCGGTCCCCATCATCCTGTTCCATTACATCCTCCACGCTGCTGTCCAGACTCTTCGTAGACCGTTCTCGTTCATGGTCCCATCCTCCTTTCTCTTCTTGATCCTCATCATCAACCTCCATCGTATTTGCTGGCTCTTCTTCCAAGTCCTCCTTCGGGAGCGCTGGCCGGTTGGTTCGTGCTGGTTCCGTGGCTTTCACAACAGGCGCTGTGGCTAGATTCCGAACAAATTCCGACGTGGCAGACAGAACTACGGCACCTTCCTCCACGGTATCATCTTCTTTGATCTCACGCGCGGCTATTGTTGAACCCAATCTAGTAAGTCATGTAAAAGCCGATAGGCTTATCAAGTACTTCTGCACAAACCTTTTGCAATTTCTTCAACATCCGATTTGCTTCGCTTTTGAGCTTGGAGCCTCCGTGCACGTGCCAAGGCAGACTGTAGGTCATCGTCGTCGACAAAATTCACATCTTCAATATTGGCATTTCGATTACTAAGTTCGTAGTCCATTTGCTCTGAGTGCTGTGGTGCATCCCGACTAGATCTCGGTACTTCATCAATATCCATTCTATCATCCTCTTGAGTACGACCTCTTCGCCGTGAGCCATGGTCGCGCACCACAGTTTCATGAATAGGAGCCTCCTCATCAAGAGCATCGAAATCAAGCTGTTTTCTCTCACGTCGGACCTTCTTCTTCTTCTTTGGCTTTTTGAAGCTCACCATTTCCTCTTGCGTGTAATAGTCTTTGATTTCCTGAGTCTTTTCATAGCTAAGAGATACCGCATTTGTTCGCAGTTTTTCTGATACTTCCTTTCGTTTTTGGTCAAGATCCACCGTTCCTTCTTCGCTGATGACAAAGCCATTTCTTTTAGGACCGTCAAGTTCCTCATCGTACTGCGACAGAAGATTGCGTTTCTCCCCAGGAGCGTTGAATTCTTCATCGTCATACAGGTTATAGCCCGGCTTTTTCTTCTTATTCTCCAGATTTTTACGATTCCGTTCCATGTCAGCGATATTCACATTGTGAAGAATATCCCCTTCTTCTTCATTTTCCATGATAGTTGCATCTTTCAATGTTAGAATGGTTTCCCCTCCCCCTGCAATATCCTCCAGTGAATGATCAACTCTTAGCCCTTTTAAGTGAGACGGAGTGTAACTGCTCGTAGCCGCTTCATCCATTTCCATCAATTCGGAAGCTTTCTTCTTAGCTAACTCCAACTGCTTTCGTTTAGCCTTGGCTTTCTGTTTCTCCTCCCTTTCTTTCTGTTTTCGCACCCATTCCAGCGAGTCAGCGGTCGAATCATCTTCGTCGGAGGCCTCCCCCAGGGTTTTCCCTTCCAGCTGACGATTTCTTTTAGCTTTTTCCGTCTCCTTCGACACACGATCAATGAGGGCCTTCCGCTGAGCAGCCTTCGCCAGTTCTTCCTTATGCTTTACATAATTTTCCTCCGCCTCTTCTTGTTTGGCCGTCTTATTTCCTTCTGTTAGCGGCTTCAGTCCAAGTTTGATGCGGAGGGCGTTTGTGTCCTCGATGGAGAGTGCGATCTCGGTCTCCCCATTATCTGCTAGATATGACAGGGAGAGGAAAGTCAGTTAAAATTGCCATTGATAGTGCTCGACATCCCAATGCATGCATCGAAAAAAGCACGGAGCCACACTTCCCGAACCGACAAAGTCAAAATATTGCTGATACTTACTGTCCCCAGCCATCATGGGATAAAGGAAGACCGTTTGAAAAGTCAGGATCTGATCTTTGTTCACTTGGAGGTTCAGTCGCTTGGTCAGCTGACCACGGCACCTGTAAGCAGACGCGCAGGGCGTTCCGCACTTGCATTTCGCACCGAATGGCGAAAACGTGTTCTGATGAGCGGTCTTTCCATTGGCGCCTTGCAAGTTGAAAATGTTCATCAAACCGCTCGACACGACAGCGCTTCCATCGGCCACATTCCAGGACCATGCCGGCAATGCGCACTTCGCCCTTCAATCCAAGAAGGCGAACGTCGTAAGATCCCTCTTTAGTGGGATAGCGTCTCTGTCGCTTTCAACCTCTTCAGATAGCGCATATAAGAAAAATATAATGGAGTACGAGTTTCGCATTATTCTGCGATGTCCAAGTCGAAAGGCTGAATACATCGTTGCTGTTGATGACACGTTCGAGAAGATCCATACTGATTGGAATTGGGTGGAGAGAAACTTGTTTTTGAAGGTGACGGACCCATGTTACACATTCTGCTTTCTATATTCGCTTATTTTATGTACTTTTGACACAGCTTGCAGAGATTGATGCATCGGGTTCAACCTTTACCCCACACCAGCTTGACACGATGTTATTGAAACAGTTTGAGGAATTGACAGAGGAAGCTGTGGGTAAGTACACTGGCAATCTTGCGGTCAAAATCTCCGACTCTGATTAACGGTTGCGTGCAGACCCGAGAGCAGCTGAGGTACAAGCGAAACTCCAGGAAGTTCGGAAATCGCTCCTGCCTCATTTTCCGATGCTGTCAGACGAGATCTTACTAAACTGTAGGTCTACGATGGTTCCTGTGGGTCAATGTTCACTGGAAAAACGTCTTTCCTAACTCACCAAAGGCGTCTGATGCAGTCTACGCATGCACTTACTGGATCAGTGAAACGGTTGCCGCCAGGGGACAGCTATGCATAACCCGCAACTACGTTTGTTTCTACGGCTCCAAATCAGCGGGACAGCCTGAAAGCAATCTATCGAATCCTTCAGATGTGCCTATTTCCATTGGCCTGAAAGATGTCACCTCTTTGGAACTCGTGAATGCAAGCCGGTTACTGTTGCCGGATAGTATCCAGATTGGAACAAAGCGGAAGAATGTGGGTACGCTGGTGGTTTTCATTCCCACTTGTGAGGACACATCTCATTTGCTGACGCTCAGTATTCTTTCTGGCTCTGCAGTACACCTTTTCGCTGTACTTTCACCGAAAAGAAGTCTTCCGAGTTCTCTCTGTATTGGCCAATGCAGCAATGAATCGTTTGATAAAAGGGGCGGAAAATTCAATATCTGCACTGTCGGACATGTTCGGCAAGGGTAATGTCAGCGGAGATTTGTCGGCTAACGTTGGAAATCGCGGCGGCGGGCTGTTAACAATGGGGCGGTCGCGTGATGAATTTTCCTTCTTCCCGCGCCGATCAGCTAGTGCGGTGAGCGACGGGTTGGATGAAACAGACTTCACAGAGCAACTGGAGCGGACAGGCGATCAACACAAACCGTCAGGGGAGGCAGCTGACTCAGAATTGGAGAAAACTGGGGCTATCGAAGAAGACGAGAGTGATGGTGTAGGGGCAGCGGACTTCACGTATGGCCTGATGCGATATGCCCACATCTCCGCTGCGACGATGAATTCCATAGAAGACCTAGACATCCAAACGAGAAACCTAGAGTTTCGTCAGCTATTCAGGTTGCCCTTTTCGGACACAATCGTGTTGGATGAAGCCCCATGCTACTTCTATCATCGAATGAACTCTGCCAACATCACTGGTAAACTGTATCTCTCGCAAAATTTCCTAAATTTCGTGGGCCTATCACCAGCCGGTTCCGGGGGCCAGATATTGGGGAGTACTGCAGCATCAAATTCTGCGTCGATGTCCACGCTCTTTGAGTCTCCGCAGGATCCCACGTTGATATTGAGTATACCGTATCCGCATATCGTTTCTGTTAAAAAGCAGCCCCCAACGGCCCTACCTGCTGCTGGGAAAATATCCACGTTTTCTTTGTCAGGCTACCTTGTTCTGTCAACCAAGAGCAAACAGGAAATCTGGCTGTCATTTGGTAATGTCAAAAGTAGAGATCGTGTATCGGAAATTCTTCTGCAAAGGATGAAACAGGTTGATTTTCATTTTGATGACGATTTTGTGGTTGGTGAACGAAACGGTGGCATTATTCGACGAGGTTCCACAGTCCAACCATCTACACCTGGAGGATCGCAACCTGCAACGAGTGGATCAGCTTTTACATTCCGCGTTAGTGGTTCCGCAAACTCTACTGGCAGTCTTGACGAGTTCATTGGCAGCCTACAAGAGGACAAGATATACGGAACCGGTGGTGGACCTCGAATTCTTCAGATTGGTCTCAAATTCTTGTTCGATGACCTCCACAGCGAAGGGACGCTGCCGCCAGCAATGAGAGTTCGGGGTGGAAGCCAAGATTTTGAAACTGATATGGTGAAAAGATCTATTAGCAACCCCCCCTTGTCTGAAGACCGTGTGAGCAGGACCCAAGCAGATGCACAGGCAATAGAGAAGTGGGAAGACTATTTGGAAGGCAATGGAAGAGATGTTTGTATGATCAAAGACTTTAAGGCGTTGCGCGAACTAATAATACGGACCAATGGGATACCAATCAAATTCCGTGGCGACATCTGGTATGTGTTTCGGAATTTTTCATTTTCTCTGAAGGGGTGACCCATGACATTTAATGGTTTTATTCAGGATGATATGTGCCGGCAGCTGGTATTCACGCCCGGAGAAAGACTATTATACTAAGCTCGTGCATGGTCATATGCGGGAGACTAGCGTGTTTGCCGAAGAGATTGAGAAAGACGTTCGCAGGTATGACATGAAAGGCACAGGGATTGTGTGTTGCCACGGGTCGACTCACCCGCACCGCCCCCTCCTATCATCAGGAGTTTACCAGAGCACCCAGCGTACCAGTCGACGGTGGGTATTGACGCCCTTCGACGGCTCCTCACTGCATATTCGTGGCGAAATCCAGCTATTGGCTATGCACAAGCTTTGAATATCATATCCGCCGTCCTGTTACTCCATTTACGAGAAGAGGATGCCTTTTGGTTGCTGTGTCAGTATCAGAAAGAGTAACGTATGATTTTGCTCATGGCTAAAACCGGTCTTTCTTAAATGACGCAGGCATCATAGTTGAACGAATTCTCCCTGACCATTATACTAAAACATTGGTTGGCTCAGTGGTCGACCAAAACGTTTTCTCTCACTTGGTGCAAATCCACCTTCCCACGCTCTGGGCTCACTTGACCAAGTTGTATATGGATTTATCCACAATATCAGTACCTTGGTTTGTCTGCCTTTTTCTAAATACGGTTCCTTTGCGTGTCGGGGTGAAATTTTTGGACGCATTCTTCTTGGACGGACCGAAGTTTCTGTTTTGGGTGGCTCTCGCCATTTTGAAGATAAACGAATCCCAACTAGTGCAGAAGGGCAAAGACGATGATCTCTTCGTTAGAATCCTGAAAAACTTCTTTCAAAGACTGGGCACGGAAGGGGATGCCGACGCAAACGTCGGTGACGCTGAAGGTACTAGTGCATCAGAGGGTAGCGATCCTGCACCTCCACGGGGCAGTCAAGACACGTTTAGACGGTTCGGCGGAGGCACAGATGCAGTTGACGTCTCCACGCTAACCGGACGGAAGCTCTTTGAACACCTGATGTCGGTTGCGTACAGTACCTATTCATCGACGGTGACAGCGGAGGTAATCGAACCGCTGAGAATGCGCTACAGGCTCATAGTGGTGCATCAAATGGAGGAGACCAGTCGTAAGTCTCAAGTGCGAACGCTTTGTGAGCAAGTTTCAATGACTTTTGAAGAGGTGGGGATTGTCTATGATGAAGTGAGAAAGTATGAATATGGTCACGAGGAGGAAGTGGAGGATGGGCGCGGCATCGCCGCTTTGAGAAAAAAAGAGGAAGAAGTCGAGGAGGCAGAAATGAGAGATTTATTGATCTCTCTGGGCGGATGGGGTATGGCTGGCCGTACCTCGGGCGAGGCTGGGAAGAAGAACAAAAAAAGGAGTAAAATGCAAAGACAGCAGGAAGTTGGACAGAAAACAGTACGACTCAGCGATTTTCGGAAGGTCCTCGCTGTGGTCAGCCCATGGCGGAGTGGAACCACCGGAGTGGCACCGACAAAAGACGCAGGACGACCTTCCACAGAAAATCGCGGTAATACATTAGGTCGCAGCTCAGTGGCGTCAACTCGTACTATACCACATAGTGGGTCAGGCACGTTGAAATCCTCTCCATCAGCAAGTTCAGTCAAAGGACAAGATCCGCTTGGAAGCAATCTAAGTCTGCGCAGCGTTGCATCAACGGACGAGATTCAGATTGGACTCACAGATCGAATGTATTTCTATTGTTCACTGCACTACAACTTCCTGCGGACTGCAAAACACCGAAGTACAGACGCGTCTTCACCTTTAGCGCCGCCGCAAGTAGGTGAAGCGACTGCAGATAGCCGAGATGCAAGTGGTCATGGAAGTGACAGGAGTACGTACATCGTGGATCTTGCGACCGTGGTCCATATTCTGGACATCATCATGAAGCAACCATTGCATTCGCGTTTACGGTTCCTGTTCGATATTCATGACATCGACGGAGACGGATTTCTAAATAAGAACGAGCTCAAAGCTGTAATGGACAGCTTATTGGAGATGTTTGAAAGACTGCGACAAGAAGGCGTAGCTTCGGGAGCAGGAACTCCAGAGGGCACTCGGGAAGACGAGGAGCTTTACCTGAGCGCGGTGAGCTCGTTCCTAAATACAGCGCTCAAACTGGGGAATAATAAGGGAGACTCAACAGGAACTCTGAGCGGTTTTGGTTCAGGGAGCTCACAAGGAATGAAGAAGTCCGCGAGTATTGATCTAGTGCCTTCCCGTGATTCTGGTGGTTCAGGATCCAGTTCGAATCTAGCAGCATCACACTCGCGCCGTACAGGCGCTCATCGACATCATCAACAGCATTTTAAACCGAAGCTTGATGAAGCGCTGGGAGAAGAGGAAGGTGAGGGGGATTTGGGAGGGGCACTGGGTGACGGCCCGCCATCTAAAGTCGATTTGACCGGATCGGGGATTGGACAAGGGCCGGGCCGCGGGTCGACGAAATATGAACGAGGGCACCGACGAAAGAGATCAGCTTCCTTATCCTCATCAGATGGAAAGCTTGCCACAACCGAAGCAGTATCCGCATCTTCGAATATCCAGGCGGGTAGCGACACCTCATTGCCTTTTCGGCTATCCTTCAACGAATTTCTACTGGCTGTACTTTCGCAAAGTGTCTTTGTTCAATACTTTGAGAGAATCTGGGTTCTATCCAAGGAGGATGGGACAGATATGGGTGACGGACGGATAGTCATTGGTTGGAAGAAATAAGCTTGATGTCTGTAGTCTATCTTGGAGACTTGCTGAATCAGCAATATCATGTGATTAAATGAACCTCACAGCCACCACCTCATATCTTCCCACAGTCCTCCCAAAACCGCCAGGTTTGCTTCTGATTCCAATGTTTTCCACAATGAGAGAAGATTGTGTTCAGTTAGAAGGAGATCTTGATTCTGCATCAGTGAATCCGGGGGAAGACTCGTTGTCGTTAGCAGCGGAGCTGACCGCGATCCCATTTGCCAGGTTTCTCCAGGAAGCAGAGACATGCACTTCCATAGCGTTTTGCCGACTTTCTTCTTTCTCGTTCCTTCGCACGTCTAGAGTCTCGACAACCGTAATAAAAACTGAGTCCTACAATTACAGTTTTTTGGAAAGTCCCTATACATCGCCTGTGGCTCCGCGTAGGACCGTTAATTCAATTCGCACGGGAGACTTACTTGGTGAGTTAAAGATTGTTGACGGCAAGCGCCTACTTCTCCGCTAAGATCGCATGAAAAGGGCCTAGCGATGGCAACGCCCTCTCAGCTAGTCCCAGCAGCATTGGGTCCAGCTACGTTGACTGGGGGTCCAATATGGGCTCCCCAACCTCAAAGCATCACAGATTGAACGACAAGTATGACAGAATGAGTGTGAGAACCTTACGCACAGTTCAACCGTCATCTCGTTCCCTAGTTCAAACATACCCTGCAGGAGAAGCTGGATGAAATGGCATCCCAACTGGTCTCAGGTCCTCGACGCACTCTTGGATCCGGTCGTAAAAAAAGACTTTTCAAAGGGGCGATTGCCCAAGACTTTGCTGACTTACAGCGAAGAAATACCCGCACGAGATTAGGAGAACAATTTAGTACCTTACTGGGGAGGCGAAATGTCAGCACCCCCACGCTAGAAAGGTACTCGACCCGAAATCTTCGAAGAGAGGAAATGAGGGCTAGATATAGCACACCAGAATTCCAGCGGAAGAAGCCTGTAGCTGATGAAGATGACCCGCTACTTCTAAACGTGGGCACAGGTTTGCTTTTGCAACGGACGAAAGAGCAGCCAATGGTCCGCTGGACCAATGCACCGCCATCGAAGAATCCTTTCTTGGATGAGCCTAAAGTAATACCATGGGTAAGAAGGTACACTGCGAAGCTTGTGACAGTAGTCATGTCAATCCGATATATTTCTAGTCCACACCTGGGCCTCGAATACGAAGACACGAAGCGGTAGGACAGGACTACATGGATGCAGTGGAGCTCCACCCCTCTTTAGACAATTGGTCCCGACCGAATGCACACGAAACTTGGGCTGATCAGCGTCAGATCCAATTCAAGGGGATAACTTTTGTGTCAGGAAGTGGCTCACCAATCAGAAGCGGCACTCCACCATTGAGGAGCCTGCAGTTTTCACCGTTTGCGCGGGATAAAAGACAGGAAGAGGGAGCCGTTCAAACAGATGTCAATCCCACTTCCGAAGGTGGTGCTTTACCGGATGTACGGACGTCGTCTGAATCAAATATTTACGTTCGACAGCTGAGACATCTTGGCCCATCGGCGGATCTATTTGCATTTATGCCTCAAGAAGATGGAGAAGCAGTTGCAGACATTGACAATACCAGCAACACAGCGGATCAACCAGGGATTGGAAAGTGGCCAGGGGTAATGAACCAAGCTATACAGGCCGCAGTCCTTATAGAAAATGAGACAGAAGGCGCTTGCAAATCGCAATTCGGTGAGCCGTATCGCAATGCGGATAACCTTCCTCTCGGTCCTACACATCGTACTGCATCTTTTAACAGTGATTTGCTTGATGTGGACTTAACGATTGAAGAGCTGGAAGCATTGGATCGCCTTGAGAAAGAGGCGCTAGGGCAAGCCGACACAGTGACAACTAATCACAACACGGACACGGCGACAGCGAAAAATGCACGAACAAACATGCTCTTTGCCAGGAATGACCAGAAATCCATCAGCGAATCGAAATCATTGCAAGATATCCTTTCTGCCGACCGCCTTGAGCAACATGCACGGTTTGCTCGCGGGGGTGGAGAAGGCGCAGCCAGTAAACCTGAAAGCAATACGTTCCAAACGACAATGGATTTATTGCCAAAGTACCCATCCAAGTTTTACGGCCATAATAACCCAACGACGTATCCTAGTCCCCCAGATGACAGACTTAAGTCGAAGGTATATCGCAAATGATGCAGTATGTGAAAGCGTATTACAACGTGATCCCTATTACAAAATTCTGACAAAGATGTAAGAAATGTATTATTCTAAATCTGGCGAACTGTGGCTAGCTTTGTTGCAATAAATACTATCCTTTCAGAGAAGTTGCTTCACGTCTTTCCAGTCGTCTGAGGACCTTGGCGGGATTTCCAGCTACTACTACATAGGGTTCTACGTCTTTCGTGACAACGCTACCAGCCCCAACAGTCACACCATCTCCGATAGTAACGCCTGGAAGAATTGTGCAATTGCCACCTATCCAAACATCATTTCCGATCTGACAGCAGCAGGATTTTAGATGTGCAGCTCATGTTGGATGTCACAACCCATCGTACCTTGATAGGTTTGCCCAGTTCAGGGCCCCAGTTGCGTCGGATTTCGGGGTCAACTGGGTGCGTTGCAGCAAAAAGACAGACATTGGGTCCAAACAGGCTACCGAACAAAAAGTTTGGTTGATGAGCAAACCTTAATCTTAAAGTATACCAAAGACACATACACATCATTTCCGATTTCAACTTTGCAAGTGTCCAATATTACAGTTCCAAAGTTCTGCAGCCATAGGAGCAATGGCCATCAATCATTTCATTTCTTTGAAAGTACGCATGACACAGCGCAGATTATCAGTATCCATACCATGAAGACTCTATCACCAATAAACGTGTTTTTTCCCTGCGGAAACGCACGATTACTCGTCCATCATAGTAGTGGTCCTTGAGTACTCAGAAATTACCTACATAATCGCACCGTAGGGGAGGCAGAATGCTGCATTCCTCGCCAAACTTTCCAAACAACCGTCTCAAGAGATCTTGCTTTTCGTTTTGTGGCGTGTCTTCGTCGAGGTCATTAAACTTTCTGCACATTTTGCTCGCTCTGGTTCTTTTCTGCGTAAGATCTGGGTCAGTGGCGATGTAGAGGTCGCCTGCGAGCATCTTTTCCTCCTCCGTTCGACGGTCATTGGCGGTCATTGTGCAATTCAGAGTGGTGTTTACCAACTTGACGTCCTCCAAACATGTAAAACGCGGTGTCTAGAGGTCTGGCTTAGCTTTGTAAGCGTTGGTTTGTCCTCTACCAAATGAGCTACGGGGAGATCCCGTTGTGGGATTCGAGGGTGGACGAAGAGCCGTTTGCACTTCCGGTACCAAAGAAAACCACGTTGGAGATACTTCCAGAGGAATTTCGCAGAGCATTGTCACCTGAGCGCTTTATCGTAGAAGAAAGTTACCCTCCGCATGACGAAGAGGCAAACGCTGCCTTTGAGGAGTGGGTGGGCTCCGATGGCACGCAACGCCTGCTAAACACTGAGGAGAGTTACTGGGGTCACACTGACCAGCAAAGTTCGGCGGAAACTCTGGTCGGTAGCACTGAAGGTTCGACAAAAGCTTATCTTCAACCTGGGGGCAAACGGGTAGGTGTTGCTAATAGTATGGGCTTTCGACCATAGCACAGAGCTGAATTATCAGTGCACTAGGACTCTCATTATTTGAGGCCTGTTTTCAGAATATTTCTTGCCGGCGCAGCCTGCTTGCTGCTTCTGGCGCTGGGAGTCGGAGTGTGGGCGGTCACCAAACGGGGTGAGGAAACATCATCCTCGTCAGCAACGACTCTCTCCTCGGCGGATGCATATGCCCGTACAATAATATTAATTTCATTGGATGGGTTTCGTGCATCCTATTTAAATCGAAACCTCACGCCGGCTTTGGCTCAACTTGGTAGGTCCTTTACAAATAGTGTCACATCTGACTTTTCTGTGGTAGCATTTGACATGTTTCTCTGCCAGCGGCCGATGGCATTCATGCAAAGACTATGCAGCCAGTATTCCCGGTACGTATCTTGTTTAGCAAAGTTGAATGCAGCGCGCTCTGAGGCTTTGCTTCAGTCCATCACGTTTCCGAACCACTACAGTATTGTCACCGGCTTGTATCCAGAGTCACATGGGATTGTAGCCAATGTAACTATCAAACCCTACTTTGCCTTTCCTCGTCTTGTGCGCCAATCATTGATGCTGTGCAGGTCTTTTACGACCCTGAGAAAGACGACACGTTCGTCTACGTTGACCCGGCGAGCAATGGCAATGGTCAGTGGTGGGGTGGCGAGCCGATATGGGTGACGGCCATTAAGCAGTCACATCGATCTGCAGCGTGCATGTGGTAGGCATCATTTTCTTTTTGACCAATGTGCAAGAACAAGTTGCTTAATCTGTTTCCAGGCCAGGTTCTGAAGCTGCCATTCAAGTAAGCATCTACCGCAGAACGCACATATATTTCACAGACGGCTTATGTATCCGCCTGATTTAGGATATCCGTCCAACGTACTGGTTCAAATACAACCATACCATGCCCTTGTTCGACAGAGCGGAAAAGATATTGGAATGGTTGGAAAAGCCCTTGGAAGAGCGCCCTTCAGTCCTTACCATGTATATTCCCGATGTGGATTCAGCTGGGCATTGGGCCGGAGTGGATTCGAAAGAAGTCAATGACTCTTTAGTTCGAGTGGACCAGGCTATTGAGCACTTGCTGCAAGGACTGGAAGAGCGGAACTTGACGGGAAAAGTGAATTTGATGGTTGTGAGTGACCATGGAATGACAAACAGCTCGAAGGATCGGATAGTCTTCTTGGATGATTACATCAACCTGAACGATGTAACCATTCTCGAGAACAAGCCACTTGTTATGCTGTACCCGAATGAAGGAAACGGTACGTACAAAGGCCGATATGCATGTGTAAGGGGCAAGTCGACCTGATTACGTATACCCCAATAATGGTAGCTACCGAAGGAATTCTCGAAGCGCTCACCAAAGGTTCCAAAGAAAACGGTCGCTTTAAAGTCTGGCGCCGTGAAGATGCACCCGCCGAATATCACTATTCTCATTCATCCCGGATCGGACCGATCGTGGCGATTCCTGAGAATGTACGTATCGTCTGATGTCAAGCTGGTCTCGCATTCACTGACATAAAATTGCAGGGATGGGTTTTCGCCGTGCGCTCAACCTACGACCCGACAAAACCATTTCAACCCATAGGTCTCCACGGATACAATATCACCCACCCAGATATGCAAAGCATCTTCATTGCGTCAGGACCGGCGTTCAGACCTTCTAAAGAACCTATCCCTACTTTCCTGAACTTGGAACTTTACAACCTTATGTGCCGCATCATGGATTTGGCACCCGCTCCAAATAATGGGACCAGGGGCTGGATGGAGGAATTTGAAAAGAGATGGCTAGCCCCTGGCTGGTAGAATGGGTAGACATTTATTTGTATATAGGACTTATATTGTAAAAATATGGCCGTGTCTCGAGCGATTACAGCACAGCGTTCGACGTTGTGCGTAACTGTTTCCGCAACTGCATTCCATGCTATCAGACTCTGACATTGAAGCATTGTTCCTTTGCATCTAGACCTCGCCCGCATGATGAAGAGCGGCTCCATACGGTAGCCTCTTTGGCGACGCTGACAAGAGTAAAGGGATTGATATTGCTGACCTTTACGACCACGTAACGCTTCGAGCGTATAGCGCTATGGGTGAAAAAAATCAGCTTGTATGCCGATTAAACAAGACATCAGACAGCGTCTGGAAGAGACGACAACAAGGCCAAAGAAGAATACACTTGGGCTTGCTAGGCTGTTCCAGATCTGTCCTGATGGGGACTGTTCTATGGCAAGCTACTGCGAAGGAAACAAAACGGTTGCACTGTTGAAAGAATAAATGTTCACGTGCCCGCTGCTAAATCACGTGCCAACATCTTGAACCTGTGTTGGAATGGCAAGCGCTCTGTCGTTTCTGTGGTAAGGATATGGCTTATGACGACTAGACGATTCCACGAGATGGACCACTGGTTTTTATCGGCGTGTTTACCCCAACGAAAGATCTTCTCGGTGCCTATTGGTACATATGTGAAAAGATTGTAGAAATAATCAATACGATGCCTCTGAAGAGCATGAGAGTGAGAGGGTTGGAATGTACAAAAATGCTGAATTGTATATACGAGAGATAATATAGGTTTCTAATCTACATGTCCATATGGTTAAAGTATTGTGCAATGACAACCCGTGGATTTCTTCTTATATCCCTCTCCTTTATCGATTTGGGGAGAGGAAATGCTAAATGTGTATCGGTCCTCGCCAGTCGCCTTGAACGCAAAGTTTCAGTTGATTACAATACCAACTCAACTAGCGGAGTGGTAGGCACCTCTACTTACCCTCTTCTCAACATCAATCTCCTTTAATCCACTCAGCAATACATCTGACTTTTCTATCCGGGGAAGATACGACTCCGGCCGTGCTTGGTCCCATTGATGGTTCCGTTGTCCTGATTGTAACCTCTCTCCATTCCCGGTGGCTGTCGCCCATTCACGGATCTCTTTCGGTGATCGACCGTTGTATGGTGAGCGCTCACCATTGTGTTTGATGGTTGGAACCTTGGCCACATTTCGACTGCCATGGTTCGCTACATATACGACTGTCCCGTCAACTTCCGAGCTATAGTCCATAAAAACAGCGTACTGTGAGTCTTGACGCTCCGGAGGCTTCTTTGGCCGTTTCCCGGAGCGATCCCTATCCTGAGAACGCGTTTGAGGTGAAAGTGGGAGGGGAAGAGGGGGCTTGGTGGCACGTTGCGGTGCATTGGCTGGCGTTGGTTGAGACCCTCTCCTTGGGGGACGGACTATGGCACTTCCAGCACTGTCTATGTAATGTTGCCTTTGTGATGGCAACGCATTGCGCTGAACCGCCGAAGCCTCCGCCGCTCTTTTCTGAGAATGATGAGACGAGGCTTCCCGATGGACACTTTGGTTTCTTAGGGGAACAGTAAGTTCGGATGGAGAAGGGGGTGGTTCCTCTCCATCTGGGTACGCTTTAATATCGATGGTGGTCACTTGTTCAGGCATTAGCTGTTTGAGCACCGTTGGAATTGGGACATCGTCGTAATTCGACCATCTATTGAAGTACTTTTTACCATCTGCGGTTTCCCTCTCTTGTGCAACAGACGAGTTTATGGCAGGCAGGTTTTCAGGTCCGCGCGGGCTGAAAGCAAAAAGGATATGAGATGGGCTTGACTTTTGCGAGGGTAGAGCGCATAAACAAAGCCACGTACGTACATTTTGTCCCTTGTTCTAAATGGTTCAGCTGTCACCCACAAGGGAACACTAGATGAGCGCCAGTGCATTCGCAGGTCTACTAAAACTTGTGTTACTCACGTATTGCAGAAGACTGCTTATCCGCACTACCAGGGTTCGCTACCCCTCCCTTCTTGGCAGGTAAGCCAACCGCCCGCTCCCTCTGAGCGTATATTCGTTGTTCGTTCATGTCGATGACCTGCGCTTTTGCAGAATGTCGATCATCGGCATAGAAAGAGCTGACAGCAAATGGTCAAGACCAGCAATGAGGTCTTCATTCCAAAACGCAGAAGATGGGGCGGGTTACATTTGCTCACATTTCCTCAAAGGAAATGCACACTTGAAAACCCAAAGCCACGACGTGTTTCAAACTCCCAAGATTTGCGGTCGATGAGCATTTTATCACGTGATCATCAATGAGGGGGACTTTATAGAGTTTTGTTTGAAGTTTTTTTTTGGACATCTCATCCGCGTTTAGATGGCCACTCCACATTCTGCAAAGCGCCAACGGACAACGTCACCTTTGGCTCACCAGTCGAGGGTCCTTGTGCTGTCTCATCCCAATACCCATCACCACACAGGACACACCTCCTCGCGCGACTCGTCAGGCGAAAAACCAGAACGGACAATGGCCATCCTAACCTATCTTGCAAAGCTTTACCCTGTCTCCCATGGACTTTTACAACCACCCACGCCCCCGCAGGTGGTATTTGACTCCAACCCACCGCGCGCACAACTGAGGGACTTGTGGCGCGTACACGACGTTGAATATATTGGGAGAATTATAGATCAGACCCCAAAGTGTGGTGGGCGATCCAGGCATTTCTCACCTGGCAGAGCCGGCGTCAAGACCACGTATGTAACCTTTTTTCCAACTCTTCCGATTGCAAACGACTCTAACTGTCCAATTTTCCAGCTTCCTAAGTCCTGGTAGCACTGAAGCCATTCTTCGTGCAGCAGGCGCTGTGACAACAGCCATTGACACTGTTTTGGCATCAGATAGCAATATCACAACGGCATTTTGTGTTGTGAGGCCACCTGGACATCACTGTGGATGGAGCGGGGTGGAGCCTCTGGACACGGATATAGATTTGGCACAGGGATTTTGTTATGTGAATAACGTTATGGTGAGTGGAACGCGTTTTCTTTGCAGCAGCAACTCTGTACTCTGTTTCGGACCATGTCTGATATTTGCAATGTTTGCAATATCAGGTTGGAGCAGCATATGCAGTGCATGAATACGACACCCGCGTGGCAATTCTGGATTTTGATGTGCACCACGTAAGTACCTCGGAAATGACAGGATTTTCCCAGCTACTAAAGAATTCATTCCATTCATTTAGGGAAACGGCACTGAAGGCATAATGCGACGTCTCCTCTCTACTCATCCTCCAGAGATACCTTTTCCCCTCCTTTTCATCAGCACCCACCAGTATTCGCCTGGGTTTTACCCAGGTACAGGTTCACCACATCCTTCCTCATCCCCCTACTCCCGTCACATCATCAACATTCCATTAGCACGTGGTACATCCTCCGCAGAATTTCGCAAAGCACTAAAAGAGCAAGCACTCACAGCGCTACGTGATTTTGCACCAACATTGATACTCATAAGCGCTGGGTTTGACAGTCATGCGGAAGATCACGTTGGCGATCTAGACCTCGTTGACGAGGATTTTCAATGGATCAGCATGGTATGCAAAAGAATCCAGAAGAAAATTGTATCAGTTTTGGAGGGAGGCTATCTGGGGGACACGAGTGAATCATGCCTGGTGCGGAGCTGTGCCGCGCATATCAAGGGCCTACTCGATGAGGGCGAGGATTCGTCGAAAGTCGGATCATAGCTCCAATACTGAAAGGAGCCGCCAGTATATAAGAATCCCATCTACTAAACAAAATTTCTGTACCGCTTCAGCCGGCCAAGCTAGGCTAACTCTAAGCATCACAGTAACAAACAGTTTTCCTAAATGCTCTGGACTATGGAGGACGTCCTCCTGTGCCATCCGTTACAGACCAGCCCCTTACCTTGGCAGGTCCATTTGCAGCACCATTCATCTGTGCGCGCGCAGCATTCCCAGTTGTATTGCGCCGCTTTGCATTGTTTCCACCGCCTCTTCCCATCTTCTTTCCGGTTGCTGTGCGTTGCCGAAAATCCGCGGCATTGGACACCGTTCGGGGACGAGGCATTCCGCCGCTTGAGGGGGGAGATGTGGGACTCGGCGGTATAACCTTGGCTGTAAGTGGGACAACATTACTGACAAGTGACTCCACCACCGATGGTGGTGGGGGTGGCGCCATGGACTCTGGCGACAGAAACGCCTTTGTTGGCATCAGTGTCGACGTTGAAGAAGGTTGTGAAGAATGTGGAGGGGATACAATGTCGGTATTCATTCCGTTCGACCCATTCCCGCATGCTCCCGCTTGAAGTTGGCCAGGTGCTTGCACTTGCCCATGTCCCTCATTTCTCCCCTTCCCATTTTTATCCCCTCTGTCCCGCATGTAACTGCGCTCATAAGTTACTTTTCGCCTCCCCTCTCCACTCCCACCCTTCTCCTCGGCAGCACACCTCGTACATTGACAAACGAAAAAGTAATCGGCCTGCAATCGTGCTCGCCTGGCTTGAAGCGGCATATTCGTGTCAATATAGGATATTGTTAAAGCCTCACCCTCATCAACTGTTCTTCGAGCTGTCACAGACATGACCATTCCATTCTGAATCATGACACAGTTTGGATCGCACGAGTGCTAAGTTGCAAAGTGTCTTATCAGCAATCTGACACTAGGAGTTTTGATGGCCATTTTCATATCCCTTACATTAAAGTAGCTCGCCTTTGGAAAGACAGCCCTCCCCATGCATTGCTCCTTTTTTGGACTCCAAAGACCAAACCCATTACTTTCTATTTTGCTGATTAGGTTGAGAACAAAGTCGGATGCGTCTCCCCTTGGACCTCTTGGAACCCTATCATCATCCTCCAAAAGCCCACAATCTTCCAACAGTCGTATGATAAAGTTTTTTGTTTTCTTCCAATCACGAGCGTCCTCAGCTGGCCAGTCCATGTAATGGGACTGCAGGTTGTCTACCTCTTGCCAGGTGCATGTCTCTGGAATCAGCTGACAAGTGTTTGAAGACGAACATGACTCGTTCGTTGCCGATGGGGGAGGAGTGAAGGAATGAGCAGGGTTAGATTTCGGGGATGACGGAAGTGCGGCAGCTCGCAAGTGTGGTGAATGTGATGATGATTTAGCCGTGGCCATCACTGCCAGAAAAGGCTCTCCATCGTCATCATCATTGTCATTTTCGCTTGTGAGCATGCGCAGGCGTTGTTGAATATGTTGCTGGAGCGTCGCCTTATCCAATTGAGTAATGTGAGTATGTGAGGTCGAAGTTGAAACAGGTTCGGGAGCGACAATCTGCGGGACATCAAAGTGTACATGTGCCGCCGCATCTATCAACATGGCGAGAGAGAAGGGTTAGTTCATACGACGCACACACCCAGCTATTTAACTCTCACCTCTCAAAGTTGTGCCCCAAGCATTCATGGCCAAACCTTTCTCTTTGAATCTAGTAAAAAGAGCGTAAAGGAGAATTTTGACGACACTCTTTTCATGCTGGGGTGCTTTGAATGTACCCAGTCTCCGAAGAGCGGTGCAAACAACGTGATGGCCGTGAGCAATGCATGTCGCCAAACATGCAGGAGAACAGGTATATATTTGGTCGCAATTTCTGCAGTGCAAATGAAATGCTCCCGTATCATTGAAAGCAAGACAGACTGCACAAACTCTCTTTTTGAAAGAGTCGAATATTCCGAAAGCATACGGCAAACAAGTAAATAGGACCGCTCGCTCCTTGATACATGAGGTAGCAACAAAGTAACGACCCTGCTGCGGCGATTCCTCGACTCGCACCTGCAGAGAGGTCATTTGCTGAACGAAAACCAAGACGAGCGAGTCGCAGAAAGAATGAGTCTTGTATTCATCAAAAGGATTCGTTAAAGATTAAGTTGCAAAACGACAGCAACTCCCAAAACAACAAGTGGCTTATGCACGTGACATGAAACATTGCGAGGCAGGAGGAGGGCTGGGAAAAGGGTTGGGATTCGGGAGAAAGGGAAAAGAGGCGCTACCCAAGAAGGCCATTTGTTTTTCTTCCATCATTTATTGAACCCCATTGCCCATCAACGATTTTGTTGTTTCTTCTTTTTGTTGTCATCTCTCGCCAATCCAACAGTCGGTCGCTTCGCACTCGGTTGGCTATATAGGAGGGTCATCTTGTCATCACTCCCGTCTTTTGCGGATCCGTTACGACTCGCTTCGTTGTCCTTTTTGAGTTTTACGGTAAAGGGAAACCTGATTTTCAGACAGCCGCAACGAGAGGAGAATGGACAAGGTCGACACTGCTCACCATCATCCGGCAGTCACAAATGAGCACAGTGCACCGTCGACAACTTCCCAACTCGAGCCTCCCTCTCAACGAGACACTTGCTCTCTCGCATCCGCAACCGCCATCGTTGCAGCTGCAGCTCCCATAAAGAGGCCGCTGACTGCGAGTTCACAGCCGTCTCCAGCACCCAATGTGGCTTTCACGACCTCTACAAATCCGCAGCCAAGAAGACCATCTGTTACGTTAGGTAAGAAGACAACCCGAAAGGACAAGGGGATCTGTTGGCGTTGGCGTGACAGCGATGATAACATCTGACTTTCTTTCGTAGCTCCCGCACGCAAACCCGCAAACCCTGTCATCACTCCAGGACTACGCAAATCAAAATCTATCTCGTTCTTTGTTGATTTGACAAGTCCTACCACTACAGCCGCCCTTTCTCCTCCTTGTTCACCTTCACTCGAAGACACAGCCGCTCCACCGTTGGCCGCGAAACGTTCGCGAACTCTTGACACTCCATCCTCCCATCCCGTACCACCCCGATTTCCTCCATTTGTTCGAAATAGAGATGCTTGCCAAGAGTTGGCCGCTTGTATGGCTGCACGATTGATGCGCGCGGAGGCTCGACGAGCTCATGTCCTTCAAGAACGTCGGTCTCGGCTCCGTCGTAGATTTGAGCAAGTTCGATATAAGATCTTGTTACAGCGTCAGAGGGATCGACTGACGAGTCTGAAAATACAAGCTCGCTCAGAGTATGCCATCTCCGCTGCAAACTTGAAGCGTCAGTTGATTTTAAAAAGATCAATAGACCGCTGCGGGGCCGCGGTAGAGCATGCCCAGACGGTTGCAATGGTCCACAAGCTGCGAAAATTTATGGAATTGCGTAGGGCGTTCTCGGAGAACTTTGTCCATCTCCTCGCTCACTCTCATATGCCTGTGGGCGGAGGAGTGGATACGGTACAGACGATGAGCGCATGTCACTCCTTTTCCCTCGGTATGGAAGCGGATTTTGACGACGAGTATTACGAAATGGAGGACATTCAAATGCAGCCACCAAAGAGTCCGATCATCGGCTATCCTTCGCCTGCCAGCACCTCTCCCCACGTGGAGTCTCCGAGAGGATATGAAGCGACCTTGGGCGGATCTGATGGAGATGCGGTTGTTAGTGGCTCCTTGAGGACGTCGACCACAGATGCAGAATCCCATCCTTCAGAACGGGCCTATTCGATGGTAACAGATTCCGTCTCTAGTCAACCAGCAGATGGAAATCATGGTCAATTTGGAGATGCCTCACGAATGGATATGTTCGACTCATTGGTATTAGGAGGGGATGTTATCGGAGAACGCCTATCCGCAACCGTGCGAAGATTGCGTGTTCTTCCTGTTTCGCTGGTGGAGGACATGGAGGAATCCGCATATATGGAGTTACTCGACCTGCTCCCGCCCATAACTCGATTCACTTTGCGGGAGTTGGAACTGACAGAGATCTTGTCCAATGCTCAACTTCGACATGATCTGTTCTTTGACCCCGAACTTCAGTTCAAGCCGAATTTAGATGGCGAAAAAGGCGAGCAGAAACGGGAAGCGGGAGATTTATTTTGGACACAAGTCGAGGAAGAAGTTGACGATGGCTACTTGTACCGCTTGCCGTTGCTCTTGTTCGAAATTCGATGCATTATTTTAGAGCTGCTCCCATACTCACCCGATCGCAGAGATGAGGTTGAGAGAAACCTCGACGTGCGGCTAATCGCTCAGCAGATGCAACATGGAGTATTGAACCCGCTTGGGTTGGTGGAGTACATTGCTACTCTTTTGAAAGCAAACTGTGCCCCTGCCCGTGATGAATTGGTAGACTCAATGGTGCAAGAGTGTCAAGGAGGTAACTTTGTAAAGGCGTTACGGGTTTGCTTTGAAGTCCTTGAGTTGATGAAATTGGTAAGCGTGTTTTGTATGACATGTTTTGCAATGGTCGCGCTCACGATTTATGCTTTAGGACTATGCCAACCATCAACTTCACCGAGTCCGCCCCTACGTCGTGGAACACGCGGCCGATTTTGAATGGCGTTGGTTTAAAGACCAGTACGAGACTGGCGCCATGAAATTGGATGACACAACCCAGTGGTTTCAGGCCGCACGGATTCGATCACGGACACCTTCACCGTCAACATCCAAAGAACAATCTCCATTGTCTGTTCAACACCTTCATATCTCTGCTACCCTTCACCTGATTTCCCAATCCCATCTCCTTTCTCTGCCAACCAACGCCATCGTTCTTCCCGAAACCCTCCGAATGGATGTCTCCCGACTTGTACAATACTATAACGATTGGCAAGACATTACCATCATGGCAGCTCTCCTGGTGCTTTTTAGACAGTCCAGCGGTCCGAAATGTACGGCTGCAGATCTCCGGGACGTCAAAAGGGTACTCTGGGTCCTTCTTAACGACAGCGAAACCAGCATGCACCATGTGACCCTTCAAATGTGCGAAACGGCAGGTAAAATTCGGGGAAGCCTCTTCTCACAACGCGAAAGCGACATGTTGTCTGGACTCGTTGAAAAGACACTATCGCCAGAGTCAAAGCTTTACGAAGTCATTCGTGTCAGAGTAGGGACAGTTCTGGAACGGTTCGTCAAAGGCGAAACAGTGGAGAAAGCTGATCTGCTCAAAGTTGGTCTGGCCGAGTTGGAAGAGGAAGTTTTGGAATTGGGCGAAAGAATCAAACGCCTGTTGGTGCACAATTGGAGGGTATTTGGAGGTGTATATGCGGTGATTGCCGAGGAGCTCCAAGGTGGGGGCGAGGGTCTTGAGAAGGGGATGGAGGCCGTCCTTAGGACATGAGTTCTCCCAGCTCATCACGAGTTTATCAGCACCAGCTTTTGCGGTTTTTGGCCATTCGTTCAGAGGCTCTTTGGTGCAGCACTTTTTACGCATCTGTTTCGGATAGAACTATAGCTGTCGGCACTTTTTGTCTCTGTCTTTTCTTTTCTTGTACAATGCAGTTATATTTTTGGTAATCTAGGAAGACCCCGGTTGGAGGGTTAAGGACTAGCTTTCATCAGCAGTGCAGCACAAACATAACATTCAGTCTTTTGGAAATAGTGGCCAATGTTTGTTGTGACGGCAAGAGAAATGGTTTAACCTGGTAATCACAAGTTGGAAAATGAAACAGACGTTATCAACACCAACCACAGCCTAGCTTTGACACACAGTGAGAATAAACGTTCATCCCAACCCCTGTGATCTAGCCTCCGTCTCATAAATCAACATGCGCCAGAGCATCATTACAAACTCTTCAGCTTCCTCATCTAGTGCCTATCAGAAAATTATCAAATCTCTAAAGTCAGCGAAACCCAAGAGACAACCACAACCAACGAAAAAAAAAATTTGTACTCACTCCCTGCATTTCAGCCAACATGTTATCCGCGCTAGTCCGCTTAACGAGCAATTCCGTGACAAACTCGATCAAATCCTTTTCTTCTTCGCCAATGTATTCAATGACCTTTTTCTTTATCCATGGACGAAGCTTGTTGTTCATAATCGTCTAACAATCAGGGATGGTTAGTCTACACTTCTGCTCCAAAAGTGCTCCAACGCTGTACCCACTTCATCCAGAAAGTCCCATTTGATCGACCATGTCCATAAGCCTTCTCGCTCCGTTGGGATAATACCGATCAAATCCTGAACTGCCTGCACGCGCTCCTCCTTTGTCATGATCCGGCCTATGACAATTTCCTGTTTCGTTTCCTCATCATCCTCTGGGGCTTGTGGTTCGAGCTCTTTTCTCGCAAGCTCCGCTTGCTCATCTTCCCGATCCTGTTGATCTCTATCTATTTCTTTTCGACGGGACCGATGTATCCGTGCAAAAAATGCACGTCTATCATGTAAATAGTCAGGATTCATATGCATCAACAAACCCAACAACATTAAATCACCAGACCTGTCCTCATCTGTTTTGAAATGTGCATCTTCATCCCATTCTGGAAGTATTTTGCTCAACTCTTCCACTCGGGCAGCTAGATTCTCCTTATCACGCTCCTTATCCTTCTCAATTTGTGTGAGCCAGGCTATTCTTCCTTGCTCTTCCTTTTCCCAACGACTCACGCGCTACAAAGCAAATAATATTAGGAAACACATCGCTGCCTAACAGGCGAGGAACCATACCTCATTGAAGGCTTGCTGTGCTTCCCACTTCCTTCGCTCTTGTCTCTTCTGCTCTTCCTCCTCGTCATAGTCGTCCTCAACCCTAACCCTCGGTTCATGAGAATGACCGTGATACCCGTTCTCCCCTTGCTTCAGTCTTCGAATTCTATTTATGTCCTCCCTCTTTTCCCTCTGGACCCGCTCCATCCGGATTCGCTCCTCGTACTCCTTCTTCAGACGGTCCTTCTGTGCAGACCTCTCGCGGAACATGGAAATCTCCCTCGAAATGAGCTCCCGTTGTTCTGGGGGCATTTCTGGAGGAAGATCGTCCAGATCTTCCTTGCCACCAGGTGCCGATGACGGTGTTGGTGATCCTGGCCGGGTCGAGCCTCCATCAGGTATTGAATGAAGGAAAGAATCCACGTCCATTCTTTGAGCATCATCCCGCATTTGCCTAGCATGGACGAGGACTTGCTCCCGGATTGCCTTATCTTCGTCTTCGTCTTCATGCTACGCAAGTGTGTGAAAATTAAGCTCCTTGCAACGCATACAGGTAGTCCATAATCAAATTCACATACATTCATCCTCGAGGCCCTGTATTGCTCAACGTGTTTTCGCGCTACTTCATCCACGTTCAGCTGTAGTGCAATTAGCCGGTGGTCGTGATGCACGTCATAAATGCGGGTTTTCAAAAAAAAGTACCTTGAGAGTCTTGGGCGCTCCACCAGGTACTGCCAGCTCAATTCCTCGTGCAAGCTCGCCTTGGCCTTCTCCTCCAAGGATCCGCAATGCACGAGATACCGATTCGGCATTCTCATAAACACAAAAGCCAAACCCTTTAGGCTTGCCGGTTGCATCCTGCATACGTCTCCAATTTCGAACAGGCCCACACAACTGCAAATGACATATTTAGACCGTGTAAGGCAATAGTAGCATCAGACAGTCTCTCACGTACCTTTAAAATTCGCTCCATCCACAGATCCGTCACACCGTCCGCAATGGACCCCACAAAGACCGTCGTCGACTTATCCTCCGCCGTCAGCGGCTTCGGCGGTGGTGCTACTACAGGGGGGGCGACATCGGGACGCACAGAGAGAGCGGGACTCCCCAAAGGTCGTGGAGGTTCCATCCCCGGGCCAGGACCAAACGGTGGACGATTATCAAAGTGCTGCATTGGGGGACCAGGACGAAAGGGTGGTGGGCCTCCAAATTGAGGGGGAGGTGGACCACGAGGCCCTGGCCCGTAACCAAATCCAGCAGGTCCGGGACCGTAAGGAGATGGTCCATAGCCCGCACCCGGCGGTGGTCCTCCATAACCAGGGGCGGGATGTGGCGGACCGTACTGATATGGAGCTGTCATATTAGAGTGATCATGTCCATAATTACAATACAATGTTAGTCATTTTCATACAGACATAGAGTTTATTGCCGTCTCTCATACGTACGATATGGTCGATGTGGGTCCATGGTGAGGACGAAAACAGTTCATGCAAGACGATCCCTCAACTTCCCACTCCTACTCAACTTTGTTACCATGGCAACAGTCTATTACATCCACAACTTTACCAAGCGTTCCAAACAGCGCGGTGCGATCAAACCCAAAGCGATGAGATGATGATGCGTGCGCAAGCTTGACCGTTGGCTTGTTTTACCATCTGCCCAAATTTCTCGAATTACGGACGGAATTTCGTTCAGCAGCTTTAGGAGGAACACAGCTTACCTTAGGGAGCATCACTACCGGCCTTGTCGGGCAAGAGTATAAACAAGAACGCTAAACCCGTCAGCTATGGAGCACCTGAACGCTTTGTTGGCCTCTGGCCAATACCACGACGTGCTGGCAATTATCAAAGGTTTCCGCAATGGAGCCGTATATGGTAAAGAAATGCCGAAATATCGGGGACATACATTCAAGCCTCCAACTGCTCAGACTCTAATTGAAAACTAGGCGCGAAGGTCCGCTTCCCACATGCACTGGTCATGACTTTCCTCTTTCGAACTGGAAGGTAATTTTGGGCGTCGAAGAACTCTCTCAATATGATCGTCTTAGTCACAACTTTATCTAGTTTTGAAGACAAGGCGCGATTCATCCTCAAAGCCACGTTCCAACATAGCCGAAATCTTGCCTTCTTCGTCACGATCTACAAAACCCTTATGGCCCTTCAACGGAACATAATGGGGAAAGAACATAATTGGGATGCGTTCGTTGCAGGTGTCATCGGAGGTTACATTGTGTTTGGGAAGAACAACAACGTCAACAACCAAGTAAGTCAGCGGATAGCACGCAGTGTCCGCAGCCGACTTGCCTCGTAATTATGTCTCTTGTATTTTTACAGATTGTGCTATACCTTTTCTCGCGTATCCTCATTGGTCTGGCGAAACTCGCGGTAAAAAGCAATGTCGTCGCGGAACCCAAGCACACGTTCTCTGTATTTGCCGCTCTCGTTTGGGGTATGTAAGATGTTTGGGACAGCATGATTCATCTCTAAATCTTTATTGTGGGTTGATTATAGGTATCGTGATGTGGCTGTTCCGTCACAACCGAGATACCCTGCAGAATTCCTTGCAGGCCTCTATGCAGTACCTATACAATGACTCTGAAAACTTTGATACTTTCAGAAACTTCCTGTGGCATAACAAGTAGAAATTCTTCTTGTATTTACAAATAGAGTTCGTGCGGTCTATAAGGGTCGAAGTAGCTTTGATATTTACATGACATATATTGGAAAGGAAAAATGGAAAAGGGAAACTACATTAATATACAAGGTCTAAGGTAGCTATCATGTCTAATTGACTATTTAGCCCGAGCACATGACGCAGGCATCCCGATTGTCAAGAGAACATGCCACTGCTGCCATGTTCTCGGCTTCGCTCTTCTCCGAACCTTCATCAGACTTCAACTGCTGCTGATCGACCGTGAACTTAATGGCATCAGCAGCAGGTCTCGTACGCAGATAGTACATTCCTGGCAAAAGACCAGGTCAGCCGGACATCAAGAGCAGACATCTCATTCGCGCTAGAACTATACCTGTCTTCAATCCCTTTTTCCATCCATAGAAATGCATACTGGTCAATTTGCCATAATTGGGCTCCGCCAGGTGGATATTGAGGGATTGGGACTGGTCGATAAACGCGCCACGGTCTGCAGCCATGTCAATGATGACTTTCTGCTCAGAGACAAGATGAGAAATCTGGTGCCTCAACAAAGTACGCGCTGATCCCATACCTGCGACAATTCCCAAACTGTTTTGTAAATTGTCTTGAGTTCATCAGGAATGCTGCTGATACGTTGAATTGATCCGTTGTCAGCAATGATACGGTTCTTCATGTTGTCATTCCAGAGGTTCAGTTCCGTCAAATCTTTCAACAGATGCGGGTTGACAATTTGAAATTCACCGGCCAGAACGCGACGGGTGTAGATATTGCTTGTGTAAGGTTCGAAACAGTTGTGCACAACGACTCCGTTGGCGAGAAAGTTGTGCAATCCTTTCACGTTTATGTCGAATACCGGCACCTGACCGGCTGCCCGACGATCGACCAATTGAAGCTTCATAGTGGGCACCGCCATTGCCTCGATGTCGACAGCGTTCATGTGCATCTTGCCAGCGGCCTCGCCGTTCGCAAACCACTCACGCGCTCCGAGCTTCTCAAGAAACTCTTCGGCAGACATGACGTGACTGAACTTAAACTGCTTAATCCCGTCCATCACCGATTGAGCAGGGTTAGTCGATGAGTTGGATGCACGAAGAATAGTCCTTTGTCGCTTATGGTAGTCGTACAACTGAGAAATCGTTAGAGTCGAGGAGTGCACGTTGGGTTCTGGTTCGTTCTCTTTAAGGTTCTCAATCGCGAGCTTAGGGGTGTCACTCAGCGCGCCCTTATTTGGGCTTGCCTCGGTATAGACCGCTTTGTGTTGTCTTTTGACTTCCGAGAGGTAGCGTGACCAAGCCGCTACAACACTGGAACGTTGCGCCTTGTGAGCAGAATAGCGGATACCGATCTTGTCCATGAAAATGTGCTGCGAGGAAGCATTGGGCAGAAATCCGATGCGCGCGCATACGTGCTTCAACTCTCCGCAGCAATAGGGTTCGCCATTCTTATTCTGAACATTGCCTACGTTGATGATTGAAGCGCCATGCACACCGGCCTTGGACAGAAGCTCGCACAGTTGCTCCATGGCCGTAATCAAGGACTCGCGGTGCATAGCACATGCAGACTGCGATAGTCGAATGGAGCTGAACATCTGAGTCTGGTCGCAATTGGCGACGATAACAGGATCCCAGCCGTCACCACCAAAGAGGCCTGCTAGAAACTCGCGACGCACTGAGGCTGGGCACGATGCATCCAACACAAATGAAGGCCACGATACGACGGATGCGCAACGCTCTCCGCATGTCATGCCGGCCAGCTCACGAATCGCGCTGGCTACCGGACCGGTCATCACGACCTCAAAACAGTTGCGCGCGTTGACACGATAAGAGACGTTGGTGCCTCCAGACAGAAGCCTGTAGTCCTTGAGAAATCCGTCGCGATCAAGTGTGTGACCGAGCACAGCGGTAACCTTACAAGACTGAACAGATCCATTTGCGCGCACCAGGCCGACGATGCGCGCAAGCGCCAAGACCTTCTCGCGATTGTTAGCCATGCACAGCCGTCCAATGCAGGTGTCTAAGGTCCAATCGGACTCATCTTCACCGACTAAGTCCAAGGTGCCTGTCAGCCCAAGCATCACAGGGGTGCCACAAATGTCGATCTTGGACGCCTCGCGCCAGGTGCCGTCAGCTAGTAGGAACTTGTGATCAGGGGTGCACGTCAAGATGCGGCCGTCTTCAAACGTCAGGCGCACCACCTCCTTCACAGCACGAGGGAGGTGCTCAGTCACAGTGGCGGACACCATTCCCTTGACGATGGGGGAATAGGCAACGACTTCATCCCCGGGACGTACATCCTTGATGGGCAGGCTGGTTCCATTAGCCAGAGTTACTGGCGTGTCCCCCGCGAAACACTCATTATTCCCCAGGATTTGCGACGTAGACGCTGTTGGCATTGGTGCAACCAATAAACTGTTACGAACCCCATGCTCTGCGATACGTGCACGCAAACCTTCCCAGTCCCACATGTCTGACACCTGGACGTTCCACATGTCGGGCTGAAGAATACCCTTGCTAACCGGTGACCCTGGGTACGTCTGGTAATGCCCTTGTTCTTTGGCCAGTTCGCATGAAGCTTCCAAAGCAGCGAAATAAATCGTTTCAAAGATTTGACGGTTCAGTTTCCGTGCACCGTCCGAGTCAAATGGCAGGCGCAGTTTAATGAATGTATCAGCTAGGCCTTGAACACCCAACCCAATAGGGCGATGTCGCATGTTGGAGCGACGGGCTTCTTCGACAGGATAATAATTGATATCGATGATCTTGTTCAGATTTCTAGTGATCACCTTTGTCACCTGCGAGATTAAAAACGTAAGAGAGCACGTCAGTATACGATATAGTACGGTGATGAGCTGAGTGCTGAGTACCTGACGAAGTTTCTCAAAATTGTAGAACAAATTCCCGTCTTCTTTCATGACAAAGCTTGGAAGCGCAATGGATGCAAGATTGCAAACCGCAACTTCATCAGGGGAAGAGTACTCTACGATTTCGGTACACAAATTGCTGCACTTGATAGTACCAAGATTTTGCTGGTTTGACTTGCCATTACACGCATCCTTGTACAACATGAAGGGGGTCCCAGTCTCAACCTGCGACTCGAGAATTGCATACCACAGCTTCTGCGCTTTCACTGTCCTCCTTGCACGCCCCTCAGCTTCGTAGCGTTCGTACAATTCCTGATGACATGGAACGTGAATGACTGCAACGAGATGTGAACGCAGAACGGATAGTTCCCCACCACAAACTTTGCACCCCAAACGTCTTCGAGGCCGGGAGCTTCTGAAGGGCAGAACAGACTCCAGTCGCCGTTCTTTTCCACCCGCTCCATGAATAGATCTGGGACCTACACGCCTAACATGAGACGGAAATCCTAACCGAATAGAGATGGGAAACTCACCCAAAGAGCGTAAAACAATTCACGTGCTCGAGTTTCCTCTTTGCCGGTGTTTTTCTTGAGTTCAAGGAACTTCGCCAATTTTAGCATAACTTTTGGAGTAGAAAATATTATTATAATTTACCTCGAAGACATCCGCATGCCATGGCTCCAAGTAAATGGCAAAGGCACCAGGGCGCTTGTTACCGCCTTGGTCGACATAGCGAGCGGTGTTGTTGTACACCCTGAGCATAGGGACGATCCCGTTTGACTGGCCGTTCGTGCCCGCAATGTAAGATCCAAGTGCGCGGATTTTATGAATGTTGAGGCCGATACCACCGGCCGTCTTGGAAATCATCGCACACGTCTTCAGGGTATCGTATATACCCTCAATAGAATCATCCTTCATGGTCAGAAGGAAACAGCTCGAGAGCTGCGGCCGGGGTGTGCCTGCGTTGAAGAGTGTCGGGGATGCATGTGTGAAATACTTCTCCGACAATAACTCATAGGTTTCAATTGCTGCCTCCACATCTTCGCCGTGGATGCCAACTGCCACACGCATGAGCATGTGTTGCGGACGCTCTGCAACTTTGCCCGTGATTCGGAGGAGATACGATCGTTCGAGCGTCTTAAAACCAAAGTAATTATAGTTGAAGTCTCGATCGTAAATAATGGCAGAGTTGAGGCGATCTGCGTTTTTCATGACTGCTTGATACGTCTCTTCAGAAACCATGGGAGCAGGCTTTTGGTTTTTAGGATTGACGTAGTTATAAAGATCTTCAATGACTTGTGAGAATTGTTTCTTTGTCTCCTTGTGAAGATTCGATACGGCTATTCGGGCAGCAAGAATAGCATAGTCTGGATGTTTGGTCTATTATCCTAAGACAATCAGTAAAAGCTGTCAAGGTGCGCAGGATCGGATGCAATCCTACCGTTAAATACGCAGCGGTCTCTGCAGCCAGATTGTCCAGCTCAACCGTAGTAACTCCCTGGTAAACCCCCGTGATGACCTGGAAAAAGTGGCAGATTGTCAGCAATTGGCTCAGACCGAAAATGACAAGCAGCAGGCGGATACCTTCTGCGCAACTTCGGCGGGATCCACAAAATTCATATCCAAACCATAACAGAGCTTCATAATACGTGAAGTTATCTTGTCAAAAGCAACCCGCTCGCGGCGGCCATCTGATGTGGAGAACCGTGTTAGGAATTGGTGCGTTAAAGTTCGGCTTTAGCATAGCAAAGTTTATCGTCATTGTCTACCTCTTTTGAAGACGAACATGAAGTGGTCGTCGTAAATGGGTGAGGTGGGAGGTGGTGTCGGAGGTCTTCCTTGGCGAATAGAAGACTGGAAAACAAGAGAGAAAAACTAGTCAGGCGTTCTGGGAGCCAAGGAAGCGTGCAGGAACAAGTATAATAAAAAGAATGATAACAAGAAAGGACTACAGATTCCTTTCAGCCGAGATGATAGACAGAAGAAAGCAGAGGGAGGGAAATGGGGCACCGCTTTATAGTCGGACTTGAGCGATATCCAACCTTTCGGACACGCGGAGTCCGAGTCCGACGAGATATCGGACAAAAAAGTCAAAAAAGGAGGTATACCTACCGCCGACCGTTGTACCAGCGATGGCTGTCTCTCATTCTGATTTATTTCTTGCTCGTTTTCTGAAGGACCATTCAAAACATTTGTTGATTCTATGCTTGCGACCCTGTGACGCTTTGTGCGGAATGCGATAGCTACAGGTGAAGGGATCCTTTTGGCCATTCGCCTACTGTGCTGTGTCTGCCAGAAAGAGGGATCTAAGCGGCCTATCTAGTACCAGAAGGGTCGTCGGAGGGTGGTCTCATTGACATGGCCTTTGAGGCAACGATAGACAATGCCCGTCGCCCCTGCAAGTTTGAGCTGTCTTTCATTGCGCCTATGACTGTGCCACGCTATGACGGTGACTCAACCGCAATCTGCACACTATACCATGTACTGTGATGCCTCTGAAATTTGAAGGGCAATACGCCAATGCGGCGGTGAGGAAACCAACTTGCACGCTGCTGTCAAAGCATTGGCGGGAAGGCCGTCTGCTGCATACCGTCCAGAGCTGCGCTGCAGATGGCAAGGTGCAAAGTCCAACTGGTGCTTCTTGCTTACACACTCTTGCCTGATATGGCTTAATGACCTTTGATGAGTCACCAAGACGTCGAGGGTTCTTTGACCTTGCGCAAGGCACCATCATCTGCAGGGCACATTAGCTAGCCATGTCCAAGTTTTACGTTGTCAGTGCTCGGAAGCCAGACTCTGTATCACATGCTATAAAGGCCAGTTTCACTGGACCCGACGACATCAACCTCATTGTCGGGTCAGTACTTGTTAATATCGCTCGTCAACAAGAAGCTGCCTAACCTTAAGTCTAAAATACCACAGCAAAGCGACCCACTTTGAAGTCTACGTATTGGTGGACGATGACAATGATCCAAATGAGAAAACTTTGCGCTTGTTGCTTGATGTACCAGTTTATGGGCGTATCTCAACTTTGCAAACGTACAGACCACAGGTAATTCCAGCGAATAGCAGCACCTATCGGCACACGTCCGAGTTTACCATCCTATCCATTAGGATCGCAATACAGATTTTCTTTTCATATCAACGGAGCGTTACAAGTTTTTCGTCCTATCTTTCAATGCCACTACACACCAGCTTGTAACCGAAGCGAACGGAGATATAGCGGATAGGACCGGCAGGCCGATCGACATCGGACACATTGGAGTCCACGACCCGGATGGTCGTATGATAGGCTTACATCTTTACCAAGGTTTATTCAAAGTGATTCCACTTAACAGCGCTGGTGGGCGAAGAGGGTCGGGACATTCAAAGAAACACGCGCGAGAACGAAACGTCGAACTCAGTGCCATCAATCTCAGGTCAAACTTCAAGGGGCGATCAAGAAGCCACCAACGCACTCACTAACAATAATACTTGCATTATTAGATTGGAGGAACTTGCGATTATTTCCCTGGAATTCATGCAATCGCCACCTGGAGCCGAAAACAAACCAATGTTGGCTGTTTTGCACCAGGATACAAAGGGATATCGGCACCTAAAAACCTACGTGGTCGATGTCGCTGCTCGCGATCTGAAGGAGTACTCAGATTTGCCGCAAGCAAATCTGGAAGCGGCGGCCAATCTGATCATACCTATACCCCGGGCAATGGGTTTGTGCCTAAGTGCTGACACTTCAGTCCAAATACGCGCAACTGATTGACAATGGCATGCCTTCAGGTGGTGGGGTGATTGTCGTAGGAGAGCAGACAATTGCGTGTATCACCCAAAATGGCGTGATTACGATACCAATCCAGCCGACAGTCATGAAATGGTAAAGGCAAAAAAGTCGATTTCGAGGACCTGTATGTCCGATATGACGGTTTCTGCCCTCAGTTGGAACATGATAGACCCTGAAGGCACACGATACTTGCTTGGCGACTATCTTGGTAATCTGTACGCGTTGGTGCTATTTGGTCAAAACGGGGTCATAAAAGAAATGTCGTTGGAAACACTTGGAAAAGTAGGATTCCTGGTATCACTCCTTAACCTGGGCTAGAGAATTCATAAAACCCCTTCACTCATCACAGATATCTCAACCTTCCTCGATCGTATATCTCGACAGTGGCTATGTATATATCGGGTCCCAGTTCGGCGACTCACAGCTCATCCTCCTGTCGTCCGAACGAAACGAGCGCAGAGAGTATCTGACTGTGCAGACGGAGTTTGAAAACTTATCACCCATCACTGATTTTTGCGTTGTTGATATTGAAAAGCAAGGGCAAGTGAGTGATGGTGTGTGAGTGGTGAAGTGCCACTGCTATTGACTGAAGCTTTCCATAACGTCTCAGGGCCAGATGGTGGCTTGCTGCGGTGGCTATAAAGACGGATCTCTACGTGTTATAAGAAATGGGATTGGAATTGAAGTCCTCGGCACTTTAAATGATGTGCCGGAACTTACTGGAATATGGGCACTCCGTCCAACATTTGACACAGAGTATGTCTTCATGGAAGCAACACAAGTAAACTTGGTTTTGACAACTATCGACATCGTATTATTTGGGCGACTTGCAGCCTTGATGACACTCTAGTCATGTCATTTATATCTGAGACGCGATTGCAAAAACGAGACGAAGAAGGAGATCTCTGTCCAGTTGAAGAAGTCGACGCGGGAGGGTTTCGAATGCAAGAGACTACCCTTGCATGTGCAAATATGTTGGGAGATGGGATTGTCCAGGTACTAATGGTTTGGTCAAAATTGCGACTATTGCATCCATCTAATTTGGTACAGGTCACTCCCAACGCAGTCATTCTCCTTGACGCAAGAAGCCGCGCCGAAGTTGCCATATGAGACCATTTGATGGAAGTCGGATCAATCATGCTTCTTCTAAATCCCAGACAAATCCTTGTGGCTTTGAGCGAGGGTCGACTGGGCTACATAGAGCTTCGGG